TCTCTCCATTGCGAATGGTCGATTGCAAGTTACGATTACTCTCAGCGAAACAATGGAGTCTCGGTAGAGAAATATAAAAAGCTACTCGATAACATCAGTAAGTTTAATTGAGGAATGATTTATACTGGCGATGAATTCGCTCAAAAATTGAACTGCTCCACCCATAATTGCGAGGGAAAGTGACCAAGGTCTTTCGAGGGACAAAAGCGACAACCCAACCCACGTATATGAACGTGATTGCATTAAACTTTTGGGTGTGACCTTTGAGGTTTCACTTTCGATACGCATGGCAGTATCTGCAGTGACTCGCGTGTCGAATCAAATTCAAATGCTGATGTCTTGAGGTTCATGCAAAGACGGAAGTAAATTCCCTCTGACAAAAAATCCGGTAGCGCATTGGAAATTCAGTACTTCGTGCCAGAAATTCTGAAAAAAAAAATTCACCATATATCCGATATATTGCATTATTGTGAGACAATATAACCGTATAATTGACCTATATTCTGGTTTATATACAATTTTCCCTGCGGGTTGCCGGGAATTTGAATAAAAAATTTGAGCCACAGTATAGTGCGTACTAAACAATAAAATCTACTCGGATATCCTCAAAACTCTGACTTCTCCGGAATATACCGGGCAACGTAATGTGTCCCGTAAATGATTAAAATCTAGAAATTGCAGTTTACTCACAACAGAATCACCCGCAAGCCCTCGCTTTATCGTCACGTCTCTTTCACCGGTGGCCACAATGAAAACAATAAATTTTTTCTCACCGAGAAGAAAGGGAGTCATAAAGAAAGTAAAAATGAAATCCGCGAACGTAACGCGTGAATTAACCGCAAAATCCCGAATCCCAACTCCCATGGTAAAGCCCTTCACAAAAATCGCACGCGATGTGAGAGGAAAAAAAAAATTGCTGAGTGAGAGAGATAGTTAAGGTGGATTAAGTATTAATGTTTGATCCAAGTTTCCAAGTAGCTTTTCAGTTTCAGGGAAGAACAATAGTGGTATTTAATGGAAATGCGTTAATCGTTGCGAGAAAATTCGAGGAAGCGAATTGAATTGATGGTACACTTGGATAAACTTGTTCATTAATTAAGAGTCCGCGGTGTACGATCGTTTCCGTTCAGTTCATCAGGATTAACAATTCGAATCAGCTAGCTGCTGGCTGAAATAGCATTAGCCCATTGTTACTGGCTTCAAGGATCCAGCCATCGACTATTTGCGGTCATCCTTTTTTTTACGTGTCAACTTACACACAAGATTGCCATGACACCCACTCGCGTCAAGAGTACTTGATAATCTTCAATCGTGTACTGCATAATTCATGCATTTTTAACCGAGATTCTTCCCATGGAATATGATAAATTCATTATTCTTTATTGGCATTGCATTGTTGGGATTTATCTTCAAACTTCAAGCGGAAACTCGCAACCACTAATCGCCAAACATCAGCAAGACCAACAATCAAAATCGGAATTATTATGCTCGTATGAACATCAGCAAACAATGAATGGAAAAGTTTAATCACACCAACGCAAATAATAATCCGCGCATAAATAAATAAATGAATAAATCTTTTAATTTATGAGAAATCAAAATAGTATACCCGTATTATTAATTTATGAGAAATCAAAATAGCTCAATCCATTAATTGGGAATACTCATTATCTAGGTAATCTATACATCAACAATCTCGAAATCTATTGATTGCAGCAAAAAAAAATGAGACCACCCTTTTCTCTGGAATTCCATGAACTCCAAAACAGATTCTTAGTGTTTCCATCTCAAAACGATAATTTCCAACATCAATCGTTAATTAATAAAAACACTAACTTTGACTTCATGATTTCGCTACTGAAACCATTAACCAATTATTTCAGATTTTTCTGTATCGCTCCGTCAAATTCGAAACCACTTCAAATTAAAAAAAAAAACAACAATGCAATTGCACCCGGTCGTTGACGGAAGACATCGAAGAAAAATTACACAACGAAAGTAATAGTCCTTGAGCAATGCGCACCGTGAAATGATGGACAACACGATGACTTCAGTAGCCAAGTGGTAATTAGATGTTTCCTATAATTGTCGGTCATTAAAAAAAAAAATCCACAATCCTTCATCAATCCAATATTCCAAATGCGCGATTTCTTGTTGACGAGACGACAATGCGAAGAAAAACAAAATCTAATACTTGTAACCGGTGGAAGTGGAGATTCAATGAATAATGAATTGTTCGTCGGCGCATAAAAAAATTCCCGGACCCTGCGACAATGTTTTTGTGTCATTCTCGAGTTGCCCCGGTAATGAAGCTGAATTAATAACTATACCACCCGCAATCAGAGCCAACTTGCGCCAATCCCGTCCAGTTGATACCCCATTTATCCGCAATTACGTTGTCACGGACTATCAGTTTCTATTGCGCCTGGTGGCTTTTAGCCGAGTCCTCGGGCTTTTCATCATTTTCCCAGCTTTTTAACAATTCTTCACTATCCACCGCGAATGCTTTGAAGTTGCGGAAACATCTGACCTTTCGCCTCTTCAACTTTAAACCGAGGTCTTCTCCCCACGGACCATGTTTTTTTCATCCTCTTCTTACGTAGCCCCCCCCGACCCCTCCGCCACCTCCACCACCCCCTGATCCCACCCGTTTCCATCGTCTCGGTTTTTTTCTTCTCTTTTTCTCTTTCTTCTTTTCTTTATTTTTTTTCTCCTCCACTTCTTCAAACCAGAGGCTTTGAAGCACCTAACCCGCTGACGCGCTTTCACAGCATGCAACCGTCTGACCTACGTGTACGTTGGCCTCTCTGTGTGCCAATTTTAACCTTCGACAGATGCATTAGTGATTTACGATCGTGAGTACTGTATACATGGCACATGCCAGAGGCTTTCCGGGCTTTCGTAAACACCAACTGGGAATTCTTCCTCCCGCCCACCCCCACCGCCACCAAATTTTACCCCACTATTTTTATTATTTATCGTCACTCTCATGATTCGATTGAACGCTTCGGTGATTTTTCAACCATCACGATTGCTAATCACTCCGATCATCAACGCTCTCCTTCTGTTTTTCCGATGTCATCCATTTAAACTCGATTCCAATTCACGACAATCCATTAACCAATCAAAAGTGATTCATTTTTAATGTTTAAATGATGTTGGATAATTTAATGGATGATTGATTGGGGTTGGGCAATCTTGTGGAAGGTAATGGCAATGCATACAGTCTAAATCACCTGGAAATAACGACCTTGTGGGGGGCATATTTGAAGGAACAATTTTCACTTGAGAAAATTGTACGAGGTGATGGAATTTTCTTTGCACCGAGGTGGGGCTTACTGGATTTTTCAGTCATCCGTCAGTTTGGATGAGTGGTAGGGATGAATCTCGTGGGTTCGTCAGGAAATTCTTCACTCTTATCGTTTGATTTTTATGTTGCTCTGGAAGTACAATTAATTTTGCATTCACACAATGATGATTTTAAAACTCCTATATTCTGCGTTTTCGTCAGAGAATAGGAGAGACCGAAGTCTTCTCTCTTAAGAATATCAAAATATTCGACTTTTCAGGTGGAGGAAAGCATAACTGATTGGGATTTAGTCCTGGAGATTTTTTTCAGAGCATTTTTTATGAGGGAATTTTGCCTGGGAGATTTTTGTTGAAGGGAATAACTCCTCGAACCTTTCAGGTTCAATGATAATTAATTTTTTAATGGACACTCCCATTTTTATACTCGTCGCGAAAATTCAACACGAAATACAATTGAATTCTCGAGAGATTCAAATTCAGGGCAATTATCACTCGGAACTTTCAACATTTTTCTTTTTTCAGTGCTATGTGGACCTGACAATTTAAAACTGCCGGAATATTCAAGAAATTAACTGAATCGTCAATGAAAAATTCTACAGAAATTTCCTGTTACTCTGTGGATGTTAAAAATTTCAACTTTTCAACTCGAAATTTTAAGAGTAATTTTCAAACAGTATAAGACTTACCTTCATATTTCATGCGTTATGTTTCATTCAAAATCGTCCTTGGAACATGATTAGCTTGGGATTCACATACTAATGTTCTTGAACGGTTAGCATCCAGCGTTAATGTCATCGATCGGGAGAAAGTCTTCTTTGAGAAGATGAAAATTTTCCAACGTGTCGTGTAGAAGAAAGTGATAATAAATTTCATATCACTGAAGTTTATGAATGATTTCCATTAAGAGAAATGAAAATCTTGCCAATCTGCCGCAATCATACGAAATATCCTCATATTTCATGTGTTATATTTCATTTAAAATGCATGTGAAACATAAGTGACAAAATATAAATCAGATAAATATCCCTCACATGTTCTTCAATCACCAAACAGCATATTTGCGGTATAAATGAAATATACCTCATATACATTCCTTGAAATATATGTAAATCTGTCAAAAATCACATGTTACGTATATGTTACATATACCTGACATATGGGATATATCTGTCATATATTTCTCAGTAATCTTCATACATATCATCGCATGTATACCGTTCCGTATTGAAGCTGACCAATAATATTGAAGAATGCCACGGATTTGATACAAAAAATTCGAAAATTCTATAAAAATAAAAATATCGAAATTGAAAAAACAGGAAAAATCACAGCCGAAACGAGTGATTTGGCTGGAGCAGTTAGGGAAGTTATAAATTTATCATAGCACATCCTTAATTGAAGAATGTCATCTGTACATCGGACAAGTTGTCCACGAATAGAACTGAATGACACAATAAAATGGCCAAAATTGGACACAGTTAAAATGGAAATCGATTGAATATCGTAAACCGAAGAAAGTCAATTTCATCTTTGGTATTTGCATCCGGTCTTGGATACGCGTATTTGAGATGAGGCCAGTAAATATGTGTTAGTACTCACTGGTACACTGACGAGGAGTGGGCAATATGGGTGAGGGTATAACGTGATTAAACGAATGGAGGGAGGTTAAACCAGAAGGGGCCAGAGGAGGGGGACAACGTCGTCGCCTTCAGTAGCACCACAGCATGCTGGGGCCATCATCGTAGATCTCTTCTGGTCTGGGTCTCTGTTCTACTGAGAAATCGTCTGATGGCCTTCTCCCCCCCCCCCCCGTTGTCTGCATTCACTAGTGGAACAGAAAAGTGGATAACCAATGGGCTAAACAGAGATGAGCAAACCCGAAGAAACGAAAAGTACAGTGGAACGAAAAGAGAGAGAGTGAGAGAAGGAGAGAGACACGAAGAGCAGGGATTCGTAGTTGTTCGTCGTCTCCAAGTTGGTCTTTCGAACCTCTTCCACTCTTTCCACCTCACTCATACCTCTGTCCATATTCCCTCTACCAGCTGTCTCTCTCTCCAATACAACAAGCTTTTTCCCTCTCTCGATAACCCCGAGTCACAGCAACAACTGCCGGTAGAGAGACGCCTCACGGGCACACACAATCCAGAGGAGATGTAAACTTGTCCGAACTTGCGCCTGTGCGCCGCATGTTCCATCCTAAACCGGGGAGAAGAGATCACCGACTGAGAGGAGACAACGTACAGGAAAGAGAGGACAAAAATTTTAAAGAACAGAGAAACAAGAAGAGAAAAAGAAATATATATATAGATATGTCTATATAGATATATTGGCATTTATATATATATACATACAGCATATACATAGAAGAGAAAAGAAGAACAGAATAGAATAGAACAGAACAATTCTTATTATCAACGTTGAACTCTGGTGCAAGTGAATGGTGATGTAGTTTCAGTGTTGGGTATAAAGTTAAAAAAAAAAAAGTTTAGGAGTTGCCGTGGAAAAGGGGGCGGATGAGAAGAATTTATTCCAACAGAGTGAGGATCAGCGATCGTTGGAAAATCGATCTCATGCACTTGTGTCACGCACATGGATCTGTCTACTGACGGACGTGGGGACAAGACGTCTGGCCAGTGTCCCGGACGTAAGTCATGATGACACATTTTTCTTGGGAATTCGATCATCAGGGGGGGGACTTGTTAATTGGCCAGTGCAAATTGCCTGACTTCCGCGAGGGAATTTCCTTGATGGTGATGTACGATTGCATCGCTTTCGTGGGATTAGACGCGTGTGGGTGATTTCAATTGGATTTTATGGAGTGGGATGGTGATGGGCATTTAATTTTGATTTTCTTTTTAGGTTTAGTTATGTATGAGGGAATGATGTGCGTTCCGTTCAGCCGGTTTTGCCAGTCCGAGACTCTCACCTCTTGCTTGGTAACAAACTCGATGCATTCGAGTGTTTATTATTGGCATTGGCTCTGGGGAGTTCCGGGGGGAGCAGGGGTAAAATTGAAGAAAAACTGAAAGCAACAGACGAGAGTCAGAAGTATTCGTATTTTCTTATTTAATTTACGGGGAATTTTAGGGACTTGTGAATTTAAGGAGTTATTGATATCTTCTCATTTTTCATGGTTTTCGTAAATTTTTGGGAAACCGTGCAACAGATTGACGGAAAAATATTTTATATTCGAAGAAAAGCTCTCAATTTATCCTTTGAAATAAGTGTTTTTCATTTGAATCAACTAGAAAATATTATTTTAAAGGGAAACCATTTATCATGTTGATAACTGTCGAGATAAATCTCGTAAACATAGAGAACTCCTAGGAATGCTGGATTTTTCCTACTAGGAAAAGGTCTTTTTTCCTGTGTTCCAGAGAATTTTACAATTTATTTGAATCTCGGGATCGAAATATTTAGCTCTAAATTACAATATGTTTTCAATTAATTGAGATTATAAAAATATATTTTAATGCCTTCTGAAGATTTCCGTGGGATGATTGACCTGAAAGTATTTTTTCACAAACTTTATCTGTAGATTGTAAAATCTCGTTGATGAAACTCTCGTGCATGTGTGGTAAATCGATTTTTAATGCGTTATTGGATATTCGACGAAATCGATTGAGGAAATATTGAGAGATTTTGTAATGGCATTTCGTCAGTTAAAAATACTGTTCAAAGTTTACGATTGATTAATAAGTTTTGAAAACGAATGGGTGATAAACTGGAGAAAATGTTGAAGAGGTTTTTTCACAGTCTGTGAACTTATTACTAATTAAATAGCTCAATTACCCCGAATCGCTGATAATTGGCATTGACATTTCGATTGCCTTGAGTCCGGTTTGACAAACTAAAAAGCCCGTCACTTCAAATAGTGCTACATGATTCATAAGTACTCTCAATAAACCTGTCCTTGTATATATTGTAAGTTAATCAGCCGTGATTTACTCCGGTGATTTCGAAATATTGTTATCAAGGCAGCTAACCATGGTTGTAACTTAAATTCCCGGTTTACTTCTCTTAAATTCATGGATATGGGATAGAAACACCCAGTGAACACAGGAATGGAGATCAATTCTGGTTTGAGAACTTGGAGAGACTGAAGGTTGTGGATTTTATCACGGAACTGGGGCATTTCGTGCCAAAAAAAAAACTCCTCATTTTAATGACCTCAGGATTTTCCTTTGATGTGGACTAGTTTTGTATCTGCATGAATCCAGAAATGATTGAATATTCAAAGAAAGACAACACTCATCCCATGGCCCATCGCTGAAATCCCAGAAAATCCCATGAGAAACCTCAAAGGAAAACTTGAAATTAGAATTTGTTAAATTTTTTGTCAGTAATAGTTGCACCTCAAAATTTCGAATTATTCATAATGAATTAAATGAATATTATCCAAAATAGTCTAACTATTAGTGTACCACAAATCGAATGATTTCCGATTTATCGAATTGGTTGAAGGTCATATAATATAATTTTCATGGAATATATTCAAGATGTCTACTGATTCTTCAGATACAACAAAGATAAATTTCGTGGCAATTCGTCAGCATTAGAAATACGAGAATTTTTATTTGAAATTTGAAGAGTATTTATCCAGCAGTGTTTATTCAGATTATTGAAACGGTTCTTAAAACCGCGAACACTCTTTAATATTTCAGCAGTTATTAACAGATGCGTCCCAATAACAGTAAACTATTTCTTCAATTGGATCAACTGGATTGACCTGCCCCTCGAAACGTATCATTCAAAATATTACGAGCACTGTCAAAAGACTATTCAAATTTTATGAAATATGACTCATAGTTATGAGGGGAGTAAAGACTCAAAGATATTCGAGATCTTCCATCAGGGAGACCCGGAGAATTCTCCGCGAGATTTAAAAAACCGCAAAAAGTTAACAAAGCAATTATAAAAAATTAGTGAATTCATTTTAAAAATTCCATTAGCTTTTGAGAGTAATTCAATAAATGTTCCACTAAAATGTTTTCTATCAATTCTCCTCAGCTTAAATTTACAATTTTTCAAATTTCACTTCGCCTTTCCTTCGATTAAGAAAATCAAAAACCTGAAAACCAAAAAAAAAAATAATAAAAACCAAAACCAAAAATCAAATTCCATCGACTGTCCCCCGAGAATGCTTTTCATTAAAAACTTAGACACAATTAACGAAAAATAATCCAAAGAACTCCAACAAATTCTTGACAATATATGCGTGAAAGCCTGACAATTCCTGATTAACATCTATTTCCCTGCGTTCATTAGTAAATACAATTACCATGACGAATCCCAAAAAAAGTGGCAATGTAATCAACTCAATTAGTACATTTCTCCCTTAATGGCTAAATAAATAACCGCGCAACGATCTACAATATCACTCCACCAATTTGCCACTGTTGCACTCCCAACTTATTCATATTTTCCCCAGTCATACTTGAGATAGCCCGCGGCAAAGTCACTGTTGCAAATACTTCATCGCTCTTAACCAAAGACATTAAAAGTGCCTTTGGGTAGAAGATGCAACTTGATTAGCTGGTGTGCGCGAAAAAGCTAGCCAGTGTTGCCGCAACTGGAGCAATTAAGTGGCAATCTATTCGAAAAAAAAAGCAACAGCAGCAGAAAGGAGCGGGTGAGTCAGAAAGAAGATGAAGAGAATCAACTGAGGATGGTTATAAGGTGGTGGAATAGTCTCTCTCCTGCGTTGGGCTAGTAACTGTTTCCGATGGGGGGTTTGTACGAGAAAGTTTTAGTTGACGATGGCAATTGGATTAGTCGAACGCTCGTGCCCGTCCATCGTAGTTCTATAACGTTATCATATATATAACTGGTTACTTTGGGGTGGTCTGTCCACAGAGGATAAAAAAGGGAAATCAAGAGGGATATCAGACGGTGTAGTTAGACTGGATAAAACCCGGGGATGGGGCATCAGTGAGGGCCTCGAGGGGGGGCTACAAAAAGGTGGAAGGCAAGTAACTGGTGATGAAAAACTTCAGTAACCGGTTTCACCGTGCAGATTCTCCCCGAGACCCGTTTCACCTCTGCCCAACGAAAAATTGTTCATTATTTTTTCCTGCATTTCATCTTTTCAATTTACCACTCAAGTGTCCCAACGGCATTCATTTATTTCACTTTATATTATCACTCGACATTTTCAATCCTTCAAGCTTTATCATCTCTCAAATTTTTACATTTTCTGTTTCTTATTCTCAGATTACTGAATATGCGATTGTTAGATCTAGATAGGTGTCTGTATCTGTGGGATATGAAGACAATTTTTCTGTCTTGGTTGAGATTTAATGATTAATAGGTGATTAATCATTTTTATACCCTCGATTTGTTGACGATCACTCAAAAAATAGTGAAATCGACGTAAAACGAGAGAATATATTTAGAAGAAAATTTCGAGATCGTTACTAGCAATAATTATACTCATTAAAAAATGCAATTAACGAGAATTCACCGAAAGATAGAATTTTCGTCGGTTACTCTTGGGGTATAATTCGGCTGGGCTTGCCCTCCCCGGCTAATTTTTATCACAGCCATCTCCATCCTGCTAAAATGAACCCTTCCGAGTATTCACACGCGTCGATGAGCCCCGAGTATTCCCTCCAAATGAATTTCTCATGCCCGATAATATATTTGTTTTTAATCCCCCATTGTCATTCTTTTTCACTTCTCATTCCTCCCCATCCAATTGAAAAACTTTTAATTGTTCTTTTTACTTCCCGCCAAATATCTTTTTTTTAAACCATTTTCTTCCATCATTTGCCTTGCAGAAATCGACTACCACCCGATTTGAAACAAAGTAAAAGGGAAAAAAAAGGAAAAGACAGAAAGGATAAAAATAAAGATAAAAGTACCAACTGGCCAAAAGCACCACTGGTACATTCAGAATGCGCCAGAGTTTCCTGTCTGGTGGCTCCAGATGTGCCCGACGTGGTCTAGTATTCGTATTCATTTGGGGCCTCGTAATGATTGGTGCACTGCAATTTCGCCGAGTCGAGAATGAGGTACTACAGGAGCATGATTCACCGACGATGGACGAGGTCTATCCGACGCCAGGTGTTTGGGAACATTCACTGAAACAGGCGCCACCATCACCACTAACGTCTGTACACCGTGATACCCCTGGGATAGGTGAATTATCGGTATATAACAGTGAGAAACGTACGCCAGTTGATGTTGATGGATACAGTCCTAGCATCGATACATACAAAAGACTGAAAAAATTAACAGACAAGCGTCAACCAATGCTTGACAAAAGACCACCAAAAACAGACGATGAAATCGTCAACGAGATTGAGAAAAGACTTCCCAGTTTACCCCTGGCATATTGGATGAAGAGCAGTGCCATAAAGCCACCAAATCAGGCTAAATCATCGGGCTGTGTTGCAAAATTTCCGAGTATATTCGATCTTGAATTTAACAATATCTACTGGCAAACCCTGAAGACATCAAACGGTACATTTCAACTGTTTGGCGCTTACTACGACAATCGTAAATTATCGAGAATAGGTCCAGCAATTAGACTGGTTGGTATGATAGACAGAATTGATCCAAAAGTTAAGACTTATTGTCAGCTGTGGTACGATGGTGAGAGAGATGCAAAAATTGTCGATGTATTCGAGTACAAGTACATATGGTATTCAAAATGGGGTAATTATAAGCAAGGTATTTACCAGCCTTACGTGATAGCATGCAAAGTACCTCAGTCCCACTGGAGAAAGGGGCCACCAGCATCAGTATCCATAGTGGAGAGAGCATGCGATACAGCAACGAATAACTTGCGAGTAATCTACAATCGGCCACAAGTGAAAAAGGAATTTGCTGTTTGCGTTAAGGGTCTTGATTTTCTCCATGAGGATCTCTCCGTACGTTTAATCGAGTGGATCGAGTTAATTGGTATACTTGGTGCCGATAAGATATACTTCTATCAACTGCAGGTTCATCCAAACGTGACCAAAGTCCTCGATTATTATCAGAAATTGGGTAGAATCGAGGTTACACCATTGACTCTGCCCGGGGGACAGCCAAATGTACCAGCATTTCAGCACATGTATCTCACCAAGAGGACCAATCACAAGAGGCAGAATGAACTGATACCATACAATGATTGTTTGTACAAACACATGTATGAGTATGATTACATTGCTCTACTTGATATCGATGAAGTTATAATGCCAGCCCAGGACACGACGTGGAATCAACTCATGAGACGAGTTTTACCCAAGGCTCTCGGTATACGCAATGAGACTCGTGCATCGTACAACGTTAGAAATGTCTACTTTCTCGATGACCTTCTGCATTCACATGAAACCTTCGACCACGTGCCGAGGTGAGATACAACCTGTCTTTAACTATCTTTACATTCCTTTTATTCACACTTTATTCCTGCAACATTCGTCATCGCCTACCACCACCTATGAATTATTTATATCAAGCAGGATACTCTCACATCTTTATAAATATCTTGCTTTTCATTTTTCTCGTTTTCTCGGTGAAAATGATTAATTATTATTATTGTTGCTGTGATTATCATCGAAGATCATGAGATTAATTGAAAATCGTTAAGTCGTGATGAATTGATGATCGATTCTAATTCTTTTAATGAGACTGCAGCTTTTCACTCATTCTTTCTGGAGAGATCAAAAGGATTTATTAAAAATGACGAAAAATCGATTTTTCGATATTCGCACGAGATAAAATATGTAAAAACCAGGGTAAATTACGTAGGAAAATTTCAAACAGCAAGGATTACGTAATTTCATAATCTAAGGAAGGAAATATTTTTTATATGTTTGTAAATATAATTATTCTGCATAATCCGCGAAAGGAGTATATTTTATATATCCTTTTTTTGCATAAAACGCGCCGATTCCGTGTAAAGACGACATAACATGAGTCAGAAAACTCTTTATTGGTCGTTGGATGTAATATTTTATGTTTCATGCTTAGCAATGCTGCCTTGTTCTTTTTACAATTCTCTAGTAGATGTTTATCTCGGTTTTATACAAAAATAACGAAACTGTCATGATGATTATCACCTAGCGCAGTGAATTGGAAATTGTGTCACGACAATTGATCATTGCGAAAATATTCTCTACCAAATATCTGATTCAATAATATCATAACAAAAAATATCACACGTCAAGAAAACGTAATGATTATTCATTGCACTATTATTTATTCGTTAGTACATGAACAAGTGTCCGTAAAGAAATTTATTTTGAATTATAGTGTGAGATTCAATTCAATCCTTTAGAAACACCAGAATAATCTTTAATATTGTTTTTCATGATTATATTTAGGATGATATTTTTACCATAATTTTTTATCCATAATTTTTTATCCATAATTTTTTGTCTTGGTGTTAAATGTCGGGGCGCTTTAGAAATCGATAAATCACGATGAATTTCTGATTTATTCTCGAGGACTTTTCAAGAGAACCCGACACATCATTATCTATTGAAAATATTGATGGAAAATGAGGAAGAATTAATTGTTCGCTATTTCTGAAGAAATAAACAGCCACAAAAAATATTACAGGCTCGGAAAAATAGTGGATTACATGACCTAGGCCGTAAAGAAATCTATTTTATACGCCTATAAATATATTTTATAATCCACGAAAAAAAAACGTATTTTATCCTTTTTTTTCACATAAAACGTTCCGATTCCGGAACGACAAGAATTATAATTACCCGAGTCAGGAAAGACTTTATTGGTCGTTGGATGTAATATTTTATGAGATCTCGGTTGCCGCACCATTGGCGAATAAAAATTTGGAATTACGGATCAACCAATAGAGCCAATATCGATGGATATCAAGTCAGGATGAAGCACGTTGGTGTTTTTATTGTTTTCTTTCATTATTTAATAATTCGACTGTTCATCTTTATATGTACAGGTACATGCACATGCTTCAGCACGTGTACAGATCGAAGAATTACACAAAACCAAATCAGTACGTCAAGTGTTTTCACAATCCAGAGCGGGTTGTAACGCTGCATAATCATTTTCCATTGGCCTGTCTCGGCTCTGGATGCACCACCTATGCGATCGATACAGAGGACGCCCAGTTGCAGCATTATCGTGCAGACTGCGTTAAATCACTCAAGAAGACTTGTGTACAGTACCGTGAGAACAGTGTATTGGATACGAAAATTTGGAGATACAAGGATGAACTTGTTGACCGTGTAACAAGAACCCTAGAGACACTTGGTTTTTTCGGTCCTGGTTGAGACTGTCAACATTACAATATCAAAATACAGCATCATCAATGCACTTGGCTCAATCGCTCCTCCTTGTTCCCCGGAAATATTTAAATCGATTTTTCCTGTTCCGTGGAATGACGAGGGTGCATTACCCACTTTTCATGGTCAATCTCGATCGTTCTCTGTGGAAATAAAACAAAAAAATATATATGTATATAAATAAGCAACAGTCATGCGTGAGAGAGGACAGGAGATTAAAAAAAAATCTATGTGCAAAATGAACGGTTGGAAAACAGTTAGACTCAAGCCAAGTACAGAACAGAGGGCGATTCACATTGTACCATGAATAGCTCTTTATTGTAGGCCACACTGACTTGTGTGCATTATGACGTCTGCTAGCTTTTTGTTAGCAAAATCTCATACACATTAACGTGTGCCATTAGAATCACTGAGTGAGGCCTACATTGGGATGCACTTGTGTACGTTTTTCATTATTACATGTATCACATCATATTGTACAGTTGGAGTATTTGTTTTAATTGTTGTGTTCAATTATGGATGAACGGTGAATAAAGCCTCTGAAATATTTATTTCCATGATTAAAGCTGTGTCGTATTTTCTCCCCTCCTATCATCCTACCACCCTACCACCCTACCACCCACCATCCCTTCGGAATGTACTTTAATAGTGCACGACGAGTAGACTTTATTACCTCCAGTGGAAATGACTTTTCCTCGTCTTACACCTCCCCTCAATTTCCCTTTGACGCTTTCCCGAGGCAACTGAGAGTTGCTATGGCTTCAGCCGCGAGATCTTTTGGATTTTACGTACTGAAATCTTCCTGGAGCCAGAATGATGATGACCTGGACGCCTCGGAGAAATGGGGGATGGAGTTGCAGTTATTTTTCTCACGGGTTTACGTGGTTTCTTTTTCTTTATTCCTCCCCTCCCTATTTTTCATTCCTTTTGGTTTTATTTCTTCTTTTACTTTTGCCTGCATACATGCGGCTGAGGTAGAGGGATAGATTCTATCCATCTGAATATATCCCTGTGAGCATTTTCTTTGGGAATCCAGGGAGGGGAAAGATTTTCAGTGGTACGTGGAGCAATACGAGGAGACGGTGGGTGGATTGGAGGATATAAATATGGCAAGTGACTACCCACGCAAGAAAACGTCGCACGCGGGCTTCCACATGCCGTTGACGATGCTTTTTCACCAGTTTCAGTTTCATGAAAAAAATCTCGTTGAGCACATTCGCCTGGAATTTCATGGATTTATTCCAGTGTAGAATTCATTAATTTAAAATAAAAAATGGAAAATATTGTGCATATTATGGGGTGAAAATTCATGAACCACTTGTGACATTCCTCGTAATATTTGCCAGATATTCTGGGCCACTGTGTACATCTGAGAGTCAACAATTTCGGGTTAGAATTCGGCGAGTCTATGGTGTAGAAATCCTAAGGGAGCTTGTTATTCATTCATTCCCAGAGGTGGAAATTATTAAAACCACAGGCAGTTATGGATCTAACTGATATTGACGGTGATGCTGAACAACCCTCAAAGTGTATTGCATTCCTTCGTATGACCTGGAAATTCTGTAAATGCATATTCTCACATGTGACACTCGTGTCTACCGTTGTTGCATACTGTGTACTCGGTGCATATGCATTCGAGAAGATTGAGGCGGGACATGAAAAAGATGTACGGTGATTAAACATTTATGGAAAAGTCACAGAAAAAAAAATCAAACATCATACATTTTACAGTTTCAGAGAGTAGTCACTCATTATTTTTAGGGATTCACTCTGAAGAATCCGAGAATCAGGGAAACATTCCTGATTTTTTTAATTTATCTATTTTTTCCAATAAATTTCAAGTTTTCTTTTCCTGAATTTAATTTATTGATATTTTTTCTTATTTTAAAATACTGTTGTACTTTTAATTGAGAAGTAATAATTGATAATTAATGTATTTGATTCCAGAAAGCCGAAGAAAAGAAAAGTGAATCATCAAATTGTTTTTTTTTATGGAATTAATATGAAAACTAAGTTAAATGAATTGCTCATTTATTATGATAATCAATTTGAAACAATTCCCCTTCATTTCGCGTTGAAATTAAGATCGATATCTTCTAGGAATTTTCCAACTTTTCTCTCCGGCTTTCAGTGACAAATCCGCTAATTTTTCCCTAATGTATGTCAATACCCAGAATCCGGAAAAGTTAGAGATTAATCCGTGGGATTAAAAACTTTTCCCAGTGTTGGGAGTTAATTGATGAGAGGCTGAACGAGATGAGCCAGATGAAAAACTCCCACTCCTCATTCATTTCTTCACTCCAACCCACCCCATCATTTTCCATAATAATTACCAATTTTCAAGTACCAAAAACCACATCATCCCATCCAACAACTTAATTCCCCCGAACCCCAGGGAGACCAATAATCACCCCAATTTCTGTCCAGGTAAAAATAAGTATTAAAAATCTCCGGGTGAACATAACCGAGCGATTATGGGACTGGACACTAAAGTCAGAAGCCCTCTACGAGTCCTCATGGAAGAACAAAACAATTCTGGTCCTCCAAGTGAGTTTGTCCCCCGAAAAAAAAAAAAAAAAATCATTTACAAACATTTGTCTTCCGCTCTATCCCCCGAACAAGTCGTACTCTCTAAAAATCTGACGAAAAAAAAAAAATAAATCAGGATTTCGAGAAAGAATTGCTGACGAAGATGAAGAAAGAGGGCTGGGATGGAAATGAATCCACAGAGAGCCTTCAATGGACATTCGCTGGAGCGCTGTTCTACTCCATAATTGTCATCACCACAATAGGTCTCCCCTCCACGTATAAATTTTACCTCTCTAATCCATCCAGTACTCGAGAATAATCACTTTTCACGATATTCCCCGAGTTGTCAGATATTACCTCATAATTTTTTATCCCTCAGGCTACGGTCACATAGCACCAAAGACACCGAAAGGGAAGATCGTGACAATCTTTTACGCCATACTAGGAATACCACTGATGCTACTGTGTCTATCGAATATCGGTGACATCATGGCATCGAGCTTCAGGTAAATCTCCCCCGATGCTCCACAAAGCACACATGGTCCCCCATTCGCTGTACACATATATCTATTTTTTTTTATATTTATTTTCAATTTTTTTATGCCCACTCATCCGTTCAACATTTGTCGACTTTGTGAGAGTAAAAGCACCATGACGGGTATTACTCTTGGATGAATGGCTCGTATTTAAACCCCCTACCTATCTACTTTTTTTTTCCCCCTTTTTTCTTTTCCTTTTTTACGTTTTTTGCTTTCTTTATCCAATGGATTACTCGACAGGTTCCTTTACTGGAAGGTATGCTGTTATATCTGTGTAAGGCCACCGAAACCAAGGCGAGCACGAAGTGGAACATTGTCGAGGGGCTACAGTGTTCGACAAGGATCAGGGTAAATATGCCTCGGATGTACATTCAAAATACATAGGTATTCAGTGCTGTGGATTTTTCAATTGTTTCAAGTTGAGATACTTGGAATCTGCCAATGGGCCTTTTTCGGCACTCATATCTGTGCAAGATTATTATGATTATTACGAGAATTTATTGAATCCAGTCGAAGAAATCAGTGATTTTCGATTTTTTACAGCGAAACGCAAATTGAGAGTCCTGATATGTTTGATGAAATTTATTTTTTGTTATTTCTTATTTTAAATTCAATATCGAAATCATTCGTATTCAATGCGATTTTTATAATTGCCTTGAAACCCAAGATAAATTGAAAAATAAAAACGAAATGAAATTTCACTTTGAATTTCTTCAGTTAGAGCCTGTGTTTTAATAAAAATCTTTGTTGTCTTCAGGGCCTGCAAAAAAATGGAAATAATAATTCTCACAGGTTTTTTTTCAATTGCCACCTATCGATGTAGTATTTACTATTAATTAAATTTATTAAAACGGAATTCATTGTTGTACATAAATATTGATAATTTTTTTTATAAAAAAAACTGTGAATTTATAATGGAATTTGAATCTCCCCGACAATGGTAATATTTCCAATCAAGTGCTGTGACCTATTAATGACCGAATAATTGATGATTATGAAACATAGAATTTATGAAATGATAATAGTTGATTAATTCATGAGGCGCTGTGATGAAATTTGAAATGGATACTTAATTTAACTTTCCCATTGGATCTGAAGCCGAGGTGGTTGGAACCGAGGGGCGTCTCTTCGTCGATCAATCAGAACGAGTCAACGATCAGCTGATTCAGCACTAGGTCTATCAGACAGTATGACACGCTCGACGGATAATGATTATCGGGGATATCAATTGTCCCGGCGTTTCGAGGGCGATGGTAATTCGAATGAGTCAAAATCGTACGGTCAACGCTCAACACTGCCTAAAACAGCATCACCGAGAAATCTCAATGTAACTGGTACATCGAGATATCCTTATGATTATCGTTGCGCATCAGTAACACCGAGAATTGGGAGTAGATCTGGAAGACTGACTGGCGGTGCTATTGCTGGAACGACACAGTCGTTGGATAGACGACTGCTCGTTGGTTCGAGTGATGTAGATAGGACTCCAGTTCTTTTCAACAAGTATGCTATTGACGAGCCAGAGTTCAACGAGAGTCGAATGACACGGAACAAAAGAGGTACTTGGACGAATTGGTACTGGGTAAAAAATAAAGGTAATGCTGTGGAGGGAGAGACATTTCAGATAGGGGAATTGTTTTAACAGACTTGCTGGATGACTTTGAATCAACCAAGCGAAACTCGAGGAGGTCTGATAGAGCTACCACTGATTATGCAACATTACCGAGATCATCTGGCTCGGGTTTACCTAGGAGAGCACGTTCCGTTCATCCAGGTGCATTAGGACAAGAGCCCGGTGTCTACCTTGAAATGGCAAAACCCCGAAAAATACCACCGCTCAATAACAGAAGACCCAGGAGTAATCTAGGATACATACGTAAGCGAAATTCTCTATTGACTTTTTCACCCCATCCCCCCTCCCCCTTGCCCCTTCATACCTCTTTTACTCTATCGTATGCTGCACTCCGTTATCCGACATTTTTAGAATATTTTCCATCGCGAGGAAAATGTGATTGACATCATTGTCAATTCTCTAGTCATTTCTGGGAAATGAGAGGAAAACTGGAGTATTGATTGTGAAATTTTCTCCTCGTCGGAGAAGAACTCGTGGAGAATACGTTTCCGTGGGGAAAAAAATATGGGAAAATTGCACTCCACTGTTGTAAATTGAGAGAATAATCGCACGTGACACAAAAGTTACTCGATAAATGGGAGATTGCAATTGCTTATCACGATAGGATATGATATTAATCCCGTATAATTTTTTCTTCCATTTTTCTCTTTGTTCGCTATTTTTCTTTTCGTAGTGTATCAAAATGTGAAGATAGATCTTGAATTATTGAGTATTATTTTAATATTTAAAAACATTCATATTAAAAGTTTCCGGAAAAAAAAGAAAGTAAGAAAAATTGTTTCCTAGTTTGTTTAATACAGTGGGAATGCAATGGAATGGATTTAATTCATTTTGACTGCATTGAAAAAAGGGGAAAAAAGGAAAATAACTTGATAAATATGAGAGAAGATTTAAAATATGAGAAATTAAATAAAAAAATGCGAAAATTGATAAAATATAAAGAATATTTGAAATGGCAAAATGACAAAATCTATCCGCATTACCAGATTTCCGAGAATTATAAATTCGATTTGAAATAAGTTCTAGAGAGTCATCAGCATTTTACTCCCATAGTTTTTGCAATAAACATACAAAGGAGTATCCGAAGTGATAACGATCTAGGGAAAGAAATATCCTCTAGAATTTGTTATGATAATGAGTATACCGGGTCGATCGGGAGATTTTTATACCCAATATTTAAATTATCCCCGAATGATGTTATCACATCGCTGACGAGAATGTTGACGCAGTTATCGAGAGTCTTTCATATTTTTATGCAATTTCCGTAGCTCGACCCCAGAGACGAGAGGCACCATCCCCTCGCATAATGTCACCAATGGGTTTTGCTGTACACCGTCAGATATACGTCGATGACATTGAATTCGACGATTATTCCGCAACTGTCGAGGATCAAGCGATAAAACCGGTGCCAATTTGGCTCTGTGTCTTTTTGGTTGTGAGCTACATCCTGGCTGGTGCTGTCTTGTTTATGAGCTGGGAGCACTGGGAATTTCTCGATTCCGCGTACTTCTGCTTCATCACTCTCACCACCATAGGCAAGTTATTCAACCGCACTCCATCCTGCATATCTATCTTTGCACTGTTGAAAATTTTTCACTTGAATTTTCTCCCTGCTCCTCCAAATCCATAAATCCCATTATATCGATGTTTCACTGAAGTTTCAACGAATTTATCCTATTGAGAATTGACAATCCCCGGAAAAAATCAATGGGCTGGTCTTTTTATTTTATTTGTACAACCCTCGGGCAACACTTTAGTCGCAGGGACATTATTTTGTAGTGGGTTGTTTATAGGACCGGGAAAAATGTCAAAAACCCAGGGGTATGCATCTGATAAATTAAATCGCCTATTTCAGTGGTATATGTAACTATGTGCGTCTGCGCATCATGTCGGTGATTTATTTATCGGAAATCGAATCTTCTTATCAATCAACCGTTCATTTCGGGTATTTTCGTCGCGTACGTGATACTAAAATATTGAGAAATATAAAATATATGAGAATTTTAAAAAAATCTAATTTTAAAATTACCCTAGTCTAGAGCCAGAACTTGAATTTCAATGGGAAAATTAATTGTTTCAAAATTTCAAAATATTTTCATTAGCCAATGGTTGATTTGATTTTACGTATTTTTGCCTCGTGAAAAATAATAAAACCCTGAAACGGGAAAAAAACTTTAGAAGGAAAAGAAATGTTTCATTGTCATCCCATGGGCCTCATCTTACAGTTTCCCGGGCAGCAAGTGATTCTTCCTTGATAAACTAGTCTTGAAGATAATAAACAAAAAAAACCTTGGAAACATAAAAAATATGGAAAAAAAAAATCTAGCCCGATGGACCTCTGGTCAGGATTATTATGACAGGCTATTGACTTTTTTCCAAAGTGGAATTTTTCCATTAATCAACCATTCAAATAATTAATCAAGTGAATGCAATACACAATTCAATTGATAATTTGATTGAATGTTGGGTGAAACACGAGCCTGCATGATTTTTCCCCTGAAATCAAACTGAACGACACCCTCCAGAAAACTAAAACTCAGCTGGCACCGAAATTCCAATATTTTTTCAACAGTTGCCCTCTCGCCAGTTCCATCAAAGCTTAATTACTTTCCTCCATCCAATTCAATTTTTTTACCTCGCCCTACACCAGGTTTCGGTGACTTTGTGCCAGCCCACAAACTACCCAACTACCCAGCCCACATGGGAATAGCATTGTGCTCCCTGTATCTCCTATTCGGTATTGCCCTGCTCGCCATGAGTTTCAATTTGGTCCAGGAGGAAGTAATAACTAACGTCAAGACTGTTGCTAAGAGGCTTGGTATAATAAAGGACAAGGAGAACGAGGATGATGAAGAAGATCCAGATGACGAGAATGTTGACATTGAGGAAAGTTATGAGGATGGCAATTATGAATGTGAATACCATGTTTATCCTCCCACCGTGAGGGGACGTCAGTGTTACGTTGATGAGGTGGATCAGGGTCACGATTATGAGACAGCCTAAAACTCCTCACTATTGGGGACTCAGATAAATAAACATTCGTAATTTTCATCTCGAATAATCTCTGTATTACGAAAAATCATCATCCCTTATACTCCACTTGACAAAAAAATTCTCCTCAGTCAAGTTGACAGTTCGGACTTACTTAAGTTGGACCTGTCATGTCAAGTGCATGTTGGCACGACATTGACGCGTGTTAAAACATAAAATAAAAATTAAATCATGCCAAAAGAGCGACTTGAGTCAAGTCGTTATCAATTCTGAAACGAGAACTTCGGCGTGAGTCATTCAGAATTTGAGCTTGACTCAAGTTTTTTTCTGTTTGCTTGACCAGAAAGGTTTGCAACCGGTATTTTATTGACGGGTGTCTTTCACCAACCGGAATTCCCACCAGAAAATTGACTTAAATAAAGTTCTCATTGATCCAGTGAAACGAGAAGAGTTTTGGCGGAAATGACTCGGTTTTTTCGCTTGACTCAAGTCAATCTCTCAGCTTATTTTAACCCAAAGTTGATCGGGGACATTTCTTCAAAATAAATCGCTCTTCAACTCATACAACGATCGACTCACTTGACTCGAATCAATTGTAATATGAACAATAACCAGATGTTTTTTTAAAATATATCTGAATCCAGCGAAGTGGTCCCCCACTCCAGTTCCATTCACCTCTTCCGAATAATTTTTCTGTTATTTCACCACCAATACCACGACAACCATCTCCAACTGGCCGTGTTAACTCTGTCTCTTGTCTCGTCTCTGGGCCGTTGCTTGTAATTTTAGAAATGCTCTATTTTCGAGTTAGTGTGCCGTCGGACAGAGTCGGCATAGTGTCAGGACAAAGACAGCAAGAACTATTCATTTTTAAACATATAACGAATAACTCGTGGCTTTTGGTTATTCGGGGGGGGATATACCGTCTCTAGTGGATAAGTTGATCTTGGGTGGAAGGAAGGCAACACTTTGTTCCGGGTGATTTTATCAATTGGTTCTTCCCCGTTGTTATCCCCTCGGCTAGAGTCTCGTAAACGTCTTCCCCTGCGGCCTATGGGGCTTCCTCTTTTATTGGAGGCGGTGAATCCTCCCTGGCCGGAGCCTCCACTGGGTCACCTTTTTTTCCCCTTTTGATCTACACCTTTTTTTATCATCGATAAACCAATCCCCAGGTGATTTTTTTCTCTCACTCTGTCTCCCGAGGAAGATCGAGGGCGTCGAGCAGTCCTGATTCTTCCTTGCCAGGGGGATTTATCCGTTGGATTGCTCTTTTATTGTCACTGTGCGTCGATCGTGATCGAGTTCACGCGCTGATTTCCCTTTTTCAAGTGGAAATTGAGGGAATTTTCCTCTGTCGACTTGGTTTGGATTATTGGATGGTCTCTCTTCTCTCCTGATAAATTGATGAGGCGCACTCGGTGGCACTAGAGAGATGAGGGGAATCCTGAGGTTTTTGAATTTTTTGGGGTAAGAAATGGAAGAATCCAGAGGATGGATCCAAGCACCTACGGGCTCAGTACGTGGACGAGTGCTGGATGGCCATGAGCCATGGAGTAATCGTGGCGCTTCGATAAAACGACGTGGTACTAGGAGAGAGTGGAGGGACAGAAGAAGAAGAAAAAGGCGAAAACCATTTGGTGAAAAAGTTGCTGACTGGTTACGGGCATTTCTTGCTTTTTTATTCAGTAACGTTGGGATTGTTTGCTTAGTGATTGGTTACACGGTGGCTGGTGCCTTCATTTTTGAATTTATCGAGGGTACGAATAGCCGGAGAATTGGCACTGGCCATTTGATACCCACCAGGAGAAATGACACCGCTGCTCTGTTGTGGAATTTAACTTATAAGGTAAATTTAACGACAATTGTTGTTTGTTTAATTATGTTTAACATCCACCGGAGAGAAGTTTGAGGAGTTTTTAAATTAATCTCCCCCAATCACGGGGAAATTTAAAATGAGATTCCGTTTAATCGAGCAAATAGTGTTATTTATAGAAGGTTTTTTTTTATTTTGCTGGGTTGAAAGTTTAATTGAAAGTTACTGGAATATTTTATTTTCTTTGATGAAAGTCTGCCTGAGGCCATCATCGATAGAGGTCAATAGATATTACCGATGTGGATTGAGTGAAGTGAATTTATAAAGCATAAAAATTTGAGAAAAAAAAATGAATTCCCCCATTGGAGGTATGGATAAAAAATTCCAGATAACCACTAATTCACCCCTCCATCAGGGTACAAATCCGAAACGATAAATTCACGTCTCCCCCGTCTCCAGAGAATTTTTCCAGAAATATCTGAATGCTAATTCGGGTATAAATTCAACCAATATTCCCCGGAATACTCTAGCACATACCATTTGCGGTGAATTTATAACCGCTTATTTGGTATAGTATATCTGTTTTTATTCCAGGAGAATATATTCTCGGAGACAATATGGAAGAGGAAGGTCGATAAGATACTGGTGAATTATCAGAAAACTGTAATTGACGCTGTGAGGAGTGGATGGGATGGTACAGAGTCGGAAAATCGAAAGTGGAGCTTTGCTGGGTCATTTCTATACTCGTTAACTGTCATCACGACCATTGGTGAGTTAAATAATAACCCATCGTATATCAATTCCACTCTTACCCCGTACTTTCACGTACCGTTAATCATAATGTTGAATTACTAATCCCCAAAGGATACGGTAATATGTGCCCAAAGACAATGTCAGGAAAGGTGATTACCATTGGCTATGCTATTGCTGGTATGCCCCTGTTTCTACTCTACCTCAGTAACATCGGCGACATACTTGCTAGAAGTTTCAAGTGGACGTATGCACGCTGCTGTTTGTGCAGGTACTCTATTCGCATTTATTTTATTTATTTTCATTTCTCGTATTGTATCCGTGACAGAACACAGGGAAATGGAAACTTCACTCGTACAAGGAAAAAAGTATAAAATTTCAGGGGCTCTTGACTGTTAATTTTCACGAGAGTGACACTCAATCCAATGTAGGGGCAATAATCGTGAATTTTTTTATTTCATTGGAATTTCTGCACAGAATTACTGAATTACACCATTCAAATGTGCACTGTTAAAAATTATATGTACTTGGAATTTTTAGATGGAAAACTTGAAATTTTTTATAATTCCGATGTGACGAATTATTTAATTTATTGGATATTCTGGTAATTATAGTTTCACGTTCTTATAACACGGAAAAAACGTAAACATGTTGGAAATTTAAACAGTAATTGCCCGGAACTCTATCTATTGGGAATTCCTGAAGGAATATACCAGAGTAAAAATAGAACAATGTTAATTTATGGTCTATTAAGTTGGATGGCTTTTAACGCATTTGGATGTGTAAGCTATTTTTTTCTTATCTATTTTTTCTGCTTATCTAACCATAAATGGAGAAAAATAGACGTACGACTGTAGAAATTTGTGAGTCATTAAGTGATATCAATCTGATCCGCAGTTGATCGGAAAAAAAAACATGAAAAAAGAGAAAATCTCGGCAATAAGTCCTTAACTTGAACAACCCATAAATTCAAATTCAATTCAGACGCATTTAATTAAAAAATCAAATGACTGAAATTATGACTGCAATTGCAAGTAATTTTTAACAGTACATATGAATATTTTTGGTGTCAACGAACCTGCCGAGACAGAGTAGACCTACTTTCTTTAAAATTTGTATGGAAAATATTAGTTCTGATAATACCTGACGTGATGCATCTGCTTCATGTTTCCGAACGTAATTCTCATGGTAATTTTTGTGAAATGGCTTTTCCGTGTGGTATGGCTCGTTGAGATTCTCATTTTCGTGCGTGTTTTTACCAGATGCAGAAAGAGGCCAAGGGTACCCCGTGATCCATCGAATGCTGAACCATACAAGAACACTTGGCAGGTCCATTCAAATTTTATCCATTTTTGCAATATCCCAGTGCAATTGAGACAATTCAAGTATTTTTGATTATCGAATTAGTCAATTGAGTGGCATTTGGAAAATGTAAAAGAAAAATGAACATTAGCGTCATTCAAACTAAATCTTTAATCTTTCAACTCTCAAAAGCAATTAATTAAGATTAGCATAAATAAAATTAACTCGATTAATTAAAATCACGTAAACAATATCATTTAACCGTTTTGATTTCCTGCAAATAATTCTTGCAGTGGAATTATAATTATTCATGAATTATTAACAAACATTATGAAAGAAAAATAAATTAACAATGCATTAACTTGCGGAATTTGTATTAAATGAATTTTTTCAAAATATTTCTCAAGTTGAGAAATTTTTTATGAAAAAATGGTTGAAAATTTCGTGAATATTGCACCCTCAACTCTGCCGAATGAACCAATTTCAGATGGTCAGAATGCAATCCGGACGAGTAGACACGGTGAGCCTAGATGGTGAAATTGAGTCCATGTCAAAGACAACGAGCACCGACGAGGAGAACGAGGAGGACAGCGAGGATGAGGACGACGAGAGCGATCGTTACGATCCCCAACGCATTACAGTACCATTGACCCTTTGTCTCGGTATAATGGTCGGGTAAGTTTCCAACACTTGTCCATCCCAGATAAAAAGACAACAATGAGAGTTAAACAAACTTGTCAGTCATCTAAACTCCCTCTCCAGATAAATAAATAAATAAAAACTTCTGACTGTACATTTGTGGAAAAGCCCCCAGCTGAGAAGTTTTCCCGCGCAAAATAAAAAGTAGATTAAAAAAAAAAACAAAAATCCACGAAACAATTTGTGACAGGTACATCTGCGGTGGAGCCCTGTTATTTTCTGAATGGGAGGACTGGGGCTTTTTAGACGGCTCCTACTTTTGTTTCATCTCCCTCTCGACAATTGGCTTTGGTGATATTGTCCCAGGTGACAAGATATACTCCGGCCAAGGGATCGAGCTGTCCTTCATATTTTGCTCAATGTATCTCATGCTAGGTAATAAAACAAAATACAATCCGTCAGACTGAAAAACATCCATAAACCATATTATCAAATCTGTCAAGCACTTGATGCGCCAGATAGTCATGAAGAAGAATGAGCAGTAAAAGTGATAGAGCAAAAAATCATTGACTCTCACGTATTCCTCTTCTCTCTCTCTCTCTCCCTCTCTTTTTTTTTCACCAGGCATGGCTCTGATAGCGATGTGCTTCAACCTGATGCAGGAAGAAGTGATGGCTAAAATGCGATCGTTCACGCGAACAGTGAAGCACGTACTCAGATGCGACAGATAGGATAACGTTTTCCACTCCTCCCTTGCACACACACACACATGTATATCCACTAAAAATGGTAAAGAGAAGGGGATGGGGATGAGGAGGCGATGAAAAAAACTACAGAAAAAGGAAGCCACCTCTCGTGCAGTCATCTTGGTGTGGATGAGCAAGTGGTAGAGGACAAGTACAAGATTAAAACGTCTGGTCTACCTACGTTGTATGACGTGTGTATATCTCCCACTGGCTTTTTTTACTCCACAACCTGCCACAATTCAACGAGATTCAGGTACATATGAAGCCATGTGATGCATCCACTCGTACACCCCCTAACCAGCTCTATCGTTCCACTTTTCTATTATCCTGAATATGGCACTCTACAACCACCAAAAATCCATTTGCACGAGTACGTAACAGGTTTGGCACTGCACTGAGAGATAAAATTTCGTTTGACAGACAAGATTTACTTGATACTAGATGACATTCTCTTCTCTATTTTTTTAAACTGTTAAATCTTGTAATCAATGTTTTTATTCTCACACTCGAGGAATAAATTTATTCATCACCAAGGGACCCTCCATAGAATCGAATTTATTGGGAGGAATTCTTGCTTCCATTCCAACCATTCCAACCATTAAACAATTTTATTGTCAAATAATGTCTATTGATCTTGTAAATATGTAGTTCAGGTTCACCAAACCATTCTGGATATTGTGTAATGGAGTGGGTGGATTTCCGTCACCTGGTTAAGGATCTGGGTACCCTTTTAGAGGGAAACAATTAGTTTGGGAGAGATGGATATTAATACACCTCTCTGTGTTATCCAGGGCGAAGACGAGGACGTGGCGGTGTTGTCGACCCCAAAGACAACACATGTTGGTACATTTAGAGACAATGGACACACAGAAAGATGGGTTTCAAATAGTTCTGAACACAACGCGTGATTTATCCGCCGTTACCCTCCTGTAGTAGTTCAAATTATTGAATATAATATCATTCACTCGTCGTGTCAACATCGATAATTATTGTTTTTGGTGAACCTAAACCACACATTTTTTGTTATTAGTGTGAGAATGAAATTATTTATTAGATTTTACAATTTTTTAAATTGATAAGACTATATTTTCTTGTACCAAGAAAGTTTCTTTTGTCAAAAGTAGTTAATTCTCTTAGCTGCTGAGAGAATTGAATGACCGCCCTCGATTTATTCGATCAATAATTTCATTCGACAACAACATACGATAAATAACGAGCGATAAAATAGTAACAGAGTACTCAGTGAAAAAGGAATCTTTATTTAGAGGAGAAAAAAAAAACCCTTGTCTCTAGGAACTCGTGGTTGTAGAATCTAACGACCGGAAATCCTTGAAACAAGTGACTATTTCACTTATTTCATGGATTTTCTGCTTAAAATAAAATAAAAGAAAACAGCTTTACCAATGACTTCTAGACCAGATGAGCGAAAATTTCCTTATCCCGAGGAAAATCTTTTTTCATTCACGCATATCAATGTAAAGTTGACATTTTTCTCATTTTTCGGTTCAAAATAGTTTTCATCGGCTATAAATGTGCCCATGCTCATTCACATGCCGTCAGCTTTAATATCTCAACTTCTCATTACTTGATAACTAGTTCTTTCCATTAATGAGGAGAGTTAAAAATAAAAAAAGGAAAATTGCAGAGTGAATACTTAAACTGCAAGTTAACGAACAATTTTTCAACTTCTATCTGTCCTTTTTAATGGAATAAAATAAAGATTTCTTGGATAACATCTCAAAGCATTAAAATTCAATAAAAATACGTTACAACTAATATCTTAACACTTTATTGCAATGCTGGCAATCGCGAGAATTGGTACAATGAAAATAGTATTGATCCTCTGGTCGTTCTGCAACCATCTGTGAACCTGAAACGGATTTAACGTATAAAGAAAATCACTGAAATGTTTAAACTACCAAATAATAACTTTAAAACTCGCGAGATACTTCAATATTGTTCTCTCGCAAAATAAGATACTCAAGTTGTAATTCGTTCTGCCGTATCCTCTCCATGTAATCTAAAAAATGATAATTACCATGATTAATATAAATATGCATGCTTCACCTTCGAAATTCTGACATCCAATTCAAAAATCGTATCATCACATGATAACACGCATTCCTATATAAATTCACCCCCAATTATATTTTCATCTCATCTAGACAGAGGAGTGTAATTAACTTATGATAACCAACTCTCGCTCTAAAAGAAAAAATAAAAGAAAAATAGAGACACGTAGAGATCACCCCAGTGATGGAAAAATCCATATAGAATACCAAAGAAAAACATCTGGCATTGGCCATAATCCAATCATCCCTCTTCCTCCATCCTCACCCCCTAGCGAATACAATATGTAGCGTATCGATGATAATTTCCTGATATGACATACACAACAACCGGATATCATAGATCCACAATTCTGGCACATCCTCCAGTCCATTCGTCCCCTACTACCCTTTCCCCATCATCTCACCATCCAGTTCTTCATCATTGAAATCCAATTCAGCCCTCCCAACCCTGGCAAACGCAATCTCTAAACTCAAAATCCACTACTTGCACATTTCACCGGTGCATGAAACTGTCCCCACAGCATTGGCAAACCTCCAATCCATTTGTACAAACCTATCAAGCCAGTATGCGAGAACTATACTCTCTCCACTCTCGTTATCGATGATCATATCAGGCAACAAAACCCACCGAGCCCCCTTGTATACCTGTTTAAATGGATAATGCAGTCCTCCTACTCTCCATTCCTCTTCATCAAGTTTTGTATCCCTCATCGCAACCAATTCAACCCCCGGTGTGCATTTACAGGTATAATGTACACTAGTGGTGGTGCCCCAAAGAGCAACAGTCGTCATTGGAGAAACGGGACCAACCCAAACCCCCTAATGGGGGAGAGGGGGTCTGGAGGGGAATTCATTCACTTCATCTCTCTCATCCTCATCAATATCTCATACCAACGCTCATTTCTTCCCCCTACCCCCTTAATTTTTCTCACACTACTCCCCATGCCATTCCCTCTTTCTTCATTTTCTCAAACCCACAGAATTTACCTCCCTCTCTCACCCTCTCACTCTCTCACTCCCTCACTCCCTCACTCCCTCACTCCTTCACGCTCATGCGTCCTGGTGCATCGCCATTCCCTCTCCAACCCACCACCCATTACCACCCACCATTACCAGTTTTCCCTTCTTTCCCTCTGTCCTATATACACCTTCGTCCATCGTGCGATTCTGCGCGCGAATTTCATCACTGGAGGATACCGAGTCTGTGGTTGAGACATAGATCATCTTTGATCATCGATATTTCAAAATTTACTGAGTGAATATCGAAAAATTTTATTCCGTTCTCAAGGTATCCTCAGGGGCTTCCCAATGAGACCTAACTCGTCCCACCCGTATCATCGAGTCCGGAGATATAAAGCCGTAAACGGGACTAATTTCTAGTAGATAGAGAGAACAAGGCTTGAACTGTTCATCTTCAGTGGTGAATAATTCGGCACTGCCAGAGATGAATTTGACAATTTTTTTTTTATTTTCCGGGTATTTTTGTGAGCTTTGAAATGAGACCTGATTGATTCAGGGTGTATGACTTAATCGTGGAATATCGGGGGCACAGAGGAGATCTGATGATCCCTGCACCCACAGCCTCCACCACCGTCATCCCCTTCTACCACGACGGCCACGACGCTGACTATACCCTTTTGATACCAATACACTGACAGGGGAAATGGAAAAGCGCCGCGCGCGCACATTCACACACAAATGCCATAACGTTATGAACCTTGCTCAATGTTAGGGATACTAGTGCAAAAGCGTTCCTCAACGCTGACTAGTACCGTGTTGAATTTCCCCGCGTGAGGGTGTGTTTCCCGCGCTTCACTCCAATTATCCACTGTTTTGCACAATTTTTCACTCTCGTCCGGTGAAATTCAAGTTGCCACCCCCCATCCCACCCTCACCCCAACCCGACTATTTCAATTTACTTTCATTGAGTTCTTCACGATGAAGTACCCACCAGTGACGACTCCCCAGTTCCCAATTTTCCAAATTTAAATTTAATCTTCACCCCCTCAAGTTAAAAACTTCAATTGAGACCTCATGATCGTCTTTTTTCCGTACATAAAACTAAAAAAATGGGGTGAAAACAGTTGGATGTCTAGAAATATATCATTTCTTTTAGTTTTATTTTGCCCGGAGAGCGATGAGCGACGAGCGATGAATATCAACGAATAAATCCGTACGTATTTCTGATTGAATATATTCACAGAGGTGATGGATCATGTTTTTCCGATTCACCCCATAACGTCCGGTACGAGCGTTAAATTCGTCAATAATTACGAGTAATTAAGTGACCGCGTAATCACCACTTAATCCGCAGGACTCGTGGAGATATGGTACATCGGTGAGAGAGGATGGCTGGTACGGGGGGATTTGTAAAGTCTATTGGACAGGGATGATGAAACGGTTGCTCATTTATATGGTCTCTGGGCTGTTACGTGGTTTAGGCATGCGAATAGACTGTGATAATCTTCAAGGGGTTGGCTTTAGCCCGAAGGCCAAATTCCGGGGAGTTGTTAAGTGCCACTTTCTCCTCTTTTTTCTCATACCCGTGTATTTTCTCACTCCTCATTTTCTTTCCCCGGCTCTTTTTTATCAGCTTTTTTTTTTTGCCAGTGATGAATGTGGCCAAAGGCGCCAACAGCATTTGCCCTTCGGATTTCTCTCAACTTTCATTTATTTATCCTCCATCTCACGACATCTGACCCGTCGGTTCTCCTCCAATTTCTCCAACATCTTCCCACCCTCTCTCCCTTCTACCCCTCATCACCACTCTCCATTCCAATTTTATCCTCTTCTTTTCTTCAACTCTCTGTCGTTTTTATTTCATTACTTTAACCATTTTTTTTTTCCTCTTTCTATTCCGCGTCATCTCGGTATTGGAAAATTGAGTGAGTGGAATGGAGACGTGTAGAAGACACTTCGCCTCGTTCTCCGCAAGCCTCAGCACAGCTTTCTCCACCACCCACTCTTCCACCACTTTGGTGTTGTCACCTTGGGTGCATCATCCCTCTGTCTCTCGCCATTTCACTGTAGTTTTCTCTGGTATAACCCGTTGGGGCTATCGATTGCACCAAACCAACGGTGTAAGGTACCACTGTGCCGTCTGACGCCAACCGTGACTCACCTCCTAGCCCACTTGTATTGCGAATAAATATACCCTGACTCCTTGACTCTCTTATTTTTTTATCCTTTTTTTTTTACCACATCCCGTTGATTCACCATCTCACTTGCACTCGGTACTCTGTACGCCGCAGCCACTTACCCATTGTACACCACTCGAGATAGGCTCTCACTCCCCTATTTTCTCTTCTTTTCATTTTCTTGAAAATAACTAATGTCCCACCCCGTATTTCACTTCAATATAATCAGACCCCAATACTATCTACCCACTATCTATTGCTTTTATCAGCGGGTGGTCCACTGATTCCATCGCTTTTTCAACATTCGTTTGATTTCACATCAGCAAAAATACCCGTTCATATTTTTATTTATTCAGATTTCCGGTTTGACGATGTCCAATTGCTTTGGGCTATTTCTTCCAGTTGAAGCTTCAGAACTTCCGATGGAACTCCATTTTTCAATGGTATTGTTTAAACTTTACGAGTTTTGAGGATGATTATTCGTTGCGGGGCGGTCGGAGACGGTTCTTTAATGGTAGGGAAATTCAACAGACCAGGGAACGTTTTCGTGGTGAAAAATATCCGGTGGAAAGTCGGAAAATTTAACGCGATTGACATCGATTCCTCATTTTTCAGCCATTAGAGACCGCTGAAAAATTCAAAATGAAATTTCAAAACTTACCAACAAAATTCCTGACTATTTACTTCCGCCTCCATTAAAAACAATTAACTTTATTATACTCTAAAATCCCCATAAAATTAATCCCTCCACCCACTAAAATTTCTCCAAATAAAAAAAGCCCACAATTAATCAATAAACCGGTAATATTTAAACAAAATCTCCTCCGTAAAACATATAAAAATGATTTGTCTGCTTAAAAAAGCCCGCAGTAGTGGCAAAAAATAAATCTGAAAAAAGAAAAAATAAATGTCTGTTTGTTGTAATTAGAGATTGTCTACATGGAATCACCGCCTGGAATCACGTCAAATTCCTCAATTAAATTAATTTTATCATCATCATGTCATCGGCGATACACCAGTGCTCATTACCCTGCCAATCACAGACACCAACGATTGAGAATCATGCCCGCCGGATGACCATTCCACTGGCATTAAACACATTAATCTGATCAAAATATTCATGGAACAATGCAAATAAGCAACAGTGATTACTATCACAGAGGAACAAGATCCTCGATGGATCGACGGACGAATCAGCTGACTGGTGTATCATCGACAGTTACAAGTGTCACTGGGACCAATACAACAAATTGTAGCAAGGATAATTCCACCTTTAGGATATCGACAACTGTTAAAGCATCGGAATTGTGGTGTTGCTGTTGCAATTGTGCTAATGCTAGAAATGCCAAAGCACCTGGCTTCCTGGCCTGTCTCGGTGTTTGTGTACTTGTTTTCGGATATACACTGCTCGGTGCATTCGCTTTTATGGCACTGGAAGGGGGATTCAAATCGGTAATTCCCCCTGTATTTTTATTTATCTGTCTTTTCATTCCTGCCAATGGGAAAATAAAGAGATAGTGCGGATAACGACGGAACTCGGGCTCTTGCTACTCTTGAAATTTAAACTGGGGTAGGAGTGATTATTAGTCTCTCTGTGAAAATTGTTCGAGCAATTAAAGGAGAACCTCTTCATCACGAATGACAGAATTCTGGAAACATTTGGAATTGTTAGTTAAAGGGTATGCGAGAGCATTTGTGGATGAATTCTACATTATTTACACGTCTTTGATGGTGAATTTAAACTCTACCGGAATTGTGAAAATTATAATTCAATATTTGTTGCTGAGGGCCAAGTTTTACAGTTTGTTCTCTTCACTTTGGTTGCCCAGCAAGTGGTCGTTTTATAACTCACCAGTTTTATTTGAATTTCGTTAATATTTATAGGGGCGAATAATTTCAAGTGCTCTACGGAATTTTCATTTTTACACATTATCAAAGAGAAATTCGTAAATTGTAAGACATTTTTCGAGCACCGGAGCTCTGACAAGTGGACGAACATTCATTCACGAAAATGTGCTCATTTAAATTTTTCAAGAACGAATAAAATGATATAGAGCAAGCAGAAAGAATGCGAAATTATAATGAAGTGAATTATATATTCCGTGTGTGTGGTGGGAGAAATATTTTTCCACCAAACGAGGGGATTAATTTACTCCTACCCCAAAACGATTTAGTTTACAAATTTTCCAACTCCATTAAGAAATTGTTATTCTGAATCAAATCAGTGAATCTTGCTGGATCAGATCGGACAGGATCATGTCGAAAATTGACTCATTCCGTGTCGAATTGGTGGCATCAATCAAGTGTAGCTCAGAGAGATGCAAATTAATACCATTTAACTGATTCAAGTCAAACCTTCGGATCAATTCAGCTCCAGTTTCCCTCGATCCAATTCCATTTGTTGGTTCGATTTACCTCGCTTATTGACTCGATTCCAGTTTAGTTTTTTTCCTAGAAAAGATAGAGTTCCAATACAAATTACTCTATTTAACGAGTTATTACCGATATCTTCTCAATTTATCATTATTTGTTTTATCATTATTTGAATTCTAATCAATATCTACATTTTTGGGAATTTTCGCAAAAGATCTCTGAGAATGTAGGAATTTTATGCCATGGCGATGAAAATTTCAATGAATAGTCAATTCTTCGATGATCCTAACTTCTCAAGTATTTCTTTTCGAAATAAATCTTTTCACTTAATATGAATACTGAAATCTTGAATGAAATGAAAAATCACCGAGCGTGCTGGCATTTTGTAAGCGCATAAGAGGATAAATTAAAAAGTTCTGACTTTAATTTCGAATCCCCCCGAAAAAAAGGGATAGTAATGGCTCAATGGAATGAGAAATTTAGCCGGAAGGTCTCCATTATCGCAGTCCGTCTAATCCTCGCAAACTCAATTATCCTCCATGAAATCAATCGCAAGAAATCACGTCGTAGACGACTATCTCTTTATCCCCGGGCATGAGAAAAAAAAAACTAGCTCTAATTACACTGGTCCGAAATAGTTGCACATGTGTTATCCCTGACAGGATCCACCGACAGATCTAGTCCGTCTGGCCTCATCCCCCTCAAAATCATCAAAACCATCGCTAAATACAGCTGGCGACGAAACAAATGGTGGCATTGTGCAAAATCCAGACGATGAAGACTCTTCAGCCCGTGAATTACGGGCTTACACGGTCGAGAGGCTGTGGAGTATCACCGAGGATCTGAATGTGCTCTACAAAGAAAACTGGACGAGGCTTGCTGAGCGAGAGATTCTTGATTTTCAGGAGAAAATGGCACGAACAATCAGTCGTGATAAATCAAAATACTCGATGTACGGTGGTCCTGTTCATAGGAACCCTCGGGGTCATGACAGACGTAATTTAATAGTCGACAGACGCTGGACATTTGGCAGCAGTTTACTCTACTCTTTGACCCTCATCACGACCATTGGTATTTGATCAACAATCCATTAGCCAGCGCTATTTAAATACCATCAACGAAATTAACCAATTTGTTCTGATTAGGTTACGGTAGCACTGCACCACGTACTGTTTGGGGACGTGTTATCACGATCGTCTATGCACTAGCTGGTATTCCACTCATGCTCGTTTATCTCAGCACAGTTGGTGATGTTTTTGCCAGAACATTTCGGGCTTTTTATGGACGCATGTGCCACAGGAGCAGCTGCCGAAAGACAAGGGCAAAGGGAAAATTTCTTGTTTCACCACCTGCTATGCCTGGAATTATTGAGAAGAGCTATCATAGGTATGATAATCACATTGATACTGCTAAGTTGACGCCGGCATTTTACTCCAAGGAGGCAAACTGCGATGAACTTGGAGTTAGGGCTGGTGCTGCTATTCTACTCGATCGTGAGGCACTCGAGGGCAATATTTATCTTCATCCTGGTGGATCCAGCACTGGCCTTCAGGTATTTCATTTCATTTTCGTAAAGCCTTTCCATTCAAATATTTCGTACACTTTTTTTTACTTCGATATTTAGTCCGGGTTTTTTTATTCGTTGGGAAATTATTAAATTTTCGACATGGCTATTCAACTTTTTAATGCTTTTTTACGTGGAAGGGATTTTTATTGCATTTTTATGGTTTTTATTGGGGGTTCTGTCTGTAGAGAAAAAGGGGTCAGTTTTTACGGACTGATAAATAATTTTTGACAATTCGCAAATGTACGATTCTATGAGTGGGCAGTCATCACGCACAGGATTTTTTTCGCTTGTTTTTAGAGATACAATTCCGCGTAATCAGAGATATAATTAATAGTGGGGAATATTATTACGTGGTTTTAAAAAAAAAATTTGTGTTGAATTTCACGTAATTTTTTACTTGAATTTAGGAATATTTTTCTGTTTTTATGGTGGCTGCATTTTTAATTGAGCGGTAGCTGGGGTAAATAATTAATCCATTTAATCAAATTTATAATGAAAAATGAATTAGACTAATTACTAATTCTCATTTCGATGAAAAAAATCCTGAAATTTCGGATTTTTATCTTGATTTTTTAGTTAGGAAGTCTCTAATTCGTAGAATAATGAGAACAAATCCTGAAAAAAAATGAGGATCAATATCTGTGAAACAAAAGTACGATACTAAAAATAAAATTTTTTTTTCAGTAGCTTTTGATCAATCAATTACATTTCGCCCACATGTGAGGATATTTAGAAATAGGTATTTGAATGAGAACGTTTGTACCCCAGCAATTAAAATTTAATGGTCAGCCCAATATAATGTTACATTTCCACCCAGGGTTTCAGGTGGAAGAATTTTTTTTTTAATTGTTTTTAACGAGGCAGTTACCATTGGACACAGCGTTGCAGAATTCATGTTTTTGTTCGCTTATTTATTCGTTAGTTTTTCATTCCGTTGAAAAATAATCAACTCTCGAGTCTGCCGATCAAACTTTTTAATGCAATTTTACGCGGTGATAAATATTTTATTTCGATTAATTGAAATTGTGAGGAATGCTATCCAATTACATGTTTCCCGTTTTGTTAAATCCCGAACAGGCGGACAAATATTGACTGGGCTCATCCCACAATACCATTCCATGAATCCCAGATGTTTATTCTTACCTGAGAATTAAGAATAATTATTTTCAGCAATTAAAATTTAATGATCCATTGACTGTATAAACCCCATTCAATTATATACCCACAAGTTTTGATTCTCATCGAATCGTTAATGGACGAGTGAAATGTGAAAAGATATGGGTAGCGATGTGGATTAATGGATCATTAAAGTTAGATAGCAAATCCAATAATTTTTTATTCTCTATCAATTCTTTCGATTTGTTACCAGGAAGGGAACGTGGAAAAACGTCATCTCCATCCGTCCTCCCAGATGTCCTTAATGCCTTCGACAGTGGGCTACGGCACTGATACAATTTGTGTCGTTAGGATACCAATAAGTCTCTGTTTATTGATAATTATTGTGTACGTGTGCGCGGGTGCATTGGTATTCAATCGCCTAGAAGGATGGAGTCTTCTGGAGAGCAGTTACTTCTGCTTTACGAGCTTGGGTACCATTGGCTTTGGTGATCTAGTGCCGATGGGAAGAAATGCTACGACCAGATTGCTCGAGGAGCTCAGCCTGTGCGCCTGCTCTGTGTATATTTTATTTGGAATGGGTCTAATTGCCATGTGCTTCAATTTAATGCAGGAAGAGGTTGTTAGGGTTGTCAGAGTGTTTGGAAGGACCTGTGGAAGTGCTGGAATCGCTGCTAATTCCATTGGAGCTAATGGTAACGTATTTCATCGGTCATTTACGTATTTTTTATTTTATTTTCAACGAAATCTGTTGCTAATTCTCGCGAGAATTTAACATTTGCAATCTTCTGGAGGCCTTTAGCCAATTATTCGCATTTTTTATAGGAATTGAAGGGACATTGAAATTATTTACCACTTTGCAACAAAATTAATATGCGCAATGAAAAAAAGTTTATGTTTTCATTAGTGCAGAATGAAGATCATAAGGTGAGCGTTTTTGGTAATGAAATTGAGTGGGTAGGCGAGTTATTGACTCAGTTTCCAATAAATCACTAAATCTAATGACTTTGAAAGGAAAAAATTCGATTAAACATATTGTTCAATGAAGAATCAAATTGAGAATGTCGGAATTTTGAATAAATCGGTGAAGCATTCATTGATAAATAATTCGTTGAAGAATGAGAGTAAAAAAATGTCATGAAAATTTGGTAAACCAGTGGGCCAAAGCAAATTCTTCCTCCAATTTTGGGTGAAATTCCCCTGGCTTCCCAACAAAGCCATTTATATTTTTCAATTTCGTCACACGAAAATCTCTGATATCAAATGTTTGGCGCAATCTCTGTTGCATCTGATGCAAACAAATTTTGTTTGACTGAGAAAAATACAGAGATCATAAAAAAATAAACGAGTACGAGTAGCAGATATTTACCGATATCGGACTAATATTCAATTTCATTGTACATTATCTCCCGAATTTTATTACTCCAATATAATTCGTAATATTTCGTGTGGGAAATTTCAAGAGCGATGGGATAAAAGTTATCCCCGAACATGGCAAACTCCAATGACAAATTCAACCCGTTAAAAATTATAGAATTCGCTCGCACAGACTCCACGAACTCCCCCCAAGCATTGAAAATCTCCATTCTCTCGTTCGTAAACTTGCTCCATTATATTCCCCAAGACTTACTCGATATAATGGAGGTATATAAGCGCTTTAACTGCTTCATTCTATCGAGAGAAATTTTATTTTTAATGTTTTCCCATTTATCATCTCAAAAATTCTCTCATTCTTCATAATCTAATAAGATTTTCCCCACCCATCACCATACAAAAGCCAGTGTAACACGTGAAAAAATTTGTCACTCAGTTTTTCACTCCCCCCTTTTTCATTAATTCTCAAGGAATCTTGAGAGTGAGCGAGAAAATTTCTTATAGAAAATTACGTGATAATTAAATTCTCTGCACTCCTCCGGTATTAAAACATTCCATTTGCCCATTTCTATCAACTCATTCTCGGGAAAGAAAACAAAACTCGCTAAAAAAAGAAGTTGCTGAAATAATCAACAACAGGACAATTTGTCCTGAAAAAAAAATCATGAGAATTCCGTGAGTACTCGTCAGTCAATGCGAAACACAACTCAATTCTAATCAAATTCCATTAAATTCTATACTGCATCATTTCCTCAACCTTCACCCAACAAAAACGACTCGATCGAGCTCATTCACCCATCCCCCAGTTCAATTTCCCATGAAGAATCCTAAAAAAAAGGAAAAGAAGAAAAAACAGGGAAAGCCTTGGAAAGATAAAAATAGACGATAAACCGGTCCGATAAAAGAAAAACGTTTTGATATTTTTCCCAGGTCTCAAATCGGATTTATGTGAAGATGGAAGTATCACTGGCATTACGGATAACTGTCATGATCACGAGGATGACGGCATGGCGATGTCAATGGTATCAGCCTCCTGACAGCAGCCAGCCAGGAGCTCTGTCGACGACAGTGATCTCCTGGTGAAACATCGTACAGCTAGTATCAATAAATATTCATCACCAGGTCGTCACTCACTGCCACGTAAAAAAGTGACGATTAATACCCGTGATACATACCAGGGCGGTCAATATTCTCCCAATTTACAATTACAACGTGGTGGTTCACAATTAAGTCGCAATGGTCTGTCACAAGTGCAGATCCAGCACAGACATCAGCACAGCCATTGTCACGGAAAGGAGGACAGTAGTTTTGAGTATTTTGTGCCAAGGAGTGTCAGTGATTTTAATTTAACTGGTGATGTGCAGGACATAGCTGTCACACCTCAATCTGTTTTGAAGAATTACAGTACTATTACCTCAACCCAATCCCAAACTAATACACCAATTATTTGTGCACAGAGTGCTAATACCAGGCAGGATAATTGTGGAACTATTGGGACCAGAAGTCGTGAGAAAATGGTTACGTTCGAGGATGAGGGCTGTCCAGGCTCAACGCCAACCAGAAAAATTCACGTACCTAATTTAGATAATGTTTTTATGTGACCCATGTACACCAAGATACACTGAAATTATTGATATTGTTTGGGGTAATTTTCTAATGGTGCCAGGAGATAACTTTTTTTTGCGTGCCAATTGGAAATTGTTGGATTTGTCGAGAGATTAGAATTTCATGTGGAAAAAATCCGTGTTTGACATTCGGAAAATATTAGAGGGAGGAGGAGGGTGTTTTTTTGGGTTGAATAAAAAAATTCGAATTCATCAATTCTTTGATTTGTGCGAAAAGAATTGTTTGTGCATATTCATGTGAAATTTCGGATTAATTTCTGGGGAGAATGAAAAGATGGAATTTTTTTTCGCTCTTTTTTCTACCCGTGTCTATTGAAAACTCGGGAATTCCGAATATTTCGATGTGATCGTGCGGTGATCTATAGATTCATTCGAAAAAAAATTCCGCCCTATCAATCTCTTTGTTGCCAACTAAACACTGATTTTAAAATATTAAATGGAAATTTCGTGCTAATTTCTGAATAGAATAACAGGATAACGATTCGTTTATTCGTTTGTTTATTTGTTCATTCATTGAAAAATTCAAAATACTTTCCCCTGAACATGCGGTAATTCCTGAGCTAAAAAATTACTAAAAAAAAGCGAAACGTTTTTGCATTCATAAAAAATTTCAGTCATATCAATCCTTTTATCTGCGAGGGAAAAATTATTTCCGAGTGTTGGATTGAAATGTTGTCCTAATTACAGGATAGAATAAGAAGATAACGATTTTTCATTCATTTTTTTTTGTACAGACCCAGTGAAAACTGAAAAATCCGAAATGTAAATTCCAATGTAAAAATACGTCATTCACTGAATTCATAAAACATGAGGAAAGGGTAGAAGCTTTTCACCATTCAAATTCTAAAAATCGTTCCATTCCAAAACATTAAATCAACCTGCGACACTCGAAAATCCACCCAGAGCACCGAAAAAATCATTACCCTGAAAAATTCAGTTCACCCGCCGTTACATATCCCCATAAACACCGGGAATTTAATGGCATAGTTATTGCTACTGCATATTGAATCCGCCATTTTCCGGCTTGAAAATCCACTTCCGAATTATTCACAATTTAAAATAATTCCCCTTAATTCACATCCACTAAAAACAAAAAAAAACCAACAGATTATCATCTTATCCATTAACCCCCCATTAATAACGGCATTTCCCCTCCACATTTATTTCCTTACTGAATAGAGGGGAAACAGGGCATATGGAACGAGACGTAAACGTTTATTACGTTATCATCATTTCCCACGTTTAAACAGTAATTGAATTTTAAAATTTTCGTCGAACATTTCATCACGAGTCGAGCTAAATCCGATTGAAAACTTTTTGGCACAGGCCCCTCTCATCCCTCTCATCCCATCACTATACTCTAATTAATGAATTAATCCTCCCCATTCCCTTCTCATTCTCCAGTTGCACCCCTTACTGCCCCTCGACACAACTATCTCTAATTTATAACAGCAACTGCTGACTTATTCCAAACAAAGAAAAAAAAAACACCACAACCGGAATTATGAGAAAACGCTAATTGTAGAGTTGAATCAGTGATGTAAGTGAAATAAAAGTGAGATAACGAAACACTGAGACAATTATACCAAGTGTAAACTATAAAAAAATGTGTCACGTGGATAATGAGAATTAATACCACAAGATCTGCATTAAGCGAAACAATAATGATATATCTTGTTACCTAGATCAATTATGTAACGACGTCAACCATGTAATCGTAGAGAAATCTGAATTAGTTGAAATAATAATCCAAATGAATGAGAAGCCAAAAAAAAGAACAAAACCGAGATGATAAAAACCTTAAATTGTATCTATATCGATTGAAAAGAGCTGCAGAGTTTTTGAAATGGGGAGAAAAGATAAAGTGATAAAGAGTATAAAAAGAATATAATGAAAAATACACGTTTCCTTGTTTAAGAAAATAGTTTTCAGTGATTTATCCCAAGTCGACAAGTTTGTCGTGAGATTTATTTGATTCCATCAGGTTCGCGTCTCTCCTCGTTTCGCATTGCTTCTACGACCGTTTGGAAGTGGGGAAAACAGTGGAGTAGATGTTTGTGCATTCACTGATTCACCGGGTATCATAGTACATGCGGCATTGTAGAACATCCCTGTCAAGTTTGGAATTGGGTAAATAAAAGGTAGTAATGAAGGTGATACAAGAGAAGTTACAACGAAATGTGAGGATTCAATGAAAATAGTCATTGGATCAGATTCACCTTTAATCTTAGTTGCTAATGGTTGACATGGGCTCTCGTCCAGATCCAAGTCCATCTCAACTCTGCCACCCTCCATTGCTGATGCGATTGAGCATCCGATGTCGAAAACGTGATTGATGATAAAATGGAATGTACAAAGCACCAGGATAATGAGAATCGGTAGGCAAAGACTTGACTCGAAATTATCGAGAAACTCGTGGACCCTCGGTGGTAATAAATCGTTGTACATTTTTCGAGGGGACGATTTAATGGGACATATGATGGATGTTATCAATTTTTACTTTTTTTTTTGTAATGATTGCAGGATGTTTTGGTAATCGCGGGGGGGTTCATTCAACCCTCCATTTGGATGGCGAGCTATTCCAAGTTGGAAAATGTCAGAGCAAACAAATGACTGGGTAATTTCGAGGAATGTCAGGGTGTTGATTCAATTTCCAACGGGTTTCGGACGACTCGAACGAGATAACGAATGAGAATTCGTGGTAGTTTTCATAGGGGATTGCAAGAGCAAATTTTCTGAGGGAATCTTTTGGATTCAAAGGGAATGTTACAATTGTATTCTCATGTGCTTTTGTATTAATTTTGTTTTACCTCCACTGATTGCGTTTATCGAGCGTTTCAGAACTTTCGAAACAGTTACATAACATTGTCGAGAATCCACGCGGTTTAATTCTACTTGTTTCAACTCCGCAATGCTAAAAACAATGAGACTTCATATTAATTTCGAACGGCTAAAATTTCCCCTCCATTTTCCTCCCGTTCAATCAATTCTCGACAGTAGCAATTAATTAAATTCCACGAGAAACTTCAACAATGTTTTGATTGGTTCAACTCGGCTGTGAAATATTGTCATGAATTTTTGTAATTGCTGTTCACCGAATTACTCATTAAAATTCAAACAAATATCATTCAATGGAAAAAAATGCAACAAATTATTCATGTTAGTTGAATTTTCAACTATTTATTCCTCTGACTCGTCTTATTCTAGATTTTAATTAACAGTCTCCTCAAATGAAATTATTGGGTCTAAGTCTTTCAATTATATACACACTGGAAAGGATGATAATTGTATTAATTTAATAATTTCATGAAATTCTTTGTAATTGTACTGTTGGCAGTGTTTCCATTCCCCTTTGTCCCAAAAAAAAAATCAATCACCAAGAGATGATAAATCTTTTGAGCTCGACGTTATGAATTCCACGTGGGGAAAATAGTTGGTAAATCCCTGAAAATTACAACGTTTGTGCTGATGGACCCCAAATATTTTCCCTCTCCCCTCAACTGCAATCCACAAGAACAAATCCCATGAAGATAACCCAAACCTGCCATCCCAAGTACCACCTGGCATTAAAATCCCAAAATCACCTCACGGTTTCCACAGTTTAACGAGGCCATCCTCACTGTACGAACAGAGTAGATTCTGATGTGGATGATGAGCAAGGCCAATGACATCCTTCTCATGAATCTAAAACCCAAAACGATTCAAGTTAAAACTCATAAATAATTCATGCATTCCCCTATAAAATCCAAAACAAAGCAATGGAATTTACGTTTAACGTTCGCTCGAGTTTTCCAGACGACGTTGAAAAGCAGTAGAGTACGAGATCCTCACCAACGCAGTAAATAAATTCACCCCTGGGTGACACAACAGCACTAACAAAGTCCCCGCCTTCCCTCTTACCACTGGAGAACGACCTGACAATTTGGCCCTGCATATTCATGATAACAACAGTGTTGGAGCGATTGCAGACGACAAAATTCTCTTGATTTCTCGCCAATAGGTGAATACTGTTGACAGTGAGGTCTGCAGCACCCAGAGATTTGTAAGTGCCTATGCACTCGGTTGTTTTCAAGCTCCACAGTTTGACAGTACCATCAGAGGATGCTGAGATAACATGATGCCCATCAGGTGCAAAGACAGCTTCATTGACAAAAGAGGAATGCCCTCGAAATTCCTTCAATGTTTTACCCGACTTGAGACCGTGAATTCTAATTGTGGCATCAAATGAGGCTGTAAGAATTTGGCCATTATCCCTGCTGAATTGAATACAAGTGACACCTTTGGCATGTGCCTTCTCAAATCTCCTGAGGCACTGACCACTCTGCATCCTCCATATCTTGATCTTTCCATCCTGTGAACCAGTCGCCAGCATTTCACTGTCTCTGCTGAAGGCCATGGACAGCACTGCCTGCTCCATCATCATAAAGTTGTCCTGTGCCTGATACTTCAGGTCCTTTCGTATTTTTCCTGTTGTAAAATTCCATACCTCGATGAAACCATCCACTGAGCCAGTAACCAAGTATTGACCATCTGGTGAAAATCTCGCACACTCCACGTGCGATTTCTGACCGAATTTAATCTGCTTTGATAGCTGTGTTGGATATTTTTCATCCTCCTGGTCTCTCACTGCTGCTTTACCTCGGAACAGATCGATTGTTGTGCCTGGGGGAAGCAAACCCTGGTGCTGTTGCCATTTCAGTGCTTGACCCAGGAGAGCTAGCAATCTGCTTGAGGGCACAACTGATACTTCTCCGGATAGGGCGCTTGCTATGTAGGCACGACGTTTTTCTTTGGTACTGCCGTCTGGATAGGCCTCTCGAGGATCGAAATACGATCGGGCGAGAAGATTCTCTGAGGGGAACGGAATAAACACTGGTTATTTCCAGATAATCATCGAGGGGTTACTTGAAGGGTATTAAGGAGCTCTTCTGGTGAAGATGCTTCGAGATTTATCGAGGTTTAGGTTTTCAGAATGCGCAGGAACATTTTACCCCGGGGTATGGAACATAGTCGAAATTCTGAGATATTCAGCAGACCGATTCATTAATCAAATTTTTTTAGAAGAATTCTTGACACACTTGAAAAATACTATTTTAGAGTGTGTTATATTTTTTGACACTTTAATCATTTTGAATGGGAAGAACGATTTAAATTGCATGAATTCCCGGTTTGCTGAGAGATGCCGAAATATTTCGAAATTTCATATCATTCTCAAACAAATCGCTAAAGTAGCGGAATATTTTTGACAGAATTAGTAAAAAGTAGTTTTAGATTAAAGATCTCCCGAATTTTATAAATAAATAATTAATTGAATTGACTGACAGAATTCAAAGTATGAACACATTTTCTCATCAAAGTATATAACACTTAAAATATGTCTGGCATATTAATATTTCCACAGGGGGAAAAAATACTAAAGTATTGGAAAATTCTTCCAATTCCATTTTCTCATAAATTTTTCCATAATTATTCATTGATTATTATTCCCACTCGTCATTCCATTCACGGAATAACCCTCTAAATTGATTTATCGGAGGCTTCAATTACCAAGCATAAAACCCCTCCAAGAGAATTCGTGCATTCTTCAAACACCTCTCAATCATTGAAATCAATACTCCCCCGGAGCCACAGACTAAAAAGAAACGAGGTGAAATTTAGTTATTCATATTCTCCCAATCCTATTCAAACCATCGTAAACAATTCCGTGCTGTGCCGCGCAGAATCCGATTTTCCACCTCAGCCCCAGGTAAACAAATGCGTTCAATGAATACCGACCGATGAATAATAAACGAATTACAATACTCCCCATCTTCATCGAGCCCACGACATTACATGTATGCGAATCAAATCGTTGAATTACAACTACTACTATTCATGCAATATTCATTCTCCACCCGTTCAACCTGAATTAATTATATTTTTCAATTACCCAGTGAGATAAATCAATGAATCACCATTGGCACGCGCTCCCCGGAGGACTCCATTAACATAATCTTAATAAACACAATTAAATTATTTCACAATTACCCAGAACTGCACAGGGAAGCAACAGTAAGTGAAATTTCCGCCCCCAAATCTATCAATTTCAATTAACAAAATTAAACCAAAAAACCATACCAGAAAACCTCTTTTGTAAAATTGTTAAAAATTTACATAATTATTCCCTGAGCTCACCGCATCCCTTTTATCATCCCAGGAAAATTCATTTAGGTCGTTGAACATTTAGTCAAAGTTTCCAGCAACTCGATTATTGTCTTACCTAAATGAATGTAACGTTCAGGCTCCTGTTGCTTCATCATAATCATTGGATCCGTTTGTCTAAGTAACGAACGCGCTGCTCCCAATTCCCTCAGTTCAATCAATTCTAAAACCACTTGCTCGTAAAGATCTATGAGCTTTTTGTCTGGCAACTTGAGAGACTGAATGGCCTTTAGTACAGTGTCCCAGTGTCCATTGTTTATATCCGCTACAAAACCATCTACACTGTCAACTGTGTTCAAAGATACGCCTGTTTCCTCCTGGATAATAAGGTGCGGTCATTTAGGTTCAGTTAATGACATTTTACATACTTTTAGCTAAAATTCACGTTTTTTGTTTAATTTCTGATGAGTTTCAAGAGTATTCAAGATTCATTATTCAAAAGTATTCGACAAGAAATAGAGAGATCGGGAGATCGAATATTTGTATTGACGAATTGATTTAATGGCCTGCCAGATGACAGTCGTTAGTGAGCCGTCCAGCGTATAACTTTCTTAATTTATTTTTTATCTTTATTTTTAGGAGATTTTGTCTGGGGAATTCCTTTCAGGGGACTCTTTATGAGGGGATTTTATCCGAGGAATTTTTGTTTGGAGGAATAACTCCTACAACCGAAAGGGCGTAGAAGATTTTTAATTTGAATTCGTGTCTTCCAAATTACCTCTAATATTGCTCTTTAATATACAAAGAATTTGTCATCTATTTTTTGACGTTAGTCACAAGATAAATCATTAATTATTTCAAACAAATCATTAGTTCGCAAAACATCGATCTTTAATATTCGTGTTTGAGAGACAGTGCTTTGATGTTTGAAGGATGAAAATGAAAAATTCCATCCATCCGGAATTATTTGATCAGACTGCAAATATTGGGCGATTATTGACGCTGTTGATTTTCCAGTATATTAACTGATGAACTGGATGATGCTTTTGGAGGATAATTCGATGTTGGATAAATTACCTGTAATGTTTGCAATGTTTTCACGAGATTTGACTCCTTCAAATATTGTTGGATCAGTCGAATGACACTGAAATAAAAATTACAGTAAACAAGCCATCGCTTTTCCGATATTTCCAGGGTGTGAATAATTCAATTGACACTTACTCTGCGGATTCAATCTCGATGGACATTGTTGGTTAATTATTGACACAGTCACCGTACACAGATCGAATATTCACTATCAAAAAACGATATATTATTCAAGATTATTTGCTAATCTGGCGTCAAGAGGATTGAGGTTATGTTCCCAGATGTGCCATCGAGGAATAGGCAGAAATCTAGGGGAGGAATTATCTAAATAATGAGATCCCGCTTGTCGCGGGATTATCTACGTATCTTATTATTTTCTGTGGTATGAATGCTTTTTGTTTTTTATTTGTTTAACTTTGTTTGTTATTTTTTATTTGTTTGACTTGATGGATACCCCAGCATACTACGATGCCGCTGAGGTCAATCGAATCCCCAGAACTGAGCCTCTACTTTAGTCAATCCTCTTTTGGTCGAATCTAGATAATTTTTGATTTCTCTAGATAATGCTCCAGTCTCTGAAGTTGGCTGCACCAGGAGTTCGACAACAGCTGGGCATTGCTCCGAATTACAAGTTTAAACGCAGCATCGCTCTTGTTGTTTACAGGCGAAAATTTCACCGCGAATAAATCCCGCGTCTTTGCAATTGTGTTTTCACATTTAATTATCCATTTGCGTACACAGACCGTAATAATTAACTCGTTCGAAAATAGATTCAGTGAAAGAAAGTGAAAGATCCATGCCGAACACTCGTGGCAGTAGTAAGTACAGCGATTAACCTAATATTTTTTAACTCTCCTATTGACATTATCAAGATATTAGTAACAAAAAGGTAAATGGTACCGAGTTTCAATTACTACAGTTAGCCAATAGGAAAGTTTTCAATGAATATCTCTAAATATAAGTGAGATAGTAAAATTTTAGTCGATACATCTATTGAAGTTCTTATTCCACTCTACAAAAAACATTCTGCAAAAATTTTCGCTATCTCTCTTAGATTTTGAGACAATTTTGAAAAACTGAAGTAGTGAATGATTACCCTTGACTTCTCCACCGCTATCGATTAATCACCATCAATAATTCCTGGATTCTCCCAGTATAATTTTCTCCAAAATGACTGAACAAGAGAAAATGGAGGTGATAAACATTGACTCTGACGACGAAGAGAAGAAAAAAATGAAAGGCCAGAAGACGTCGAAGAAGCTCATCTGCATTAATCTGAAGTGTGAGTCGGGTGTGAATCTCAAGACAGCCTCGTCGTTCGCTTGCAGTTATTACGGTTTAAATCTAGCCAAGAAGAAGAAGAGATATATCTGTGATAAGTGTCATGTTGCTGCAATCGAGCACCAGGAGATGCTGGCAGAGGCCTTCTTCAAGCGAGAGCCACTGCTCAAGTGCGAATTGCCTGATAATACAATGCAAATAGATCTGTCCGATAGTGACTCCGACGGAGATGCTGTTACAGAGCCAGACGAGGAGGAGTATCTCCCGGAAGATGTTCTGTTGGACATGGAGACCAAGATCGAGGGGGCCCTGGCTAATGTCCTGCAGAAGTACGATGTGGACTATCAGCTGACTGAATCTCAGAAAATCTTGGAGGCGCAGTTCGACGAGATTGATCGATCCAACGATGAGTCTGATAAGGACATCAAACGGATGATCACTAAAATGGATACGATAAGGAATAGTCTTTATGATGCCTTTAGGCCAGATATAAAAATGCTGGCAGATTTGTCCATCGATGATGGGCCATCCATGGTGCCCTCTCCAATTCCTTCACCCACCAGGGTTTCACAACGTCCAGAACCCCCTGGCCATCCTACCGTTGCCACCAAAAAAGTAACACAAGTTAGAATACCACCACCAATTCCACCGAAGAGTCAAGACAATCAGGTGGAGATCATGCCAGTTATTGAGAAAATTGATAGACAACATATTGGGTATGGACTTCCTGCTCATGGCAAACTCATTCTGCGACCTGCTGAGGTCGATAACATTGTTCTTGTGATGAAGCATCCGCTTATGCCCTGGATCAAGGCCAAGGTAAGGAATTCAGTAGCGTAGAGCTGGTAACAATTCCATTTAGGTCGTACGTGTTTTCGAGGGATGTCTCAAAGTTCAAGGGAGATACTGTAAATTTTGTGAGTACCTTTTTGTAGCTCCGATTCTGCTCTACAAACGAGGCCTTCATGAACGTTTCGGTATCGCTCTTGGATTAAAAAATATTTTCCGAAAACAATACTAGGGAATCAGTCGACTTGTTAAATGACTTCATATTCTTTTATTGTCGATATCTCGAGATTCTCTGAGTAGACTTTGATTGGATGGGTGATCTTGAACAATTTCCGATTTTCTGGTAATGAAAATGAAACTGGATTCATCAAAATCGAAAAAATATTATTTTAAATAAATGACATTATTTCAATTAATCTTTTTTTGTTATTCAGGTTCATGCTATCATAACTTATCAACCCATGAGCTATCGTGTCAAGTTTCTTCCGAAAAAATACAACAACTCCTTAAGAACAGTGTACGGCCGACAATTGGCTATTTATGCACCAGCTTCAGTGATTATTCCAGTTGCAACGAGGGTCGTTGCTATCTTCAACGATGTTAATTCGAGTAACTATTATAGTGGGGTCATTGCTGAGCCACCAAAAACAACAAACAAACACAGGCAAGATCTCCGTTATACATTTTCTCCTAATTACTTATTCTCGTTTACATTTGAATAGACTGAGAAATTCAACTTTGTAAATGGAAATTTTCCCTCTTTGGAAGTTGGCACCTGAGAAAGAGAAGCTCTTGGGAAAAGTTTTTTAAGCATGTCACTGCGGACGATTTATGGAAACTTTATAATGACAAGTTTCTCTTAACTATTTTTACAGCAAGACACAAAGGAGGAAAAATTATTTTAGAAAGTTACAGTGTGATGAACTCTGAGAATAATTTGAGGATATTCATCTGCAATGAGAACAATTTTTTTTTTAACTGATAAAAAAGTGATTTTTCATATTGATTAGGAAAAAAAGACCAGCTCCTTTTCAAAATCGACTGGAATTTTTTTCCACCTTTAATAAAATAATCTTGAGAGACTGCCTACTAATTTAACTTCTAACTTTCCTTCACAGATACCTGGTCTTCTTCGACGACGGTTACGCCCAGTACGTGGCTCACAAGCACATATTCGTAGTGAGCGAGAGTTCTCAACGTGTCTGGGAAGACATACCAATAGAATCCCGTGATTTCGTGAAGAAATACATCGAAGGTTATCCCGAACGTCCAATGGTGAAGCTGCAACCAGGTCAGGTTGTAAAAACCGAGTGGAATGGTAAATGGTGGGTGGCAAGAGTAGCCCAAGTGGATGCCTCACTGGTGCAGATGTCATTTGACGCTGATAATCGCACCGAATGGATCTACCGTGGCTCCACAAGACTGGGCCCGCTGTACCTGGAGCTTCTGAAAGCAAATGCACGTCAGCAGGGCCACCACATGCCAGTGAATACCCCTGGTCGCCACAGAATAGCCCCAGGTGGTAAGGCCAATATTCCGTACGTAGAGTACACCTCAGGGACAGTTGAACCAGACCTGGAGACTGTCAAAGACCCCCCAGCAGCATCACCAAAACCTCCACCCCAGTCTCGAGCAGTGGCTCGTAAGAGTACCGCTAAGAAATCAAATATTGAGCCGACGTATATTCCAGCAGCGGAAGCCAAATCAGCGTACAGCATCGCCTTCTACGCCCTTCCCAACTCCATCAAGGTCAAACAATATGTGCCACACGAGTGTAATGCCAGTTGTATTCAACTCAAGGACTTTAAAGTAGACGATCTCAAGGGATACTCACCCCTGTCGATTCCCCTGCTGTGTGGCTGGAACAGACAGATCTGCAGATACCCTAAGGGCAAGAAAGTGGTTATGTATCAGACACCCTGCGGAGTACGACTAAGGTCCATCGAGGAGGTTCACCAGTATCTCAGGAAAACAAAGTCCACCATATCAGTGGATCTCTTCGAGTTTGACAGCTGGGTCCACTGTCTGGCTGAATTTATCCTCGACAAGTGCTTCGTCAATATCATGGATCTCAGTTATGGCGCTGAGAATGTTCCCATTCCCTGTGTCAATGAACAAGATCATGCTCTTCCTGATCAAATCACTTATAGCACAATTAGAGAGCCCACTGAAGGGGTGAATTTAAATTTGGATCCAGAATTTTTGTGCAGCTGTGACTGCGAGGATGATTGTCAGGATAAGGAGAAGTGCCAATGCTGGCAGCTGACGATCCAGGGGGCGCAGGCCACGCTTGGGGGTAGAGTGCCTGCTAATAATGTTGGCTATCACTACAAACGTCTCCCAGAGCCTGTCACCACTGGTATTTACGAGTGCAATTCAAGGTGCAAATGCTCGGTGAAAACATGTCTCAACAGGGTTGTTCAGCATCCTCTGACTCTGAAGCTTCAGGTATTCAAGACACAGAGGAGAGGATGGGGGATCAGGTGTCTCAATGACATACCAGTGGGTTCATTTATATGTATCTATGCAGGAAGATTACTCACTGAACAGGGGGCTAATGAAGGGGGTAAGAACTATGGAGATGAGTATCTTGCTGAGTTGGATTATGTGGAGGTTGTGGAGAATATCAAGGAAGGATTTGAGGCTGATGTTCTCGATCCTGACATATCCATTGACTCGCCATCACCCAAGGAGCGGGGTCAGGAGGACGAGAGGAGCTCCAGGAGGAGGACAGGCCCTGATGGTGATGCCGATTTCGATCCCAGGCAGTACACTGAGTATTCCAAGCTCGACTCTGAGGGCGATGACTCCATGAAGAAGAGACTGAGAAAGAGGAAGAAGAGTGATGAAATTGTTATTCAGGATGTCGAGGACAAGAGTGAGGATGGGAGCATTGGAAAGAGTGAGGATGGATCTGTTGGGAAGAGCTCCACTGATAATAATCAGGATGGAAGTGATGAAGAGGTCAAGGGCAATGGGCGGCGGGAGCTTATCAGATTTGAACCGACTGTTGAGCCCACCATTGAGAGACCCAAGTTCAAGTCTGTGAGGGACTTCTTCGGGGAGGATGAGGCTGTCTATATCATGGATGCTAAAACCACTGGCAATATTGGAAGATATCTCAATCACTCTTGTGATCCCAATGTCTTTGTCCAGAATGTCTTTGTCGATACTCATGATGTGAGGTTCCCCTGGGTCGCCTTTTTCGCACTTACTTTCATCGGGGCTGGGCGTGAGTTGACTTGGAACTACAGCTATGATGTTGGCAGCATCCCTGGGAAGATCATAATCTGCAAATGTGGAGCTTCCAACTGTAGAGGACGACTACTGTAAACCGTCCTGGGCTCTTGGAGGCTTGTTTTAGGTTTTATTGAATAAGATTCTATCATTTGTGTCCATTATTTTTTTTTTTTGTAATTTCAGAGAGGGGAAATATAGAATTCCAAGACCTGTATTCTGTTTTAATTGTTTTATAGGCCACCGTTCGTTTACATTGGAGAAATTGTTGAATGAAATAGTGGGGATTTAATTTTATAGTTTCACTTTTTTTGGTGCGAAATTTATCGCATGAATTAGCAGATTGAATGACTTTAGTATGATCAGGATTTTTTGAATTTTTGATGTGGTTGTAGGGATTTGCGTATATAGAAAGACTTTGCAATTTATTTTAGGTGAAATCGTTAGATGAAATGATAATTTCGTTTTTCAAGACCCGGTAAAGGGAAAAAATAGACTTTGAAGTATGATTTTTTTGTTTTATTACTAAAATACAAGATAATTCATTCACAACGCCAGTATTGCATGCCTTTGACCTTTCTAATTTTGAGTTTAAGTTTTATTGACGAGAAAATTATGAAGCGAGGCACAAGATTGAGTGGATTCAGCATTGAATTTTTCAGTTTTTTGATTCGTCGTGAAGTCATTGAGTAAATGATTCAGTTTTGGATTTTATTCGTCTCGTCTCTTTATTTCACTAGGTAGGTGTTCGATCTCTTATTTACTATTATAGAGCCATTTACCATTTGTACCACGTAACGGACATGAAACGTTGAAAACATGTTTCTAGGCAGTTATTGTTTTGACATTGAACGGTTCTCAGATTCAAATGCGGGAAAGAATCTTCTTAGTACCTATTCACTTCCTGAATCCTTGGAATAGAAACTAAAACTCGGTAAAAGTGCAGACAATTGACCACGAGTCACATAAATAATCTCAACACAATATTCACGAAAAAGAAATTAAGTTGAGGAAAAATGCTAGTGGATACTTTCACAGATATTTGATCACACACTTAAGAACTATCTTATCGCTCTTAAAAAATTCACACTCGTGAGTACATAAACAAATTTGGCAAAACATCGTTAATCATCTTGGAGACGAGTCAACTCTATCATGAATTGGACTAAAATTGGATTCAATTAAATTTTTTAATAGAAAATAAAATGCAATTGCAACAATTGTAAATGTTGGATTCTGGAATCGAGTTGAAGCTAATTGATGGCAATATAGTTATTAAACATCTCCTCGAGTATGTTTCTCCAGAGGAAATTTCGGTACTGAGATAGTGAGAAAGTATATTCGGCCGTGTCTCTATAATTTCGGAGCTAGAATATCTACTGGAGCATTAAACTCTTGAAAGATGATCGATGAAAGTTACTGCAGTGAAGTTGACATTCAGTATTTTCGCATCAAAAGAAATCTGAATATAAAACTACGTGATACAAAATAAATTGAAACTCGTGCTTAAGTCGTGGGAATGGGGAATGGAGTCTACCAGATTCTCATTTCATTCTCATCAATGAAATTGATGGTAAAAGAAAATTTAAAAATCAATAAATAACATGTGAAGTAACAATTATATGTCTTCTACCGTTAGGAACGGCCAACTGCTTGGTTATATTCATATTGGCAACAGAATTCTCCAATTTCCCAATCAAATTTCGAGTGAAAATCAATTAGAAGGCTTGTGAGACTCGAAATAAGCCCCATCTGTCAATAAAAATCCCAATAATCTGCGATTTGTCTTACGAGAAACGTTAACATATCAAAGTAACAAAATAATATTTCATCATTTTCCCTCATTCATTCTCTCGCTCTCACGTTACTTTGGTTTTACGCTAGTCTACGCCGTTTGCACGTAGGAGAGTCTTAATCTCGTCCTTTTCAGCAGCCTCCAGGTAACTCACACCATCCGGTGTTAGACCATATGGATTGGCACCTTTTTCCAGGAGCAGTTTTACACAATTGGTGTGACCCTCCCATATTGCCGCTAGTAGAGTCGTAATTCCATGTTTGTCAGTTGCCTACGCAATTCAAGTTACCGATATTAATTATCGAGTGCTCTGTCTCCTTCTCAATAAATTATCAATCAATCGCATTTTTCTGCATTAGTTGTGACTGAAGGTAGATTTGTCGTGGAGTTTAATGAGTGAATGATTTACTTTCGCTAAACATTTTTTCCGCAAATAGTCGATCTGATCCGCTATTTCCCAGAAATCTCCAGAACACAAAAAACGAAAAAGTATCAGCAGTAACTCCTCAATTACCCATCTACCCTGAAACCTGTCGACTTAACGTGGAAACACCCAAGGAATTGTTTATACCTGATTAAATTTTCAATCAAAAATGATTTCTTGATATTTCCTTCTAAAATCAATGGTTTTTTAATAAACCGTTGTTAATCAAAGCCGAAAAATGGCATGTATCTACCTTCCCCATTTGATTGCTTTACTGATCTCAAGTGTGCCATTGATTGATTAAATGGAAAAAAAATAAATACAATTGCTTCGACTTACGTTAGCATCTGCACCTTTATCCAATAAATACCTAACGACATCGTTCTGTCCATAATCAGCTGCGTAATGCAGTGGTGTCCTCCCGTCAATCATCTGATTCACGTCGATATTCTGCCGGTATTTGAACAAAAAATTATTGATGAAAATACTAAAGCAATGAGTTTTTTGAGAATTAGTCAGGTTCATGATAATTGTCCAGGTATTGTTGTTAATTATGGGGGATGAAAATGGGTGGAAATAACAGTGAAATAACGTACCTTGTTTTCAACAATGTCTCGAACCTGATCAAGGTCGCCATTCTTAATTCCCCAGACTAATCCACTCATTTTCATATGACGTTTTTAACCTTGCGGAGTCTCAAACAGTATTTCAATGGTTTAGCCAGTTTTTTGTGGTTAATGTGGTTATGGGGGTGGGTATTTGTGGGGATTTGGGGTGGAACACGACGGGGAGGACTTGACAGTCTCCTCCAAGAATCGGAAGAGTACAGGAGGTGGAGAGGATTGCGGAGAATTCGTGGGATTTTCGGACCGTTCGAGCAATCAATGATTCCTCCAATGACGATTGAGGGGCTTTAACCACTGGGGAATCGACCAATCGGAGGACAGAACCGTCGGAAGGTGTCGGGGGAATGGTCGAGGTGCCGCTTCCGGTTTTCAGTGAAACTCCAAGTATCCAAGTAGTTTGACTATTTTTTTTAGAATCTCTCCCTGTATATGATGAAAAAAAAAATTTCAAGTGTATGTATTAAACATTAGACAATATATTTAGTATTAGCATGTCTGATGGAGGTATTTATACAAATTTATTGGTAATCATTAAATATATGTTCAGTCCAAATTATTTGACAGTTTTTTTGTCAAATCTCTGCATGTAATGAGAAAAATAAAATCTTCTCTCAGGTATATTTATTAAATACAAGGAAATATATTTAGTATTGACATGTCTTGTGCCGATATTCATACAGATTTACTGGTGGGGAGTCAATATATTTGACAAAAGAATTTTTTTTTCTCAGTCTACGTTATTGAGCATTAAGGATTTTATGAAATTTAACCCACTCTATTTTTCTGGGATTTTTTGATTTTTGATTCTGAATGGAATCATTTTTCCATTAATGAACATTTTTTTTTCAATATATTAATGCAATATGGATTTTTGGAGACATGTTTTCTTTGGTTATGTATTAACAGTGAATTCCCTCCCTCATTTTTTTGAGCTGCATTAATTTCATCAGAAGAATCTTGAGAGAATTTCAACGAGTGGGATTATTCCCTCGTGAGAATAATTTTTTTTATTATTTTTTAAATTCTAATTTAGTTGAAAATTGAAAATTTTGAGGAATATTGGGAATTGTAGTTTGATAACAATTAGACATCCCAAGTTTTTTCCTTATGCATTTACCGTTTTTGGGAATTTTTGGGTTGACCTAGTAGTTATTTATGCACGTCCTAATTAATTGGCCCCCATTCCAAGTTTCTGGGACAATTCAGCGAGAAATTAAGAATAATCAATCAATTTGTAATCAGAATACTCCGAAACACGATTACCCAAATTCCAGCGATGATCCATAGCATGACTGATAATTTTTAGATAATCAAATATAAAATATAAAGTATAGAATTTTAAACTGATCAAATATAAAATCCTTCATTTTTTCTGGCATAATTTCCTCAACATTTCAATCTGAACAAAAATTGAACTGAAGAAAATTCAAATCAGAGCAAATTCGAGCCACAAAAGGACCATATCAATATCCTCCTCCATTAATATATCAACAAATAAATTTTCACATTGACATTTTTTCATATACATAGGTAAATATATAATTTATTTCAGTGATGGTACTTTACAATTTTCCATCTACACCAGCCTCATCTCTCCCAACCTTCTTTTAACACCTAGAACTAGATAAATATAATCCGTTTTATAATATTCATAATATTTGGTATCATGCCAGCAAGAATCACATCGTCGACATTTTGCCATATAATTTTATCAGAGTTCCACTGACATTCGCGGCAGGTGATTACTCATCCCCAGGAAACCACCGGGTCCCTAATATCCCCCAACTAAACCCTTTTTTTCATATTTTTTTTAAAACCAGGGTAAACGAAATAAATGAGATATTTTCGCTGAATTTTCACGGGGCAGAGGGAAAAAGTGCTTTTGTTATGGCGAATAAGAATAGAGTTGGGGGCCGGAACGAGGCGGAAGTAAATACCCCTTTGTTGGCGTAAAATGGGTGAAAAAGAGGCGGAAGGTTGATGAAAAAAAAAAAGAATGGAATAAGTCTTCCCAATAGGGTAATGGGTAATCGGATAAAGTCGGCATCCTTCGTGCAATACATTTCCCCCGGGTCGTTTGCATTGAAAGGGAGAGGTGTGGTATTGAAAGCAAGTACATTTGACAGTTTTATATACCCACGGGGAAACGCAAGTCGACCCGTGACATTAAAATCGTAGCACATAAAGAAACACCGACGCGATGTTTCGTTTAATTTTTTTTTCCTCTTTTCTTTTTTAATGTTATGATCCTTTCGCTTTCTACGGCTGGTCGAGCGCGGATTTCACTCATCGTCTTGTGGATAATGCGTATGAATAGGTTTGTCTTTCTCTTTTTGTCGGGAATAAATTATTGTTACCGCACGTGCGAGAGTACATTCGTAATAAAAATTACACGTTATCGTGGACGATGGAAATAATTTCTCGTTTACTTTTGGAGATTTCATTATATTGGGGCATTTCTTCTCTTCTTTATTCCCAATTTTTCATTTTGGATTTGCTTTTTTAATTTCAACGATGTTGACATTTTTTGGGTCATTGATTTTGGGGAGATTCACATGAATGTAAAGATGAAAATATGAAAATTTGAAAAATTAAATGACGAAAAATTTTGAAAATTCTTTTTGTATCTTCGTGGGTATTTATTATAAATATATTCGATCTACAAAAGAGGTCTTGAAGAAAAATTCCCTGCCTATCTTAGATTCAGAGATATTCTTATCATGGAAATCTAAATTTTCCAAAATTTTAAACATTCAATCACATGCATGTATTGTTAACAATAAAAATAAACGTTAAAACGAAAAAAATTCAAGTAAAAAAATTAGAGATTAAATTTCTAATGGCCGCAGGTCAAATTTGAATATCAAAAACTTTCATCATTACTCCCAGGTCGAGGCCATGAATTATCGTTATCTCTGTATGTAGCTTTCTACCCGAACAGTTCAATCTGGATGATGTTTTAATACCTCTGAATTTATTTCTGGTCTCCTTTGTATAATAATTCATGAATATCGGAAGTCTCGGCGAAAGAGACTGACCTCCGCGAAATAACGGAAAATGGTGGACGAATGAATAAAAAATAAACGGTAAAAATGAGTTATCTAGAGGTCTCTGGACCCGAGTCTGTCCTCATTGTGGAATATTCCTGCGTGTCAAGAGGGAAAAAAACTTTCTTGGCAAAGTTTCCGTCGAGAGGTTTTTTTCTCTTCCATTAACTTCTCAACAAAATAATCCATATTTACAATATTAATAATACTTACAAACCTTAAAAGACTAGACTATCAACAATTGTACTATAATCAATACTTTATACAATGAGAAATAATTATTTACAGCTAGTACTATAGCACCACTATGTTATGAAAAATTATGATATTCCCGTTATTTTCTATGAGATTTATGCAATACTTGCGGAATTATTAATTATTTATAAAACGAAAAAAGGAAAATGAAAAATCGTAATTTTGTGTGAAGTACTCCAGATGATTGAAATTTGGATCATCATAATTATAATTTTTATGCATGTTGAGGGGATAGAAATATTATATTCTAATCAGTTATATAATATTGGTATTTTACATGGAGGGGTCAAAGTGTGTATGAGGGTGAAATATGTGGAACCCTTTTGGATGATTCATGGGCTCTAGTTGTTTTGTCGCATTTATTGTCTTTTTGCTATTGAAAACTGGTGTTTACGCAAGCGTGATAGATTTGGGCCTTCGGGTACACAAAAAAAAAATTCAAAACGAGGACGTTCAGTTCTCCACTGGCTACTCGACAACCTCCAGACACTGCCTTTGTAACGAGATTTTTTTTACTCTTTCCAGTCAATGATGCGTGATGAATGGTTTCAGGGGGAGGTGTGGGCGATTCATGGGGGGCTTTGTCCATTGACACCACTTCGTTGGACAGGGATTACAAGGTTTTTCATATTTTTCGGGATAACGGTTTTTGTGCTGTTATTATTTTTTTTTTAATATTGAGGAGAACTCGGTTGTGAAGTGAACTGGGACAAGTGGATTTTGACTTTTGAACCATTTTTGTGGATATCTCGGAATCTGAGGGAGATAGGAGAATTTTTGTAATGAGCTTTTTTGTAGAATGAAGTGAGAGCTACGGAAAAGCTCATGACAAGAATTTTTCTATCTCATTTAGATTCCGAGATATTCATCGAAATTGAACAATAGTTAAAGTCGACTTATCTCACATCGAGTTTTTTCATGAAAAATTGATAATTCTCTGTTCATTCCATCAGAATAATTAATAATATATTGATCAAATATTTTACATAAATTTTCGGACAAAAAATGGAATTTAATGACTCACTCTTGCAATTTCTGATCGATTCTTGATGAAATTTCAAATTCCTCAGTAATTCATGTGATCAAATTATGTTTATTGTCTTCTCCCACTAATTTCCTGTAATTTTATTTCTTCAATGCTCTCTTTTTTCATTTTTGCTGTCTGTATTTTATTCTGTGCAAATTGATTTTCCAATTTCATTCTCAAAGAGAAATAATCCCCGCGAGAATTATTGCTTCCTCAATCGGATGCACTAGGAAGTAACACAATTTCATAAAGAATAATTACGATGTTATGTAAAGAGGAAGAATTTGTTCAACTTTGTAGCTCACAAATAGTTAACGCATATTAGAAATCCCATACGTAATATCAATTGTGATTAGCGTTTTATTACTCCACCAATTGTAATTCCATAAGTCTGTGCATTGAGGGAAAAGTAAAATGGCTGAGGTGCATCTCAATTGAATATCCCAATTAGTTCCCTTAATTAATAAAATGGATGGGATAAAAAATAATGGATAGAATGCCGAGGAAACTTTGCGGCTCGTTTGGCCGTTGTGAATCTATAAATTAAAAAGCAATAAGGATTTTTTATTTCTTATTTTCAACAATTAATTCTCGATTTGATCTCAATGTCTATGTAATTTTGTTCAGCTTTTTATCTCTCACGTGATTTTTTCGCGTGTCAAATTAATATACCCCTATTGTTTCCACCCAGAGGATATCCAGACCAAAAGTTCACAGGAATTACTGGGGTCATGGCACCAACTTTCCGGGATTCACGCCTCCTGGGGCACAAATCGATTAAATGATAACACCTATTCTTCGCAATATATCGCGTTTATTAAAAATCTTTCATCCTTTCCACTCTGTACTCATTGTTCTTCAGATTAATCACACATTTATATAATATCGACGGTCATTCATTCGAGGTCTCCTTGTCCTGCCGCTTGCGACACGAGAAAAACGTTTCAAAAAAAATTTTCCTGTGTCAAACATGAGAATCAAGTTAATTGCAAAATTCAATGCAAAATCGAGGGAAAAGGCAATTGAATGAAATGTGATAGCATGACAATTCCTACGTTTACAAAAAAATCCATGGAAACTGTAAATTTTAATTCAATTATTCCATAGAAATTAATAAAATAAAAATAAAATAAAAACAAGTCGAGATTGAATTAAACTTCAATTGAATTCACTTGTAGTGCTTCTAACATTCATATTTTTTCTTCACTTTAAATGTTCAATTAAAATAAAATTCTGGAATGAAAAATCGAAAATTCATTCGAATAAAATGTTTCCCTACCACCAAATGACGATGGAAATAAAACAACTCATAAATCAGTATTAAATAATAATTAATTTAATCGTATAATTACAATCACACATATCCTTCAATTTCATGTAATACATTTACGTGAAGTATCTTAATTCTCCACGACTCAATAGTTTAACTTCTATATAAAAGAAAAAACAAAAACAGTGTAGAAAAGTAGTGGTGCACGATTTTATCGTTAAAAAAATATTATTCACAGATAATCGAATAGGTAGAATTCCAAAGTTTTAACGGTGAATCAGAACGTGTTGAGAATAGTGTTTATATACATGCGAGGGGTGTAACCGGGTCGAGATGCCAATTTATTTTTCGAGTAGCAAATCGAGTCACGTCAGAGTCATATGTGCTTCGGATAAATTTGCCGTTATTTTGATGTCTCATTTTTGTCTATTTTTTATCCTTTCATCATATTTTCTTCTTTCTTTTTTTCTTGGTATTTCAATTTTTTATCACGTTCGGTTTACGGTTAAGCCTTGGCTGTGGTCGTCTCCGTGGGGTTTGACTCCTCGACAAGTTCGGGGGGTGGAATTGTTGGAATTTCTGGGTATTCGAGTTTAGCGCCTTCCTCACACTCGAATATTGGACAGCAGTCTGGGAAGGGTGATGTTTTCTTGGTTTTCTCGGATAGTTTGCACTTGGGATTTTCTTTGGGCAGGGGTCCACAGTCCTCAACGAGCTCGAACAGACGTCCAGAATTGTCTTCAGCTGGTACGCATGTTGAACGACCGCAGAATGGTGACAGATCCCAAGTTTTTCCTGGCTCTACAGTCGCACATTTTGTTGATGCAAAACACATCCCAGGAAAATCTGAAAGGAAGAGTTTATCAGTTTGAGTCAAGTCCACCCATGTCAGCCCTCTCACGAATTTATCATTTATCTAAACTTTTCTCTCACTTTTTGTGGATTGACACGTACAGAAAAATTCCGCAAAATTGATTATGACGTTTTGTTATCGTGTCACGTAGTGAAATAAAATTAAAAATCCGAAAAATTGAAATAAACAATTATAAATTACAATTTTAGTCGTTGCATTTGGAAAATGACACAGAGCTGAGGAAGAATTATATTTTTTAATTGTTCAATTTTTAATTTAATTACATATGTTATTTTTACTCTAGCTACTGGTAAAAAATAAATCAATTAATTTTTGGGAAAAATTGAAGAGGCGATAATTCACAGAGGATTATTACAGTGTTAATTACACTGGAATAATTAGAACGATTATTTTATCAAAGTTTGTTGATTTAACAGTAATTTGGTATTACGATTTGCCGGACATTGTTCAAATCATCGTGTACTGAGATAAAGGTTCAATGAATGCTAACATTTATGATGAGAATTACGGAACTTTCAGTACCCGTTGAAAAATTTATAGCCGAATTGACGCGATTGTTTTTTTAATCGTATTGGGTCTTTACGGATTCTGACCTTGACATTGCGACTTACGTTTCGCAATTTTTATCGTTAAAGTTTCATAGAAATTAACGGACGCATATCTCCAATCAATTGCACCAAAACTTTTTGAAACCTCTAAGAACATTAATATATTTTTTCAATTTCCCTCGCACGGTTTAACATTTTCCACGAAAATTCCAAAGAATTGTTACTAAACCCCACAATTGCCTGAAAAAATCAGTGAAAACTTGAAACTCCCGAAAAAATTAATAGCAATATTTTTGAATTCTAGATTATCCCGACTTGTCAAGTAATTTTCCGTTTACTTGAAAATTCATGGGAGTCAATTCGATGAACTATTATTATATTATTCATTATTATTATATTATTTTCCTCAGATTACACCCGATTGAAAAAAAATCCCAGACAAAATTATTGAATAACTCATCAAATCTTCAATTATTGGAAACTGAAATGTTTTCCTCTTGAAATTCAAGTCAATTAAAAGTTGAAGTACTCGAGTACCAGAAGTTCCACCTGTTTGTAAAAATCTTGCCCTTTAAAATGCATCAGTGATACTAGAACGCCTCAAGGCGATGAAAACTTTCACTGTCAAATGCACTAAAGCACTTCAAGTACTTGTGCAATTACAGTTGAGGTGATCCGTGAAGAATTTTCTTCGAAGCACTTTATTCTTCATTGTGTCAGGACAGAGGTGCATAAACAGGGTGGAGCTACAGGATAATTAGATGTGAATTTCGAGGAAACGGGTAATCAGGTGGATGTGTCACCAGGTGAGATCTTGTACATGCGAATTACGGTATTACGGTTAGCTCTAATTGGCTAGAGCAAGGACATGTGTTTATCTTGTAACTAGAAATCCAAGGAGCATGTGGGACGAGGCTCCCCTGGTGATTCATTAATTCATTCACTTACTACTTAAGCAATTATGATGTAATTGATATCCTTTCAGTTATTTCCAATCCATTAATAAATCTTCGCGTTTTTCTCATTGTCTATCGAGATTTTCTCATATATTTTGCACACAAGTAAAAAAATATAACTATAAAATATTATAAAATATATTTCTCCATTTTGAAATATTCGTTGATATAGCGTAGTAAATAATATATTAAATACTCGGTATATATTTGATTGGGTGAATTGTATGTATGAACGGATCTATTTACCATTTTTTATCTTATTATCATATCATATTATATATAAGGGTTTAAACAATTGAGAAGTTTTTGAAGAATTTCAACAAAATTTAGACTTTCTCAAGTTTTCTGGTAAATTGTTGAGCTAATTGTAAAAGTATACCATTTTTTAATTTGATCATTGTTTAATGACCTCAAACCTTTTTACGTTTTTTATAAAATTTAGAAAAATTCGTAAAGCTTTACGATCATAACATTTTATGAGTCATTAAATAACGATGAAATACAAAAACGATATATTTTTTCTGATCAATCCGATCAACAATTTACCTGAAACCTTCAAAAATCGATAATTACTCCATCAGAAATTTTCCAGTTTGAACCGCTGCTTTTCCCAAAAATACAGGAAAAAGAAAAAGTCTGATAAATAATTTGGGATAGTCTTCCTCGAAATGACTTTCTACGGACATAATTTGAATTGACCAATTAATTATTAATATCCTATCAATTAAAGTTAATATTATCATAAAAAATTATGACTATTTTGTGTGGCTGTTGCAATTTTTAATGCAATATTGATGAGAATATTTAGTTAATTGTAATTAATATGAGGTAATTGAGAACTCACCGCGCAGAATATCCGCGGGGATGAGCCTCCTGTAGGTCTTGGGTCTCTCCTCGTCTTTATCCTCAGCGACGACGAGAGCCGCAATGAAAAGTATTGCCACCACGTATTTCATTTTCAAACTAGGAGTTTTAAATTCGAGAAGAAGACCTGCAGGAGGGCCTGAGTAAAAATAATGATACCGTAGGTATAAGTACGCACTTGATTATGAGACTGGTTGTGAGCGATTCTCGTGGTGGCATTTTATACAGGATAGACCGGGGTGGGGTTCCCCCGTTGGGTCAGGACTGGTCCCCACTCGCCGATGAGTACCACCAGAGTACCACGTACATGTAAGTTGGCTCTCATCTCAAAAGAGAGAATTAAAACCGAGACGTCCACCAGATAAACACTTGGAGAAGCTAAATCCATCTGTCCAGGTGATCTCATCGAGACTATCAAGAGAGAACGTCTGATGGAATGAATGAATTTGATTTTTTATATTTCTTCAAATAAGGGAAGTCATTATCAAGTTTTATGGTGCGCTTCACGCTCCGGTAAATCACTTTCGCCCTATAATTGATTTCGCTCTACATAACGGTCCACTGTCTCATGGGTTGATGTGGGCTGTCCAAGGAAATTATCAACCATATGGAGATGGAATGATCGATAATCAATCGAAATAATCAATAATTAGTTTTGCACTCAAGGGAGAAGGATAGAAGGAGCCTTTTCCTGTTTGAGGAAATTAACGACTGAACGGAGAAGATATCATTGATAATCAATTAATAATAATCGAAGTAATCTATAATCAGTTCGTCAGAGAAATCGGGAGAGAAATTCTGTTCCTGTGGGTGGTTTAAGGAAATTTTTAAGAAACATGTAGAGACTTCAAATAAAAATTACTGTTTTCATTTTCAATTAATGTTAATTGTCCCCCAGATTTTCAGGAATGTTCCTGCAAAATTGGGAGTAAGTCCCAAAAAATAAAAAAATTTCTTTTTTTATGTAGTAATAGATGGTGAGAATTTGAATAGGTCAATGTTCAAGTCCTTTGATTTTTTTTTCTCTAATAAAAATTCTTGCTGGATTTATTTTTCAATATCAGAACTTTTGTCAATCGATTCTCGAAATTTCCAATTTCTTAATTATATATGGAAAATATCATAATTATTTCATGCAACCCCTCGAAATTATCAAATAAACAAAATCCACTAGAAAGTTATCAACAATTAATAACAGAAGAGCGTAAGTGCCAGGGAATGTCATCAAACTAAAAATGCTATTTTTTTTTGGGTTTAGCTGTTATGTCACTCTGTAATCAAATTATTGATGCGTAACCCAAAGTGGGATTTCCCCACATTCTAAGAATCTTCAAAAACAACCCGAAAAAAAATCCCAATCCATATTAATGTTGAAATTTCGCAGAAAAGCGAAAGTTGCTCTGAGTCGTGTACATGATACTTTTTTTTTTCTCCTCCAACTTTAAAATAATCCTCGATTAATGGATCGTTAGGCAGGCTCTCGCTTCAGTGAAGTCTCATCATTTTAAAATAAGTTAAAGCCATTGAATGCTTGCTTTCCCATTTAGCGTGATGGACAGTTACTTGAAAAAATCATAGAAACTGCGTTAAATGATTTTTCAGAGAATTAGGATATTATTACCGATATCTCCTCATTTCTCTATTTTTTCAGACAAATTTCTGCCAAAAGGTTGATAAAGTTGGCGTTAAAAAATATCCCCACGAAATTTCATTACCGCCGAATAATTTTCCTGCGTTCACGATAAACTTTTTAAAAAATTCTCAAAACTTTATCAAAAATTTAGAAAAATAAAGGCACGACCGTGAAAATTTGTGGGCCATGAAATAATGAGAAACCAAAAAGCAGGATATTTTTCACATAAATCTAATTCAGGGCTCCTCAGAAATTTACGAAAAACGAAAAATGAGAAAATATCGGTAATAACTCTTCAACTCTCTAGCAATTGAAAAATTCGAAAACGAATATTCATTTTTTCCGTCACGACAAGCCTCCTCTTTCAAAATTTGGATTATTCCTCGGTCTTCATATCATGTCATCTGATTTTTCCTGGGAACACGAAGAGAAACACTTCATGAGGACAAAGAATAAAATTATACTGATAAAATCATTCCCTGGTCGATCGTGAAGCGGTGAAAGCCCACACACTCGATTGATCTCACTTCGTGTATTTAAGTTTCTTTTTCATTTGATTATTCTCGTGAGATCGTGGATCGTATTACATGACGGAAGATGTTGCGTAGATGAAAAAAATATGATTAAATATAAAACTACACAATTTTGTTTATCAAGAATGTCGTCTTCCCCCGTCTAGCTAAGATTATCGGATTTTCTTATTTTTCTCAAAAATTTCGAAAGATGAGAGAAGAGAAGACATCAGTAACACCTTCTTAAGCCTAAAGTTCAACTATAAAATATCCCATCTCCTCCCAAAACCCTGAAATCATTAAAAAAAAAAGCATCACCAAGTGAAAGACAACGAAATCCATCTCTTCCAATACATTCGCGTGTTCGGAGTCTCTCAAAGTGACAGCGAAGGACTAGAAAGTGAAGGCAAATTCATATCTCGTTGAGTAATGGATGATTCATAGTGAAAATGGTCTTCCTCTTTACTTCCTCCTCGAATTACCAATATCAAAGCTAATGGATCCACGAGAGAAGTGGAATAAAAAATTATCCAAAGTGAATTGCTCCAGTTAAAGAACTTTCACTTGCTGACCTTGACCACCAAATGAATCAGTCATGAGTAACGCCATTGATACTTTTTCCACGCCCTTTTTTGTCATCGAAAATAGGGAGATCTAGGGAAAATAAATATTGTAGTTGAGTCAGGCATTGTTACAACGTGTCAATGTGCTAATCGTCGGGCCGTGACCATTCTATTACCACGTATGCCTGTTGCAACATGAAAAAAAGTACATGATAATGTTTGTTATACTGCAGCCAAGTCAATTAAAGCCATGCCCATCCTCTTCCGGTTGGATCAGGCTGTTTTCGCCCACCTCAATTGCCTCACTTTCATCTCTCCGATAGATTCAATTGTCTGTCAGTTTCTATTGATTATTCAGTTGTCAAAAGGTAAACCGAGACAAATTCATTTTTACTTTCAAGCTTTTTCGGTGGATATCTCGGAATCTGAGGACGATAGAAATATTTTTGTTGAAATCTTTTTTTTAGAGCGAAATGAGAGCTATGAAAAAGGTAATGACCATAATTTTCCTATTTCCTTTAGATCTCTAGATATCCAGTGAAAACCAGCAATAGTCAAAATCGACTCATCTCCACTTCACCACTGAATTGTCTTGGCAGCAGGCATTGGAATGTCTCGAGTCTCATTGAATATTCACAATTCAATGTTTTGAAATATTGGGAAAGATACGAAGCATTGAATTTCAATAGTGTTTGCCTTTTCTACTGTATTTTGTACTTCGATTAACAAATCAGTGGGGAACCTCTTTTTCACTCCGAAAAAAACACTCACTTCATTTTCTATTTCATTAATTGCTAACATGAGTATTTTTCCTTGACGAATTCCTTCCACTATTGCGGAAGAATCCCATGAACTTGTTGACTTCATTACAAAAAAATAACTGCTTTATTTTCAATACAATAACCACTTATTTTCATTTTTTTACTCCAGAATATCTGCAATGGAACAACCCCGCAAGCCTCTTTCGCAGGTAGAAAAAATATTTACAACCTTATTATCCATTTAAACAAGACTGTACTTACACTCTGTATTTATTAGTTGATATTCAATCGTTTTTTCCTTGTGTTTTATTTACACCGGGGAAAATTCAAAGAGAAATTGCTCTTAGCTCACGAAATTCTCTACGAAAAAAGTCTTATGGCGTTGTTTTCTAAAATCACTTTCCATTGAGACAATTTTTTATAGAGAACGTTGGAGATTGATTTTCTGTTTGATTACTCTGAGGGAATCAGATCCACTGGAACTTTCTGGAATTTTAAATAGCTGTGGTAATTAATTTTTGTAGGATTTAGTCTGAAGCTCTTCAGGAGGAATATCAAGGCCAATTTTGTAATGCGAATCCCCACTCTTTCTCCTGGGAAAGAAATGCAATATATTATTGATTAATTCATTTTTCAATTGCAATTGATATTCGGCAATAATTCTAACTACCGAGGGAACTGGTGGCCCCTCCATCGTAGGGTAAAAAAGTCATGGAATTACGTCGATTTATTTCTTCTATGGAGAATCTTTCTGGACTGAAAGTGTTCGGCTCTGGGTAGTATTTTTCGTCATGATGAATGCTGGAGACTGGAATAATTATTCTGGTGTTCCTCGGCATTTTCATTTGCGATTTTTCAATCTGAATGTTTTCATTGAGTTTTCTCTTCAGTAAGGGCCTCAGGGGATGCTTCCTCAAGGTTTCTGGACAAATTTTGTGAAAACTCTAATTTCTGATTTTTTTTTAGTCAAAAAGTGAAAAACAAGCTGTCACTTCAATTATTGTTACAAACCAGCGAGGACCATTGAAATGTACTCCATTCGGTCGAGGACATTGCAGTTAGATTCGTTATAAAATTTTAATGTCTCTCTGATTTCTGTTCTCAACCTTTTCTCGACCTCTTGATTAATCGAGAGTTCATATAATACGGCGGTAATTAATAATACTGATGAGTTGTAGCTGGTGATGAGGAAGGCAATCGCTTCAGAGGCTAGAAAACAGTCGTCAGTCCACTCTGCAATCAAACATATAATTATTGCTAATCAATTAGCAATTTATTTCTGAATGAATGCTGTTGTGTTTTATTCTTATTCTTTTATTCTTATTCTTTCTTCCTCTCTTCTATCTTCTCATCTTCCGAATTATTGATGGGAAGTTAATATATTTGGGAAATAATTTTTTTTGTCAGTGTAGCTGAAATCATCAAAAACGTGAAAAAATACTGGATAATTTCGCGAAAATGGTCTCACCAACTTTTCAATCCTCCAAACTGACTCACCCAAATTATCACCATGAGTTCTGCTTTTGAGATCCTGGAGAACACCGATGAAATCAGGACAAACGATATTACGTTCCTCCCGGTGTTTAATTTTCTCTCGAATCAAATTGACGAAGAATTCCCATTTCTTAGCGTTTTCCTTCACACCCAGATGACAGCAAATTACCCGAAGGATGACACACAGTTTTCTCGGATATAAATAGCGCTCGCGAGGACCACATAATCCCCTAATGATCGTCCTGATTTTCTCGCTCTCCATCGGTGAATTTCCATCTACTCCAAAAACGCAGTGAATCAAGATTTCAGTGGTAAAATATTCAGCGAATTGAGAGCAATCGACAACTCCTTTCCCCTTGATTATCTTATTCAGAGTCTCTTGACGTCCATTAGTCGATCTGATCACCAAATCGAACATGTCCCTCACCTTTTCAGACGTTAAAACCGTCTCAAGGACTTTCGAATGATCGATTGTGCCACAAGATTTGTAGGAATTCTGGTGGATGATGCCTCTGCCAATGACGAGTTTTGGAGTTGCGAATAATTTAGCATTATCGAGCAGAATGTACTTTACCACATTCAGATCGTTGATGATGAGAACTGGCGTTCGCCAGACAAATATCCCGAAATAGGGCTCGGCCCTCCACTCTCTGTAAAATTTATTGACCATTTCTACGAAGGAAATTCGTCCTAAGGCAACACTACCGATATTTCCACATATAATATTGGGCTCAGGCCCCTCAATATTTAATCGGAACCAGCATTCCCATTTCGAATTGAAGAAATCAAAGAGCATCAGAATCAGTACCAGTGGAGCTATCAACATTTCAACAACGAAATCCATTCTTTATTTTCAATTACTTTCACATTTACAATTCAATTTTTTTCACGGGTTTCTTTATGTTCACTCCAGCACTATTCGCTTACATTTGTTATCTTTGAAGGCTTGCGGGAATGGCTTGAGTTATCGTGGAGTAGGCAATTGCCAGGAATTATGCCCGTAATTTATGCGTATCTGAAACCAATGGACGTACCGTTTGAAAAATTTTTATGAGCTTTTCGGAGCACGTTATTCTTAATTCACGATTTCAAGACAGAATCGATGATACTTGGTTATTTTATATATATTCGTCTTATGAAAGATCATTTATTCCTTAGAATCAAAAAACCGTGGAAATGCTATTTAAAAAAGGGAATATTTGCCAAAATCCAAAATCATTATTATTCGAAAGTATTCAACAAGAAAGAGCCAAGCGGGGGGATTGAATATTTGCGTTGACGAGCCATCCAATGAATAACTTTATTAATTTATTTTTCATTTCTATTTTTGAGGGATTTTTTCTGGGAGATTTTTGCTTAGAGGAATAACTCAGAAGCTAATATTTTTGAAATTTTTCCTTTCCCAAAAGTTTATGAGAAATAGATAGGAAGCTGTGGTATTTATTTTTTTTTTGCATTTTTTCTATTTCGAAGGAACTCTTTTATAAACAAATCATCAGCGACCATCGATTTTAAATATTAATAGTCCAACACCTCTCATTTATTCTTTCATCATCAATGTACCAATTACTGGGGGTAAACGAACGATGGCAGGATGTACCCAAGACAATCCCCATTGTCCCCCCCTTCTCTCGAATTCACCTGGAACCTGAGGACAATCACAAATGCCAGTTGTCACTGGTAGAATATTGAAAAAAAAAACTTGGAGAATGCTAACAAAAGCATGTGACAATGATTCGTTGATTTCAACTCGAGGAAAAATAACAGGTACACCTTCATGTACTTAGGTGATCATGTAATGTACCCTTGACACAATTGCTCTTGTATAATTAAATTCCATTGGTCGGTTGAATCTCGCAAGTTATGGGAAAAAGCAGAAGGAAGCGACGCAATATCGTTTCCACTCATCCGAGACATATTCTCTCTAGTGCCAAGCCCAAGTCCATTGTGAATATTATTTTATTGATTAACACAGGTAACTGTAATTACAATTTATCTTTTGTCATTTAACTAGTCTGACCGTGATTTAAAAACATTAATTTATGCAGATAATTTTTAAACGATAGAGACAAATCAAAATGTTTTGGAATATCCTTCTTTCATTTTACAAGCTGAATTTCTTTACACTTATCTAGACGAACAATTCGTTCGATTATACATTATATTTATACAAGTATCAGATGAATATGGTGTAGGTACTTTATAACGCGATTGAATTATCCTAGTCTCATTCAGAAATAAAGTCATTAAACTAGACAAGTCGAACTTCACCCTGTTGTTAAATATCGCTCAATCTGAAAAAACTATCAATATTAGGTGGAAATATTAAGAGATATTTTTCGTTGGATATTTAATCAGCTACAAAAAAAGTCCTTTAGTGTTTGCACCATAAATCAATAGTTTTCGATACGAATCAATAATTAATAAACATGATTATTGAAGTTACCCGACTTTACGACTTTGTTACTGAATTATAAATTACTTCCTTGAGGATTTAACTATTTGCAGAAGCTAGAGTGGGAGAGAACGACGACCTTCATTTAATAAATATTCAACATCGATGAATTTTCATAAATTGCACTTGAAAATTGTAGAAGACATATTGAGAAATCTCAACAATTTTCTGAATAACAATTTTAATTAACGAAAATGTGGTTCGAAAATTTATTAAATAAATTATACCTCTCGCCATTGCCATGGTAACGAAAGAGTCAACAAGTGAGCAACGATCTCTTCGAATTACCTCAAGCGAAGTGTGTATTAACTATGAAAAAACTTTTACATCGTATATTATCCTGTATTTACAAGCCGAGAACGAACTGTTGAAGAGATCCGAAGAGAATGATGACACAACAGCTTGTTATTAAATTTAATACAAATATTGATCCTTCTGCGAGCCCCATTACCCTAGTTTATAGTTTACGGAATAAACGGATAAATAATTATTTGTTTAAATAAGGGCAACTTCTGGTCCACGAAATCATTAAATTAATTCGCTGATAATTTATAATCCTCCACCATATTACACCCGTGCGTCTAGAACCAATACAATATTTTCTTAAATTATAATAACAAACTTAGTCTTTTTAGAATTCTTCTCCTATAATGATGAAAAATTGATTTTAGTTCTCGTTTTATTTTCACTCGTGAAATATATTGAAATTTTTAAGGCTTTTTACTCGATTTTTTGAATCGTCTCGTTGACGAAAAAACGATCGTGCCAAATGCATTCACGGTGTTTAGCAGTCAGGATGGGCTCCAGCACACGTCCAATACAATTTATTCTAACTCGAAAACGCTCTCGATCTCGGGCCATTTCCTCCCAGGGACCTCTACGTGCAGCACGATACGCGTAGTTCCATTGTATCATCGTGTGAATCGTTGGCTCGAGGTTGAAGCGGACCTGTAAACAGGGGGAATTGATGAGTCACGTGAAATTGATGATGAAATGAGGGTAATGTTCATTGCAACAGAATCACTTGACACTCATTTCCAATTTGCCAGTATCATCGAATCATTGAAAGATACAGAAAACCACGTGAAAAACTTTTTAAAAAGCCAAATGACATCTACAAAAAAGGAAAGGCCGACATTTTTCGTATCTGCTGTAAATCACGAGATATTCTTCTAAATTCGGAAAAAAATGAATTTGAGTATCAATAAATTTATTTTTAGGAATTATTCAAATTAATTATTAATATAAAACATATTCGAGCGAATAGAAAATATTCACGATGTTTCCTATTTTGTATCCGAACTCAACGATAAAATTACGCCATCGTTCGGTCAGTGTGGAATAATGAATAAATTGTTACATGAAATGTGAATTGAGCGCGAGTGCTGACAGAAAGCAATAATTATTCCTATCACCCTCTACTCCCGTTCTCTTTATGCAGTTGAATCTACATTATTTTTTTAAAGATTGTCACATTCAATGCAGTGAATAATTTTCGTCAGCATCGAGGGGGAATGAACCTGGAAAGATAAAACGCAAGGAATTCTTTTGTTTCTTTTTTCCTATAGCTATTATTCAATCAAACATTCGCTTGCTAATCGAGTTGGAACGACGAACGACAATCGGTGGATTATATAATCCGCTTGATTATCACATGATAAGAGGAAGAATTTCACTCGCTCATGGCCATGGGGTGATTCTAGAACTATGCAAAAAAATGGAAATTACATTTTTTATTTCTCATTGTTCGAATAAATATCAAATTTACACGCGTAGTCTCCAGAGTTTACTCTTAATATTTACAATCTCCATCTTTGAATAATAATTATCCAGCTATATAAATCACATCGTGAAGGATATAATACAACGGAACTCAACAGAAATATCCAAGGCCTTGGTCTCGTTAAGAATCTTATTCTTACTTTTAACCTTGGAAATGTCGTACGACGAATTTCCTGGACGTCAAACGGTGTTTTTTAGCCTTACCCTTTTGAAAATGATAATTCCAGTCAATATTAAAGTCCAACAAAATCGGTACTTTGAGCATTGCTTTGAATATTCATAACTAGAGAAAATATTGATCTATTGACTGCGGTCTGGGCTCATTACACAAAATAACGCGTCGATTCGGAAATTAAAAAATACCTGCATTTAATTAATATTAAAAAAATGAAAAAACATGAGAAGTATTCCGTTCTACAAAAAATGAATCATCGAAGACTTTCCTTTTTCTCGAAAGAATGATGAATGAATAATCAAAAACGAAACATTGAAAATCCCATAACAATCATTTGTTCATAATCTCCATGAACAGATAAAAAAAAAACAATTCAGTATCGAAATGGAGAACGTGAGAAAAGTCGAATTCGAACAGTTTAGTACGAACAGTTTAGTACGATTAACCGGTCGAAAAAACTATTGACTTCAGTAAGAAACATGAACAGGTTTCTTTTCTCGAGAATTCAATCAGTTAGAAAAAAGACCTTTAAAGATTAAGAAGTTAATGCCAAATTCAACTTAGCTTCGTTTATGATTAGTAATCGACTTGTAAAATCTTTTATCAATGAAAAAAACAATGATCGCACCTTTTGCTCGGTCGTGTCCTCCTCGTCCTCGTCGCTGCTGTCCCTCAAATCGCCCTCATCGCTGCTGTCCCTCAAATCGCCCTCATCGCTTTGACAACAGTCCTCTGAACTGACAGACTCAGAGTCCTCTGACTCAGACGTTGATCCATCCTCAAAGACAATGAAACAACTGTCTTCAGAATCGATAGAGCTCTCCGAGAGTAATCTCTGTCGCAAGTCCTGTGTAACAGGGACGTCCTCCTTGGACTCCGGAAGGTATCTCACCCTGTATGACAATTTTCCTCTTTCAGGGCCCCTCCTCTTAGTCCTCGCCTTCCCAATGACGAAGGTTTCCATGAACAAGGGATAGTCCGGTGTATGATGTTCGTCTGTATCCCTGCAGTCGTTGACCATTGGCAAACGACAATTTACTTCCTCCTCAGAGTCATCATCCCAGGCATTCAAATCATCCTGAATATTCGAGTAGAGATTCTGCTTTGTCCTCTCTTTCCTGTGCTTGGTCTGACTCACCCCAGACTTCCTCAGCTGATATTTACCACGGGTTTTCGCTCTGCTTCGGGCTATTGCGCTGGGTTTTCGTCGTGTCTTTTGGAGATGAGGGCTCTTGGGGGGAATTTCCCAGTCTGTTATGTCCATAGTCTCGTCGACTATCGCTGCGGACGAAACACCAGGACGACTTTCACACATAATTTTGCAATTTCTGTCTTCAAATCTATCTGTATTATCCGTTTCTCCATTTTCCTCTATTCTCACGTATTTTTCAATATTATCAATATTTTGGTTAATATCTGAATTTACCTCTGATTGATCCTCGGGTATTTTTCCCTGTGGTTTGGTCTCGGATATCATATCTTCTAGATTGTTTTGCTGACTTTTCATGTGCCTGAGGCTCTCCTGGATGGCCAAATCTAGGTCTTTGGACTCGTTGATAGAATTTATCGAGTCCTGGGCATTCTGCAGGCCCTCCATCCAACTCTTGGCGAAGTTATTAACATCTAGGAAACCCTTGCCACCAACTCTATCGGCGATTATCTCAGCGATGTTTGATTTCGTGGTGTAGGAGGGACTGTCTGGCATATCGTTGAATAACTTGAGGGACTCGGGGTCCTCGTGGCCACCACTTGTGGTCAAATTCTTCAGAATGTACTCTGGGGATATGATTCCCTCGTTAGAGACCACTGTGACTGATAGGGGATTGTTTATGGAGGTCATCAGACTGGGAATTTTGGAAACAATACTTCCGAGTGATCCGAATATACCAATCATACTCCTGAGAATTGTATTATCCTTTTTCTGCAGGGATGGTGTCACCCGGGTGTCGTCCATACTCAGGGAGTGATTCATTTTGTAGCCCGAGGGGGTGGCATCTAGGGTCTTCATACTTTGGGTGGGCCACATCTCTTTGGCCGGGGTGGAGATGCCGAAATAATTGTTTGTCGTCTCGAGGTTCAGGGATAATGAACGTCTAGGTGTTATTTCCATGAGGGAATCAACAGACGTGCATCAACAGTCGTGATGTCCCTCTTCTCTGAGTCACTGGAATCCACAGATTCATTATTTAATTATTATTACTCGAGAAAATGAGTTGGAATCTAATCTCTCGCGAAGTAATACAGTGAGTATTGAATTTAATTATCCACTTATTCCAGAAACTACAGACTTGAGGGAAATGCCTTTAAAGCTATTTTTTCGTTAACGGAAACGTTTTTTTTTGTTTCCAACTCAATTGATTATTGTTTTTAAGTGAATCAATAATTAATGGTAATTACAACGGTGAATTCAATTAATTTTACAGTATCATTTGGCTAATGACAGCCGAAGGATTTTCAAGGTGTTCTACTTTGAGGACTATCTCGGGGATTAAGGGCTTGAGATAAAAACGTTTGAAACATTTTTTTGGGAGGATTTCACAAGCTATATATGAAGTCTTACAACATTTTGGCCAGGGGCGGACCCTTTCGTAGGTATCAGGGTGTTTATTCAATGCGGTTTTTGAGGTTTCTCAAGTGACTCAGCAGTCCACCATAAAATTATAAATCTTTATCATGTTCTAAAAATAGTAAGACTAGGAATGAAGACTCTGGGAAAATAAATGATTCAGCAAACAAATGAATAACGTTAAACCACCTTGAAATCTGACGAGAACCGATCTGTCGAAATATAAACATTTAACAAATTCGTATGATTTGGAGATTTCAGGTATTGAGAAATAACCAGACGTCAAAATTTTTTTCAAGGACGCCCTTCAGATATTCTCAATACAGTGGAAAAATTCCACTTTCCACAGAGATAACACCACGAATTAACAAATTCTCATCAAATACTAATTAGTCTTTGAAACGAGTGTCTCGATATGAGAGCATCAAAACAAAAGTTATTTTCCAGATATATTTACCATTTATTTACCATTCATTAAAGAAGTATTTTTTTGATTACCGTCATGGTTCGGCAATCCTCCAAAATTATTGGTATGACTTTCTAAAAATATAATAAAAACTTAAAAATAGAGGAACCGTCCGAGTAGATGAAAAAATGCATCAGTAAACAAAAAAATGCAATCTCACATATTGAAAATCAATGAAAAGGTTTCTAGAATATGACTATTTGATAAAATCGTGGGGAAAATTTTACTGTTTGCGAGTTTTTACTGACACATGATGCGTGGGAAAACCCCTAAAATGGCCAGATGTCAACTGTTCTCTCGGGAGTTTCCTGATCAATCCATCAATCATCAATCCAAAAAATTCCACTATTCGCCGAGATAGCAGTTGGAATTTATCGATAATGGAACGCACCATGATCTCTTCGAGGCTGACGCAAAGACCAAACGCTCAAATACAATTACTGACAGTGAAAGTGGAATAATTCCCCAGTATTTTCAGGTTATAAACGGGTATTTATAGCCCCTGAAGGTATGAAAATACGCGGAGTGACGAAACTAGATCATCGGAGGCTGTTTTTGGGATTTTTTTATAGCGGGATTGAGGGAACACTGGGGATATCTGACATTATCAGCCATATGACTTGTAATTAGATTGTGCAAGTGGCCACAAAGCATACTCACAGCAAGGACAAACTCTGCAGACTTGATTAATGCCCTGTGTGTCGTTCCAAACTTTAAAACACTCGAAATCTTTACGTTTTTTGCTGTTTGTTTGCGAAATAAATGAATTGATTTCAGTGAATTCTTCCAGATTGCTGTTGACAAGTATTTCGATTGATTCCATTTTAAAAAGGCACATTTTTTATTACACGGATGATAACGATAACTCTTAAGCGGCCATTTTCAACTCAGTGAATGTAATGTGGGTGCGTTTATCCGGAAAAGCTTGTGGCGAGTTGTGGCGCTGTCGGCGTTTATTTCAGTAACGACGCAGTTTCCAATAATTTTGAATGTTCTATAACCCGAGAGAATCGTCCAGAAACTTCAAGAAGCATTTGTCGACTTTTTTCCCTTTTTTGTGTGTAAAAATTACATTTTTCACGGTTGCGAGTGAATTTCGAGGGCGTGACAGGATTTTCCAGGAGATGATGCAATCCTATGAATCGTTCATTAAAATGTAAAATGGGAAAATATTCCAGGAAATGAAAATGAGTCATGATGGCCACGGTGGTCACCGAAGAGGATTGACTAAAGGAAAGACTCAGTTCTGGGGGTTTGATTGACCTCAGCGGAATCGTAGTACTGCACCCCAAGAGAGGTAGGTCACCACACGCAATTGCCCTCGGTGTGTGATCGCGTTTGGAGATGATAAATGCTGAGAAATGATGATAAATTATGAGAAATGATGCAACGATTAATCAGTTTGTTGATTTGATCTTTATATTTTTATTCAAAATAATTCTTCTAATGTGATGATAACAGACCGATGGAGTCCTGAGATTTACGGGTGGTTTTGTTAGCAGTTTTCTCATCGGAATAGAAATGTACAAGCACTATCTGGTAACGAGGGGTGGGGAATTTATAAGTAGTGGAGGCCAATGCCGAATTGATACTGTTGGAATATGTCGAGGCGGGTCAGTGATAGTGGATAGATTAAGTTCAACTCGATTCGTGCTATCCCTCCTATTCTCATGGCTATTCCAGCACCTGTTGACCATCGCACGTTGTCTGTGAAGAGTCTCAAATTTTGAGAGTAATCGCCATCTGGGAAATTGAAAATTTAAACATCCTTCAGATAACAATAAATGTCATGCAGAATCGAAATTTCTTCGGCAAATCTTTTGGAAAAATTTTCACAATTTTCAGACACCATCATAACTATCACCACAGTAATACTAAATATATTTTGACAGGAAAAAATTCTGAACTTTTAAATTTCGCTGAAAATTCAATGCATTTGGACAGTGGGTATTCATGTGAGATTATAAAATGAGGATTACCTTTCTGAAGGGTAATATTTCCCAAATTTCCACCGTTAATAAATCCATGTAACCTGAACAGCTCTCCGAAGCTATTTTTCCCCGGTCTGAATGGCAGTGGTGTATAAAGATGAAGAGCAAGGGCCCAGAATGTGTTACCACCAATGGCATTCCCATCGTTCCTGGGGCCGCAGCCCCTCATGGCAAAGCCACGGACATTCATCGGGCCTCCGAGAAAAAATTTGTCGGCTATGTTGATCTGCATGTCATTGCTAATTCCCCGGAGAAAACCAGCTTGTGCACCAAGCTGGAGGCTCTGAAAACCCAGAAAAGGCATTACAATTCGATTCGTTCTATCAATTTTTTTCAGGTTTTGTCAGGTTTTTCCATTGAAAATTTTTCACGTGTGAACTCACGATAAATTCGAAGGGCGTGTAATTGCTCTGCAATGTGAACCCGTATTTCATGAAGCCAATGTCACCACCGAGTCCAGCTAATTCAGTGGTGAACTGGACCAGTGATCCACTGCTGGGAAATACTTTGTCATCTCTCTTGTCAATCGAGCAGATGTGCCTCAGAGCTGATTTTAAACTCGGTCCACACTGTTCTCGAACGTGAAAAGATGCTGATTTGGCAGGAATTATGTCTCTGTATGAAGTCTCATACTGGAAATTGTGTTTGAGGAGTCCAGGAGTAATGCCCAGATCGATTAAGAGGCCGTGATCTTTCTCCTTGTATCCAGACCAGGGAACGTCTGTCGTGGAGTTATATACACTAGTGGTTAATACTTTGTGCAGCCAGTCATCGACGAATGGCTTGACAGCAGAGACATTGATATTGCTGGTGCTCTTGGTGCCATAGGAGTACTCCATCTGGAGTCTCTCACCTCTGCCGAGGATATTGGGTGCTTTTGCCTGAATAAGGAGTGATCCCTCGTTATTTCCAACCATTGTACTGACGCCTCCACTCAATCTTTTCATCTCCTTGACGTTGAAAGTTACTTCGACACCCTCAGGGGTCGCATCGGGCCCTTTGCTCGTGTCGATTGACACACCGATGCTGTTGAAGCAGCCCAGGGTCTCCAGTTTTGATTTAACTCGCTGGACGTTCTCGATTACATCGTAGAAGTCTTTAGCTTTGAACAGTTCATTGATCTGGGCTTTTATTATATCGTCCTTTGTCCGTTTAAGACCGTCGATGTGGACTTTGTCGACTCTTGCTCGCTGGTGGAGGTCAATTGCGTATGGCTGTTCTGGGGGAGGAGGGGCAGACACACCTGGACTCTGAAATTATTCATTTTTTTCGTATTTCCAAGGAAAAGAAATAATTGATCACTCAAAAATTGTCCGTTATTAACAAACTGATGAAGTAAGATAAATGAGAATCATCTCGAAGTGTTGAGAAATCGGTTTCAATAGATTAACTAATTAAAAAATATTCATTTCTTTATATTGATTAATTAAAACTAATCTCGAATAGATAAGAGTTGAAGGAATGTCCTTGAGTTATCTCAGATGATATAATATTCTGCGAACTATTTCATAACAATCAAGTCGCGACACATAATGTCTGAACGCAATAAAAATTGATCAATTTTTAACGAAAAAACTTTCATACTTTGAAAGTTAATTTTTGACTAGTTAATTTTTCTATTTGATAACCCTAGCATTTTCCATAAATCAATCATTAAAAAATATATAGTGTTGGAAGATAAATTACCCAGCTCTGTTCGTATGAGGAATTTGAAGAAAAGGGATTTGACGAAAACCCTCCATAATCTTTCGTTTCACTAGGTTCCTGAAATGAAATAAAAACAAACGTAATTAATCAATTACATTAATTATTACAATTTTCTGACAATGGGCTCATTAGATTGGCGCGAAAAATGGACCAATACCGACTTTTATCATAGCCAATCAAAATCATAATAATATCTTTTTTCATAATAATACAATTTTTTATAATAAAAATTATTATATAGCGATGAGACCTCGTGATTAATTCAATCATCGTAAAATTTAAAAACTATTTTTTTTTGCATCTGATTGAGGGTTCAGGAATCTGCAAAAATAAGACGTGAAGGGGATAAAGTTTTTTAAAATTATCCTTAATCACTGAAAAGTGTGTCAATAGACCACTAGACTTGCAATTATCATTTATCATATATTTATAGATTTTATCGTCCCACATAACAGCTGATTTCATGAATGAAAATAGCCCGAAACAGCGGTCATTCTAGATCTGAATCATCCGTTCGGTGAACTCAATCGAATATTATTAGCGATTACGTCGTTCCTCAATTATCCACAATTAAAAATAATGTAAATTTAAAAAAAACGAGAGGTTAATCCTGAAACTTACCTTTGCATAAACAGTTCCCATTATCGAGTCACGAAGAATTTTGTTCCAATGGTGTAATTTATTGGTAGATTGCACTGTTCAAAGATCCTTGTCCATTGGACAAGTTATGATTATTTTCTCCTGATTTAGTCAGTTGAATTGAAATGCCGATTGGAGTAATTTGTACAACAGAACAAAATGATTAGGACAGAACAAACGAGCGAAACTACGACCGGCGCACTGTACTGTTGTAATGCTAGGTATCTAATTTGTAATTGAGGTTAGAAAAGGAAGAAAAATCATGTGTACACGCAACACGCAGTGTTTTGATTCGAAGCCAATTTTTTAAGTTGAAAACAATTTTTCTCATCGATTGACAATTAATTATTCAATCAACCTATCTAATTACCAATCTACCCACTCAATAATCATTTCACCAATTCAATTGTACAATAATTTATTAAACTGCTTTACAGCTGAATATTGAATAAAAATCAGTAGCCCACGTGTAAAAGGACATAAGTCCCATTGACGATTTTTATATTATTATCGATTATCTTGAAGCCTACTAATTACTAATTATTGAAATTTCCTAAGATTTGAGGAAATCAGAAGATTTCATCCATTTCGTTGTATATTATGCAATTGAAATAATTAGTAATTATCTGAACTCTATGGGAAATAATTAATTTATTTAGAAAATTCACCACAATACCCATAAATAAGTCTTTATTCTTCAATAAAATATAAGTTATTGCACATTAAAAATATATTCAGATCCATTTTTCAGAGGTAGAGATTCAAATTCGTTCATCCATTGTCGTATATGTGTTATCAATAATTATCCGTAGTTTGTGGATAATATATAAATATTTGTGCAAATAAGTACTCCAAAGATTATAAAATATCAATTGTTCTGACTAACGAGCTTTCAAAGCTCTGAACACCTTAGAATTCAATAGGACACTGGTAAAACGAAATCAATCGAATTTTCCAATTTCTTAAATATTGATGAATCCAAAAAATATCGATTATTAACGAAAACATGATAGACATATTTTTCGTACTATTCTGAAATTTAATCTGCTGCATAAAAGGCCTTAATGTCTTCACACGGCAATCCACAGCTCTCGAGACAAATTGATAATTAACTAAATAATTGACCCACAAAATTGGATGCATCTCAGTTTACCAATTTACTATTGAATTGTCTGTCTCTAACACTAGATATCGAAATGTCAGTCGTTGAGACGTAAACAACATGTAAAATTTCTCCTGAACTCTACAAATATGGAAATAGAATGTTTAAATATGAATCAGAGAGCTGCTGGACCAGTTCGTAGAGTTGTTCCTGGTGTAGCTGGACTCCCATGGACTTCCAAATCGAAATTAGACATGGATGAGTCCCTCAGCACTCGATTCAATCTGTCAGCATTTTCGTTGATGTAGGAAAGCCTTCGGACGACCTCAGGTTCATCGACACCTCGTCCACAGGCCCGGAGAGCCTCTTGTTGGATAATTATTTCATTGGTGATGTATGTTTCACGTCTTATTCTGTCTCGGAGCTCTGGGCTCATATCTGGGATGCACCAACGGACTAGAATCATCACAAGAGCCACTATATTCTCAAAAACAACAACAAAAGCGAGCCTCGCTGCTAGGATCCTCCAGTAGGTGCTCGTCACCTGGTACTTGCCATCTTCACCAGGTCCTTCCCTGAAGTCTGGATATCTGCAGACGTCGACGTGTCTTCCTCTTACATCCTGGGGTCTCATGTCCTCTTCAAAATCAGAAGTGTTGAACTTGGATAACGAATACTCCAGGAAGCCCTCCAACGAGCCGTTCTCGGAGACACTTAGCTGGTAGACTATCTTCGGAATAAAATTCGATGTGAATGCGATAATGAAACCATTGGTGATAACTGATAATTTTGCCACTGAGTCCAATATTCTGTACCAGATGCCGATATCTCGGACTCGCTGGCTCACTGGCCTCCTGTACATCGTCAAGAGTTTTTTGGCATCCAGTCTCATCTCGAAGACATTATTCACCAGAGCAAAGAACGGTGCCAGGGGAAATGCTGCTACGAATATCGTGACGAATCCGTACTGGAGAACCATCTCCAAGTATTCAGGAAATAAACTCCTGGGACCCCATTCCACGAGCTTGTAATCTCTCACCCAAGGGGGAAGCTTCCTGGAGGTTGTGTCCTCGTGTTTTACTTGGCGATCGGGATTGTTGCGGACTTTCCAAGTGTTCAGCCACTTGTAGAAGAGTGGAAACATCATCTCCAGGAAGGAATTCATCGCCTGTTTGCCAATCATTATTATACTCAGTTGAATACAGAGCTCAGTTAAACATCCACCGGGTCCGCACTCCTCCTGTCTGTACCTGTAGAAATTATTTAGTACTGTTGTGTCGTGTAAGAATAGAACAATAAAGAATTCTACAGAACATTCATATGACTTCGCAGTTATCAAAAATTTCAAGTTTATTTACTTGAAATTTCAAACATAATTTTCCAGCAGAGTACTTGGTACTCCTGGATAATTGCTCACTGCATTTAAAACTATTGATGAATTCTTGCATTTACCATACCTGAATAACCGATTATATGTACTAGGATGTCCCACGAACTTTCCCTTGAAGAAGGCGATATAGAAAATGGAGGCATAATAATTAACGAACTGAAGGAGATAAATCTTGAGTGTGAGACTGTCATCAAATTCAGTTTGAGTCCTGAGTAGCTCCATCTCGGTGAGGTACTCAGCGAGCCAGACGTACAGCCAGTTGAAGAGAAAAATGCAACAGAGATTGAGGCATGCAGCAGTGGCAGTGGTGAAGAGTATGGCATTACTGGTGATTGCTGATTCTCCATAGACACTCAGAGTCGTAAGAATAGACATTCTGTAGAGAATGACACCGATAACGGCAGCCATGGCGACAGCAATGAGCAGGAGAACAACTGAAAATGAGAGAATAGTGGCTGGCAGTCTCATGCTCCAGAACGGAACAGTCGGTTCCAGCGTGTTCGTTATCACATTGAGGGATTTTTTCTGAATGTGAGAGAGTCTTGCGAGGTATTGGGGCCTGGGATGTTCCTCCTGGGCATCTAGACCCGTCAGATCCCATCTATGAGTGATTTCTGCTGAGTACTTCTTCCACAACTCCAGAAAGAGCGTCGCCCACAGGGACATGAATACAGCGAAAAAAACTGTTGAGGGATTATCGAAGAGGTACGTCAATCTGCTGTGGAGACAGGTCTCACGCAGGTTCCAGTACCCGCAGATTTTGTCGCAGAGTGGGCACATGTCGATGGAATTGTTGCCATGGCAGATGTCCTCGCTTGGGAGATTCGAGGACAGACTTATGCAACCGTAGATGAAACTCAGGAGACCGATAACACTTGCTGGCACCAGCATGTGCGTATAGAAACCTAACCAGGCAAAGTACAGACCAATTTTCACCCCAAAGTACTCCTTTATGTAGTCCAGGGGTTGGTGATTCAGGAATTTACTCAGGCTCGCCCAGTGCGTGTACAGCAGGCATCTTATAGAGTCCGGACTCCGCAAATTTCCCTGGAAGTCATAACTTCATATTCATGACCTTTTATTTATCAGAATAACCCGATGGTGGAATGAAATTTTCCAAGTGAAATGCAAGCTACAATAAAATCCGCCAAGAAAGGCAGTAATGACTCAGTTCGAATCATAAAAATCCCAAAAGTTTCACAGAAGTCCCGATAAATAAGTCCCAGTGGTTATTTAGTACTGAATTATCCCCCCATAAAGACAAACAATGAGAATCGAGAGAAATATTAACCCAGAATTTGGAACGAATAAAATTCAAAGTAAAAATAGGTGGTAGACGCACTCCTCCTTGAATATTACAGAAAGATGACAATAGATATGGTGAAAATCCTGAAGGATTAATTTCCATTGTCTGATGGAACAAAGTACTAAAAGCACGCCCAGATAATGACACCAAGGGGTTTCTCGATTTGGCAAATACCTCGACCGTGGGATTTTACCTTAATTCGTACCTGAGTACCCGTCCAGCCCCGAGGATTTTGTTTTATTACAGGGAAATCCTGGAAATTTCATCGTGCCCACGCCAGCCCCTGGGATTGTCTACTAGTCGATTGTGTGGCATGGGGGCAAAAAGGGGCACTGGACAGGCGGATTTAAAGGGAACCTGCTGGGCCGTGGGGGGCATCATAAAATGCCCCCTCACCATCACGATTTTCGGAGAAAGTCGTTTGAGGAGGTGCGAGAGCAGTTTAAATGTCTTAATCCCGGGGTATTTAAAGTTCCGGGAATTTTACGGGTAAATACTCTAGTGAGAGTAATTTAAATGTCACTGAGGATATTGTATTTTTGCAAGATTTTTGAGAGTTTAAATATTTATTTGCATCTTCTTTAGCCATTTTAATTTGATGTTATTCCTGATATCTTCTCATTTTTTATGTTTTTTTTGTAAATTTTTAGGAAACCCCGGATCAGATTGACATAAAAAAATATATGGCTTTTTGATTTTACCACGAATTTTGATAATCGTGTGTTTATTTTTCAAAATTTTTGGTAAAATTGAAGGAATTCTTACCAATTGTGTAAATATCAATTATAATGATGGTACTTACATCGTGCAGGGGATAAGCTGCTACATAAGCCCGCTCGGAGATGAGTCTGTCAATTCCAAAAGCGAAATCATCACCGTTTACCTCCGAAAATTTCGTCCTATCCAATATAAATTGGACAATTCTCGAGTGCGTGGCTGATGAGAAAAAATCCGGTGCATCGAGATCGAACAAGTACTCCTTGTCTCTACTGTAAACAGCTGTGTATTGGTGCTTCATGGTAGGAAAAATTGTTTGATCGACGTAAAAGCGGGAGAAAAATATGCGAAAGCAGGTGTTTACTTCTCGCATTATGGGGTTGATGCGTTGGAGGGATGGGGGTGGAAATGATAGCTCTTTCATGGCGAGACGGAGCTTAAGGATTTCTGCGTAACGACGCAGTACCTCCCGAGGTGCGTGGACCTTGGTGAAGCGAAGTCCACTGGGCTCCGGAGGTTCTTGCTCCAGATGGAGACCCTCCAGTTCCAAATTACTCTCAAATATCTGCAATTAATAGCTTCCTTTTACTATTGGAATACTGCAGATAAATTTAAGCTGAAGGTAACTTTAGTTCCAACTTGTAAATTAACATACTAAAAACCTAAATGACGTTTACATTTCGTAATTTACACGATTATAAACATCGTAAATTGCATTCCAGAATGTGTATTTCAAAATTTTTGATATTCGTAGACATTCCTGTAGCTGTCATTGTACTCCACAAAATAGTCAATTGAGAAATCAGTAGCGAAGTGGTGAACTAAGAAAAGTGCATTCTTTTCGAGGTCAGTTTTTAGCGAATATCTCAGAATTGAAGGAACATAGCGAATTTGTCATATCAACGGTTTTTATACAAAAAGATAACAGCTGCAAAAAAGGTATCTATAAAAAAATCGTTATTTCCTATCGATTTCAAGACATTGGCAAAAAACTGGCCTCGAAAAAAAAACACTACACTTATCCTTGTTTATCACTTCGCTACAGAAATGACTCTATCACCTTTATATTCACAAATACTTCGATAAAACCGCATCAGTGACACTCTCTTATCTCTTAATTTATTACAATTAACTTTAAGTGATATCTATACCTTGCGGTATTCAATATTACGGAGTGACAAGGCCTCTTCGTCATGCTCGTCCCAGACGATAACAAAATCAATTGAGCGAATTTCATCTTTGAAAAACAAACTGCCAGTATTTGAATGCGGCACCTGAAGAATCAGAAATCAAAATAATAATAGTAATAAAAATCATTAAAACTGAATTAAATGCTAAATTGACAAATTACATTTTTTAATTAATAATTCAAAACAGTAATAATAATAATTCAAAGCAGTTTAGATTATCTCAATGCTATAGACAAGAGATTTTTTTTTTGGTCTTGATTGAGTAAAATCATTTTTATTAATCTTTTTTTCTAATTTTTATTCTTTTATTTGTATATTCAATCGAATCTACCGAGTGCGCATCTCCGTTCATGCCATAATTTCCTTCGAGGAGAGTTTCATCGGTGGTCAGGGTCGAGGTCTCATCCTGATCATCGGCATTCAGGGTCTCCATGCTGATGGCATCTTCATACATTGTGTTACGGAGACTGTGGTAAAGGGTCTGTTGTGATCCACTATTCAAATTACTCTGGGTCGACCGGTAAATACTCGGTTGAGATTCACTTCTCCTCCTACGCTCGAAGAATTTATCATAGTCCTCCTCTTCCTCCATTTTTTCAATTGCAGAGATTCCTAGAGCAGTTTCCAAAGGTCAGACACTATTAATGAATTTTTATTAAATTTAACAGATTAAAAAATTGTTCACTCGTGTCCCAGTTTTTCACGAATATATTGGAATATCATTGGATAGCGGAGATAGGGAAATTTTTACAGGATCTTCTATATCGCGCGAAATAAGATCTAAAATAAAATCGTGACAAATCTTATATCTCCTCTTGATCTCCCCATCTTCTCAAAAAACAAATTACCGATTTTTTTCAAATTTGGTAATTGTAAATTTCAAATTTCGGATATTAGAAATTCACTGATGAAATATTCGTACGGAAAATATTATTATTAAAACATTATTTTTCCGATACGGGCAATAAAATCGGTGACTACTTCCCTGGATTGACAGCAAAACTAAAAATATTCGAACGCTTTGAAATATCCTGACACACTTGAATGATGGACTCAATTGGAAATTCGTCATAAATAATGATAACGCACTGTTTAAATTTTCCAAGGCCTTGAAATTGAATAAATAAAAATTCCCTGAAGATGAGTTTCACCGGACAGAATCAGCTGCCACCCACGACATTTCCCTCCTGTGCACCACTGACTAATTGAAGAACTGAAATCACTCGGCTAATCGAGAATTTTTATTTTCCACTGGCTTTAAAAAAATCTTTTACATTTTTTTTTATCGTTAGCACCGATAAACACATACTATCGGTTGAATGGACCACAACGTCGTGAATCCGCGTGGTGGGTGGATATATTACTGACTACTGTGCAGGGGAATAAAAAGAAATCGATGAAACCTATTTTTGTTTGAGCGGCGAAATTTAAATGCCCCGCGGATGAATTCGTCCCCTAGTTCCCGGCGAACGTGAAAAATACAAAGGAAATATTTCAAAAAAATCTCGCAACTGATAGAACAACTGGTCATTACAAAAAAAATGAGATAAACATTGCCTATGATTTCATGGGATATTATCATTTTCACTAATAATAATTAATAATAATATTCTCCCGCATGGTTATCTATTTAGTATAATACTATAAAGTAATTGTAAAAGTAATAAAGATGACTCGATTAGAAGTAAATGGATTGTGACTTATTTTTCTTACTAAAGAATATTCCAATCCCACCATTTTTCCGATTCCAATGGAAGTTTTTTTGATTTCGGCGAATTCTTTCTTTTTTGGGATATTCACATGAATTTTATGTGAGGCAACATCATCGTCGCGAATTTTCACCAGACAAATAACGTAATCATGTCAATCTTCGAACTTAATTAGGAGAACACTGAACCAAATCTATTCAGCCTTCATTGAGTGAAATTGAACAATTATTTTTCGATTTGTCAAAAGAGATGAAAAATTGCAAATTGAAAAATTTCTCTTGAAATCGAACGATTACAATGCTTCTATTCAGAAGTAAAAACATTCAATAAAATCAGGTTTTAATTCTTATTCAAGTTGAATCGGCTATTTTTATGGATCGAGGGAATAAAAATTGAGAGAAATGTTTCGGCAAAAAAAAAGAGACGAGTGGTCGGTTTAAAAGGCCCCAGCTCGTGTTTTGGATGAGGCAGAGGGCAAAAAGCTGAAAAAAGGTAAAAAAAGGGATGAGGTGGTTTGGGGGGGCGGCAGGTGTGCGGCGTCGGCGAGGGCCTATCCATTTGTGCAGGGACCTATGGGCCCTTTTAATTTTTGCTTGGAACGGGAGGTCGGCAGATTCATTCTACAGACAGCAACACCTGGTCCTCACTGGCGTCATCGTGAACGCAATTCTGAACCTTTAAAATCCTGGTGAATGTTGTCAAGGAGTTCGCCAATATTTTCGCACTTTTCAATAAAATTGACGTAAAAAAATATTTCCATGCTTCATTATTATTTAAGGTCCAATAAAGGGATTTTCCTACTTTCTCTTGAACATTTGCAAAAATTTACAAAGCTTTACTAAAATTTTAAGAAATAGATCCATGGCCATCGAACATTTTTGAGTTATTGAATAATGATGAAACGTGAAGACTATATATTTTTCCACCTTTAATCTGATCCATGATTTCCTAGAATTCATGAAGAACATGAAAAATGAGAAGATAACGGCAACAGCTCATGAAATCTTTCCTCCCATTTCATCAGAATGAAGTTTATAATTATTTTATTTCTTCAAAATTTATCGTTTATTCAATTACAGATACATTCAAATGTAAAATCGTAATAGTCATTTATTTAGATTCAAATAATAATTAACTGTCGTTCAATTCGGAAGTGAAGTGGATTATTATGACTTCACTACTTAATTCGTGAAAATTTGGTATAATTAGAGTTCTTGCATCACTGGAGAGTGGAAGTTATCCTCTCCAAGAAATAAAAATAAATACCGTTGTAGAATGGCATTGTGTTAAACTATTTAATGCATTGAGCTTCCTCAGAATAATTTTTTCAAATTTATTTTCAAACTTTTTTTCTAAATTTGTTATTATTCATTAAATTATAGAGATATTTGACTATACACTTTGATAATCAGAGTTATCCTGGTTAATAAAATATTTAAATAGTTACTAAATCATCATAATTAACTGAAATAGACGATTAATTCAGGAGTGAAGTACTTTTCTCGAGCTTCACTACTCAATTCCTCGAACTTAGTGTTAATTTTTGGTACAATTAGACTTCTTGCATCACTAGAGAGTTGAGCTCGTCTTCGCCAGGGCACAAAACAGAATCGATGTTGTAGAAGGCCGCATGGATGAGTACCAAGAACCAAGACACACCTGAAAGGAAATTTATTTGTTTTTAAAATGAATTAATTGATGGAGAGGAGCCTTTGGTTCCTTGCTTCAAGATGTTCGAACCCTTTTAGCCAAAACTCACGTCTTTTTTAAGTTTTAGGAAAGGGGGTAATATCTGTAAATTATTCTCAGGAAATGAATATAAATTACTTAAAACCCAGAAGAGAACAGCTCCAGCACCAACAAGATAAAATAATGGCAGTGAACAGGCTCCAACCACGATGTAAACCTGCGCCAGGGTTAACCTGTGATTTAATATCGTCAGTTCCTGTTTGGCATGTCTTTGGGAGACTTTGTAGCATGCACCCAGTGACGCAGCTACTACTAGTAATAATAGAGGCGATGTAATTCTGGAAAATACAAATTCGTCACAGAAAAGTCATTAGTATGAACGAATCTATGGAAATTCCTGAATTCAATTCAGCAGTGATAAAGAGTAAAAGGTGAATCTAAGTAATATATACGTTTTCGAAGATTATCTGCGAATCTAAGAGAGATGTCGAAATTTTCGTACTGAAATTTTTTGGAGATCTTATTCCATTCTACAAAAGATGTCTGTGAAAAATTTTCGCATCTCTTTTAGATCCCGAGATATGCTTTGAAAACTCCGGGGGGCCATGAAGATTAGAAATTTTTGTCTCAGTTTAGGACACTCACAAGCAATAAATAACAAGTCCGACGAACACAAATAGGTAATTACTCTGAAAGTACTCGATATTCTTGACAATACGCTTGGTTAATCTAGTGACACCCGGGGGTGCACGAAAATTACTGCTGTTTAGGAATAAACTCCATGGCCTCAGGGTCGCTTTTCTGTGCTGGATCCAATCGTGGGCCTGGGGATAGCCCAATTGAGTGAATGGTTGCCGGGGAATTTGAAGAAAGTCCAATCTAGATGAAAATAATGACAATTAAACATTTTAATCAAAACCCAAAATAATTAATACATGACGGAAAGAGAGAAATTTAAATGATAAGGATTTTCATAGGAAAAAAGATCTCGAAAAAAGAAGAAAGAAAACAAATTTTTTCAAATATTTATACCAAATTTTTAATGAAAAAACGTGGATCGAGTGGTAATACCTATTTAAATTTTCAATTAATTCAAAATAATTGATTGATGAACCTACAATTGATTAATACCCCGATTCAAAATTTTTCGACAACATTCAACTGAATATTGCTAATTGCTGGCAACCTGGAATCCCCAATTTCCACAGATTTTTTAATAAAATTATAAAACTTGAATTCTAGACGTTTGAATTTTTATGGCCATCCAAAAATTTTCAACGACATAACAATGGTCAACAACAATCAATTGACATCTGCCATCTGATTTTGCTGCACACCCCAAACGTAGTTTTAAGCCGAAAAAAAAAAATTCTGCAAAATTGTTAATAGGATCACGGAGAAATAACCATCCCCATAATCTCAAATCTCCGGCCACCTGCCGTCATGAGCCTCAAAAGAAAGAACTGAAGAAAAAGAAAGCCCAAAGATACCCTCACCAGAGGTTAGGTTGTCAAATGTAACCATATGCTCGTTACTCCCGATGTATACGTGGAATTTTACCCATTCGCTGTGCTATCCTGCTTCAAGGGTGTCTCCATATCCCCGGTAATCGTAATTCCGACATCCCCTTGCATCTCGATAATAGAAAAGTCTTTGGAGCAGAAGTCAACCCGGAGCTAGGCGGAAAAAAACGAAAAATCTAAATCACTCAAAACAATTCACTCTATCTCTTATTATTTTTCTTTTATTTTTCCTCTATTGTGTTTATGTGTTTATATCGGGTTTCCCCACTCTTTCTTTTCTTTTCAAACAGAACCAGTCGAGAAGTGCCCCCCACCCAACCCCACCCCCTTTTTGGTACTACGGTTTACTACAGTTTATCCTTCCCCTCCCCCTTTCTACTCCATTCCCCTTCTTGCCCCTCCTCGCCCTCCATTGCCCCACTATTGGGCCATGAATACAATCGTTTCTTCTCTATTTTTTTTCTTCTATCCCTTATCCTCTCCTCACCCCCGACGGGCCTTTACGCACGCCACAGGTTGCAGCTGCCCCAACAAAAATTCCTTTTATTGCCCCGTCCTCAGCACAAACCCCCGATGCAAACAGGACCTTCTGAATTTGCTCTACAGTTTTATGATGTCCTTCATTATTTTTTGCTTCTTCCAGTGGAAAATATTTTCAGGGCTTTTCGTCATTTTTCATTCATTTTAATTGGTGTGCCCATTTCTTTGGAGCATTCATTAGGCTAAGCCAGCTCCTAGGGGTCTCTAATTTTTTCTTGTCGTTCATCGGGCCATCAAAATACTGCGTGGTAAAAATAGGAGAATTTTAGCTTTTTAAATTTTTCTATCTCAATCATTGTTATTTATTATATTTCAATTTTCGGGTTTCGTTCTTTCCGATTTATTTCGATTATTATTATTCAAATTAATTTGAAGTATTCTTGGGCGCATAATCTCGAAAAAATATCCTTCATCTAATCATCAAGTGTTCATATTGCCCTACCCTGGGCTAATTAAAAATTGATGAAACGAAGAACAAAAAAATTTCGAGGCCACTTTTAAATCTCATCGGGATGTGGATGTCACTGTGTGGAAATTTGGGAAAAATCCGGAGAATCTTCATGAGAAAACTAAAAAACGGGAAAAACGGGAAAAATGGAAATGATGGAAGCAATGGAAGAAATGTAAAAAAATATGAAGAGGACGCTGAGTTAAAATGGTGAAAATCATGGTTTTTCCCCTTCCCTTGATGTACGGGTTGCAGATGACGCCACTACGGGGAACGCATTGTTCCCGGGGATGGGGCCAATGAGAATGGGCCTTTCAAGGGTCGGAAGAAAGTGTGTAAATAAAGTGATCCCCGATTGGTGGATGCATTAGTCCCCCAAAGGACACCGGGCCACCCGCCATAACGAACATAGCGTGCTGCAGAGAGTGTGTTTGAATGAACGTGGCTCGTTTTTCTTTAAATAATTGTGATAAATCCCAGCCCTAATTAGTATTACTGGAGACATACAAGTGATCAGTGATATCAAGGAGTGATTTAAATGTTTAAACTATACAAGTTTATCCACAAATGTTGAATATGGATGTTGCCCAGAAATTAAACTTCGACGCTTACGATATTGAGGACGAGGAGCTCAACATCAGCTGTCGTACTAATAGTTCGGGATGCGATGTTGATGATGCGCTAGATTCCTCCGAGGATTTTACACCCTCACCTCAACCCAGACAATTGTTCAATAATTCAATGGACTGCAGTGATTGTGATAATTCACCGATTAATGACAAAACACCAGCTATCGTCGTGACAGGTTAGTTTCGGAGCATTTTTACGTAGTTTTTGGGAAGAGGGGAGGCTACATGGACGCCACACACGGCTATCTGCCTCTTTGTGTGATGCCGTTTTTACCTCACATGATTCACTTTCACGTTTTTGCCATTTTTTTTTTATTTGTATGGTTTTTTTTGTTCTTTTTTCAGCCTTGAGTTTTACTTTTTGCCTTCTTTTTTTTTGATTTTTGGTAGGCTACGTTTTTTACTCTGTAGCGAAGTGGTGAAGTAAGATGTGTCGAATTTAAGATTTTTCACATTCTTGATTATCGAGTTATATTGGGGACTGCCGATCCCAAAACGTAATGTTAACGATTTTTTTTACGTAGTTGATTTGATTTTGAAAAAAAATGGTCTTTTGATATTTCTTCCGGTAATCAATAGTTTTTTGGATTAATTTATCGTTAACAAAAGTGGAAGTCTTTACGTGAGGACGGTGAACCCGATATTTATTAAGGATTGAATGATCTTTTTGAAAATTGAGCAAGTTGTTAACTTTAAGAAAAAAAGAAGTTCAGGAAAGTTAAACTGGGCCATTTTACATGCATTTATCTGACTTTATCACTTCGTTATTGAATTGTTATTTTGATATTTTTTTCGGAAGTTGATGCAATATTTGAGTTTGATTATGCTTGGTAAAGAGCTCGATGGGTTTTCGTAGACCGGAGGTCATTTGAAGACTAGATTTATAACGTAAGTCCTTGAAATTTATTTATTGGAGATTTTGGTAAGGAGTGACACGAGGGATTGAGGCGTGTTGACACTATTGATGCAAAAATTGGATTTTGGAGGCATTGGTGTTTCATACCTGAAGTGGCCTCAGTGGTTTCAGTTTGGGAATTGTTTGGGTAATTACCAAGAGTGGGCTGATGGCAAGGGTGGTATTGTGACTTTGAGACACTGCTTGATGCCCCATTCCATGCCTGGGACTAACCGTTTATCCGTGGGCCCCGGGTGTTTGTGAAAATTCAGGAGATTATTACACGTTGCCATGAATTTTCTGATTATCGAGGATAAAAAAAAAGGATTAATGAAGTTCAACGAAATTGACGAGAGGAAATTGAGACATACTCTTACGGCAATTTTAATCGTCAGTTTCGTTTTTCATTTGATAATATTACTGAAGTCAAGGCTGGGGATCAATTTAATAACCGTGAGTTGTTGTAGGTGTGAGGAATTCCCATCGAGATAGTGGACCTCAGTCTAGATTGACAATGGCCTGCAGTCCACCCTATAAGAGAGTTCGGGCACTTCGACTCTTTGATTCACCAGCAACGCCAAAAACATTGATTGAGAAAAGTGCCATGCATACACCAGTGCCATCGAGGTGCAACAGACTCTTTCCCACTGATAAACCGAGACCTGTTGCCTCTAGCTATCAGTCCAAGAGTGATAAACCAGCGGCTAATGTCAACCCTTTTACACCTAATGGAATGCTGCTGACAGCTAGGAAGAGGAGTAGGTCCAAGCGGAGTCTTAATGGGTGAGTAAATCATCTTTTTGACTCATAATATTCGGAGGATACCCAGAATTTGTTGTATAATATAGTCGAGAAATGGCAACAAATTCATTTGGATTCCATTTAAATTTTCACCAATTTACAGTTTCCACGGATTTTACCATGAGATCATGCCTTTAAAATTAAAAAAATTGCTTAAAAATAACAATAGAGATATAATTTTCGTGTTAAATTCATAAAGATATCCTCCGAGGGAGAATCCTTGTTACTATTACGATCCGAATAACTTGAGTGCGTGATTAAAACGAGACTCTCGACTGATGAGCTTCTTCCCTCAATGATACAGGTCACCAGACATAAGAATACCAAAGTTCGACCTCCCCGATACAGACGAATCAGACACAGAGATAGAACAACCAACAAAGCGCGTTGCCCTGAATGAATCCAACATTCCCCGTTACAAGCAAGAATTCCACGAGTTGAAGTTGATAGGTGCAGGTGAATTTGGCTCAGTGTACAAGTGTATAAATCGTCTGGATGGGTGTACATATGCGATAAAGAAGAGCCTGAAACCAGTGGCAGGTAGTGCGAATGAGAAAACTGCCCTTAACGAGGTGTATGCACATGCTGTTCTCGGTAAACATCAGCACGTGGTGCGCTATTACTCAGCGTGGGCCGAGGACAATCACATGATTATTCAGAATGAATTTTGCAACGGTGGCAGTTTGGCTGATGACATTGTAAAACGCCAGAATGAAAATCGTCCCTTCTCCGAGGCTGAATTGCACCAGTTGCTCCTTCACGTGGCCGAGGGCCTCAGGTATATTCACAGCATGCAGCTGGTACATATGGACATTAAACCCGGCAACATATTCATATCGAAGGAGAAACGCTTGTTGGCTGTGAATTACGACTCTGCTGACGATGGTTTTGACGAGGAGGAAACACTTGAGGAGGAGATTACGTATAAAATTGGTGATCTTGGTCATGTCACGTCCATCAGCAATCCAACTGTTGAGGAGGGTGACTGCAGATATCTAACAACAGAGATATTGGGCGAAGATGTCTCACACCTGACCAAAGCTGATATTTTTGCTCTTGGTCTCACGGTTTATGAGGCAGCTGGAGGTGGCCCGCTACCCAAGAATGGACCTGAATGGCATTCTATCAGGCAGGGTAACCTCAAGGTCTTACCGCAGTACAGCAGAGATCTCAATGAGCTTATTAAGGTAATTATTTCAACGTTTGCGAGGTTACTTCTTCAGAAATATCTTCGAAATTAAGTCTCATAAGTCTATAATCCGCAAAATAGCTATTTCTTTGCAAATTCCACTGATTATTGTTGTTAATTGAATTTTGTTTTGTTGATTTATAGCTCATGACTCATCCAAATCCTGAAACAAGGCCCTCAGCAGTGTCCCTCATCCAGCATAGGGTACTCTGTCCCTTTGGCAATAAAACAAAAGCCCAATTACGTCGTGAACTAAATGAAGAAAAACAAAAGAATGAAATTCTGTTGAAACAGCTTCAGGAGGCTGCCAAGTGTCTAAAAACAATTGCTCCCAACGTTACTGCCATTAATAATTCATTGAGCTCAAGTGGTTATAGGCTGAGGCCAACACCAAACAGAACATCATCCAGAGCTGTAGGTAAAAAAGTCAATCGTAGCAGTAGTACAACGAATTTTTAGAATTTCCATTCAACGATGAGCAGGGCAGGTTTTTTTTATATTTTTTAAATTCTTTGGGAGGGCGGGGGGGTGCCTGGAGGTGCCTTGATAATGTGATATCATATTAACTCTAGAATAATAACAGATTCCACGGAAAAATCCAGTAAAAGTCGTGAAAATACTGAAAGAAAGACACTGAAACGAATAATGGAATTATTGAGGGGAGTAATTGTCCATTTGTGCGCAGAGTAGAGTTCATCAGTAATTCAGATAATGCACGTTGAAAATCATCGTTTTTTCTTTTAAAAATCTGTTTTTCTCTCGTCTACATTTTTTGAAAGTTCTTTGAGTAAGAGTTATCCTTTACGCCTGAGAGAATATAAATCGATCCATTTCTTTTAAAATTACCACGTAATTCTTCAATGAACAGGAGTTCGTTGCAATTATTTCAATCAGCGTATTTCTCTTTATTCCAATCAACATGAGCATGCTGAATTATCAATTTATTTCTTTCATTGGAAGTGTCAGTGGATCTACTCTGCGTACGTCATAACATAGAACCCATAACCACTGAAAATTCGATAAAAAAATACCCGAAAAAAAGAACATTAGAAACATTTTATAAGATTAAATTATTTTTGTAGCAGTTTTAATCGTCTTCGATTACTATTAATATTATCATTTCATCTATACTATAATCGTTGCAACGTGTTTTCTTTTTTTATTGAATTCTTGGTTTAAAAAGGATTAGAATCTTCGTGTAAATAGGGAGTCATCGAAAAGGGACAAAGTTATTAGTTTAAGTGCGCCTTTATGTTTTCTCAAACAGTAAAAACAGTAACATTTAACATGTTTTCATTCATTTTATCGTGTTGTTGTGACGCAGAACCACAGAAGTACTTGCGAGAAGTATTTAAAAAAATGTCATCATTTTATTATTATTTAAAACAGAGTTATCCTCAATTTAAATGAAAACCAGAAAATCAAATAAAACTCATGTGTTGACTCTTTCTGTAATTAATATCGACAAATTAACTGTGTGATCGTCACGAATTCTTCAAAATGGGAACAACAATTTTGGACATGATAAAATTGGTAATAGGTACGAGAAGAAGGAGTATCAATTGAGCAGATTATTTTTTTTTTAACAAGCAAAACTGAATTTTTTTTAGCGAGTATGAGTGAGAGGGTTAAAATAAGATGGAATAGTTATGCCAATGAGGGTGGAGCCCTGGCAGGGAGGAGGCTGCATGCGGCAGTAGCCATTTTTTTTTTTAAGACGAGAAGGAAAAAAAACAAGAAAAAAAAGATTTGTTATTTTACATTATTCGCTATTAATCTATTAATATTATTTTTTATTATATTATTATTATACGAAAAAAAATCAATGGAAAAAGGAATAAACAAAACGTCGTAGCGTAATTCTGCTGATTCATTCCCTTTAACAATTCCTCGAGCTTTTTATCATGGTTTTGTAATTGTTTTTTTCTCTGTTTACTCTAGTTGGACAATAGTCACTGTGCGTAATGGCAATTAAGGCATAATTGAAGACATTTATTCGCGTGAAAGTATTGACGGAATAGGAACGTGTTATCTTCTATCCATGAAAGAAGCGAAAAATATATCATCTAGGTAAATTCATGTTGCTTCAACCCTCAAAAAATACGATAACACTTTTATTATTATCTGATTTCTTCCCTCGTTGGGGTAGGAACGTATTTCCTCTATTGTCTGCATCGTCGGTTAGCAGGATACTGCTTGAGCAATTCTCGGGTTACACTCTGGTATATTCGAGCGTTACGTTTTTCCTGAGTAAGTTCCAAGGTTTTTTGACTCTCTTTTTTCCGAACTCTCGATGGCTTGCGTTTTATTCCTGGGGTGTGGATGAGGAAGGCACCATCCAGGATTATCAAACGGTAGTCCATCAGGCACATCTCCAACATCTGAAAAGGGAGCAGAACATTGTTACAGCTGTGAAAAAACTAAAAACAAAAAAAAAAATAGTTGCGGAAGGAAATCGATTTTTTTGTTCAATTCAATTTTGTCAACTAACAGTTGTTTTTGAATAGATTCATCTGAAAAAAATATTAGGTTCTTTAAACTAATCAGAAAGATAAAAATAGAAGAGAAAAAATTCCATTATCGCCCTTGCCCTATGACCTAAAACCCTGAACTCATAAATTATCTTGGATTCTTTCCAAAACTGGAATTCTAATGTCTATTTTTTTCCGGAATTCCATCCACAGTGACTCTGATGGGAATCCCGGTCACGTTTTCCTCGATCGTTTGAAAATTTGAAAAAAAATGTCGAGAGTGTACCTGGGCCATTTTGTCTTGCCTCCCCTCCCAACTCATCTCCTCATTATAGAGTGGATCCTCTCGAGTCCCAATGAAAACAGGTTCCCACCTGTGATGAGGATATTCCCTTTTGGTGACGATCAGCGGTCTAACCCTTCCCGGATCCGGTCTCACCATCCACTTGGTGATCCCCGGGAACTTCTGGCAATGAGCGCAAACATATTTATGAAAATAAACGGCGAGACCACTCCTCAGGGCGTCCATCAATTCCCGTTTGGTTTTTGGTGGCCGTTCGTTCTCCTCAATCTCGAAAACAGGAACCACGAAGACTAGGCCGAACCTAGGGGGTCTTCCATGGATCATCTCGAGGAATCCAGACGCCAGTTTATCACTAGGAAGGAGTTCAATGTCTGATACGAGAACCCGAGAGGTTGGGGCAAGGTTCCTGGCGACGTTCCTGGCGACGTTTATCGGATAAATCATTCCTCGTTGTTTTCTCTCGGTGTCGGAGTCCCTCCATTGGAGGTCTGATGCTGCACAGTCACCCTCTGGACGGTAGATATGAGTCAAGGCTGGGGGACGACCTGCTGGAAATATCAGGTGGACGGATACCTAAAATTCAAATTCCAATATCATTTTGTTTATTCCACCCTTTTTTTCAAGGGGTCTCTCCTTTTCAATCTAGATTAGCTCTGTCGGTCCGCTTGCTACTTTATATTTAATTGAATCTAAACAGTTCATCTATTATACTGAATAAAATGAAAAACCTTGAACATTTGGGGTTCGCACGTGCAAGCCCTCTCGATGAGATCAAGAGCGAGTCCAGCATCGAGTCCCGGTGTAAAAATAGATAGACTGACGTGCCCTTCCCATCTCCTGACGATCTCCACGACGTTATAAACTTGATCAGCTGTTGCATGAGTGCACAACGTCAGCTTTACTGGAATTTCATTACTCTCACTCGTTCCTCCTCTAATAATAAATGGAAGCACCCGATATGGACTACGATCAGTGTTCTGAGGACTCCGGGTGATTTTGCTTGCAGTGTACCTGAGGATCCTGGGCAATCCATAATTCCAATTGCAGAAAGTTGAATTGGCGGGCCGACGACCCGCCATGTAAACCCCAGGTGCATACGCAGGCGCTATCCTGGCATTTTCACCTCGACGCTGCGTAATGACAGATAAATCAGTGTCAGGGGGTACCAGGAGGCTTCTGCTGGTCAGCAATCTCGTTCCCAACAGGAGGAATATCACCAGGAACAGGAGATACAGCAGTCTGCGTGAAATGCCGCGCATCACCTCGCAGATGTCTTGGGGTTTTTTTTAGGTTTTTCGCGGGGACTCGATGCCATCTGAGACTCACTGGGGGAAAAACCGACGGTCCAACCCTTACGATACCATCGATCCACGCCAGCGCAACACTCAGGGAGGAACTGGATGTTTCAGCACCTCCACCACTTGAGTTTTGTTTGAAAGGTACAAAAAATATGAAAAACGAGAAGATCAACAATAGCTCAATTACCGGTTTTTTGAGTTTTCTGACAAATTGTGGATGTATTGACCCGGAATAATATATCGTTTTTGCATTTTAGGTATCATTATTTCACGACTCACAAGTTTTATGAGCGTGCAATAATTTTCCAGTGCTTTCAAAATATTATCAATTATTTACCTTTGAAAAAACGCAGGATCATTATTGCACGATCGTGACCCTTTGGGAGACATTAAATCATTAAAAAATGCGGAAGCGGTGCATTTTTTCGGATCAATCCGATCAACAATTTATCAGAACACTCAAAGAACCGGTAATTTTCGGTGAAAGAAGGCAGTGCATCTGCACAATGAAATTCTTCACTTCTGTTCCGACAAATTACATTACGAACTTCTCGAAATTGCGCACTTCTTTTTCCAACTTCACTTGCAATCGATAAAAGTTAATTAAAGTCGGTAATTAAGCTTTCTCCTTTCCGTTCACTCTGGTGTCGGCGTTGAAACAGCCGCAACCCTATTAATTAGACATTAATCGATTCCTTCCAACTTGTCACGCCTGGGGGTGAGAGACATAGGTGCAACGACCGATTTGATGGACAGAATCATAATACCGATGAAAAGTTTTATATCTGCATTGTACCCCACGTTGCACCACTTACCTCCATCTCACCCCCTCCCCCTTTTCCAGATATAATTATCCCTCGAAATTCCAGTAAAAAAAAAATTCTGTAGTAAAGTGATAAAAATGTCACTTTTGACTATTGGCCAGTTTTTGATGAATATCTCAGAATTTATACAAAATCGCAAAATTGATATTATAACATTTTTTGTAGAAAAAATCAAGTTTTACAACAAATGTAATTACAGAAATTTCACTATCTCTCACAGATTCCGAGATATTGGTCAAAAACTCGACTGAGAGATGAGCAGACTTATTTTCTGAGTTGATATAAATAATTAATATTAATATAACAGAATTAAATAGTTCATTTATCTGTTTCGATTTTATATAACTGTCATTAAGAGTATATTTATTTGTTTTAGCTATATATTTGTTAAGAACCATTAAATTGGCTAATCGATCAACACAATAAATTAACCAAATATCTTTTTTTATTGTTTAAAGAGTCCGATTTATTAAATCGAGTTGTTACTTACTGAAAATAATTTTTTGGTTGTTTTAAATTTAATATCATAGAAACAAGAATTTTTCGTAATTTGTTGCAATTTGTTGCAAATAATTTTTCATTTAATGCCGACGATTTCGGTGGGTTTTAATTTTAATGGCTTGAAAATCTATCTCGTAGGGAGAATCGCGACAGTGGATGCGCGAAAGTACAAATAGAATTTGCAAATGCCGAGTCTTTGCCACTGGTGACGCATGTGAATGCCCCAGTGCTCTCTTCACCACGTGGATTGAATCACCAGCAGTTCCTTCACTCATTCATAAAATCATTTGGTGCGTCATTCCACGAGTGCAAAGGATACACTTTATGTACCCGGACACTAGCCAGTGTAAACATTTAAACAATAGTGATTGTTTGCGTGGCGTAATCGCTGGATCGTTCAACTAAATCAGCGGACAAATCTCGCCTCGGGAAAATCAATTATTCGAATGAAGTAAAACACAGTTTATTTTTGCCATCCCTTTTATATTTAAAAAAAATCTTAAATCCGTTGATCAATCGTCACTCGATGCAATTTAATTATTCACCAATAAACAATGAGTCATTTTTTTATATTAATAAAACTCCTTTAATGGAGTGAAGTAATTAGTTTTTTAAAATAAGATTCATCTAATAAATTCGTGTAGTAAACAAGTTAATTAATTTGTAACAACAATTCTCTAGAAACACATTAATCATTTAATCAAAGATTTTTATTTGATCCCAATGAATAATTGTTCTGGATGTAGGAGAGTGAAAAAATTAGATCCACAAATAGATTTTTTATTTAGTTCGAGCGATATTTGATGAACTTTGAGATTAATAGGAGACTGACGATTTTTTTTTTGATTGATTACGTAAGTTCTGACAATCTGACGGTGAAGAATAATGTTGATTAATCGAAAATGTCGAGTCTGAATATTCGAAAATATAAATATCCCGTGAAGCCATGTCGTTAATTAAACATTACCCAGGATAAACTAGTTAACCGCCCGACAGAACAGCCCTTCCTTAATTAATTAACCAGAATTACCCGCTGACACGATCTCCTTCTCGATCAGATGCTCCCCATCGCGACCCAATCAGTGCCAATAAAATTTGGCAGCCGGTCCCTAGATCTACAATACAAAAAAAAATAGTAAAATGTGTTAAACCCATTCGTTTGCCACCAAAAATAGTTGTTTATGTTAAATTATATTTTATATAATCAAGATTTCATGAATGGAGAATTCACTCGGGGAATAAATTCTGCTGAATGATGGGCGCAGGCGTTCTCGCCTGAGCGCGCAAAATGCACATTTTTTATTTTCAATTTCCCAGAGCGAGACGCTAGTTTACTTTCCTCTGTTGAACCCCAAGGATTGTCGTGAGATTAATCAGTAGAAATCGAACTGGAATTCGATAACGACATTTACTAGTTCAACTCTGAGAAAATTGGCGAATGTCTTAATAAAAGAATCTCGGAGCTCTCATTTTTCTGCAAACAAGTTTGTTAGACAAATCCAAGTTCACCCTAAAAAAAAATAAAATCAGTTGCATGTCGCCATGCACAAAAAAAATCACGCGAGGCAAATCAAGCGAGTTCAATAACAAATATTCTACATGAACAATCAATGACACTCGATTTTTCTATATTAATTTTATCCTCTTGATTTTTATCTAGAAAATTTCTTCGGATCAAAGATATAGGTTGAATTCTCTTATCCGATTAATTCCCCTTATTACCGAAATCTGAATTAAAGATATTCTAATTAGTGATGATATTCTTCATTGTTAATGACTCAAAATGTCACGATAGTACAATATACCCCTGCGTTTTTCCTAGACTTTCCAAAAATTCATAAAACTTCGGGAAAAAGACAGAAAAATTATTGCACGCTCATGAAACATTGTCCGTCATGAAATAATGATAAAATTCAAAAAACTGTATATTTTTTGAGTCAATCCTATCACCAATTCGTCGAAAAACTAAAAAAGCCGGTAATCTCCTCTAAAACGGAGCGAAATATCTTTAAACCACTGAAAGGTAAAATCGACGAATTCCCCATTCAAGTTATCCAGAAATATCTCGAAAACGACCACAGATACAATAATTTCTCAAATAACCCAAATTGTAGACCTGAACGATCTCGACAATAAAGGTCGTAACGAAAATTTCCCTATCTCCCTTGTTTCCCTATTTATTTCCAAAAAACAAAAAAAAAAATCGGCCAAAATTGTCAACCGATCTCCACCTGCGACTTGGCTAAATCAGAATAACTACCAATTAAAAAGCTCGACGGATACATGCAATTAATTCACAACAGCTGTTCAAAGTGATGATGATGTGTGGAGAGGATGCAGATGGATAAAGTTCAGTGGTTTTGATAGTCGGGGTACGGGTATGGAAGTGCCGAGGTTTCCGTCACCCCCGTCGCCGCTTGATACCACCTCGACCCCCAGAGGCGCCCACGATATCACAAGTAAAATACGTCATGTATCACCTGTTAAATTCAGTCGTACCTGTAACAGTGGCACAAGCAACATTAATACCCAGAAGAAACGCGCGCACCGGATCACACGTCTTGGCAACACGGTGCATCCACGAGTCATTGGTAGAGAATCTACGAGATACAATCGTAGTCGTGTTACTCATCTCACAGTGACAATGACAGAGAGACGTGAAGATGATGAAGATGATGCTGATGTTGTCTGTGCTACAGGTAATTTTCATTCCATACTTATCTCATCAGTTACAATCTGTTACAATTTGTTCAAATCAACTACAATAAGTGACAATCAGTTACAATCAATTACAATCAATTGTAATCGCTTTAAATTAGTTATAATAGCTGGAATATCTACAATAGTTACAATAACTACAATTTTTGGCAAAACCCTCCAACTCCTTGGCTTCTTTCTATCTATTCACCTCAACTCTATCTACCCCAGCCCGATCACCACTCATATCTTCTACCATTATATGTCGTTTAAAAGCTCTTTCAATAAAAAAAATCTTCCACCTTTGAACTCATTAACTTACTCCATTTATTAATCTAATGTCCTCATATTTTCTTTTTGAAAATCTTCATTACTGGCCTCTGGCAGGGAATTATGTCCCCGAGATTTCTAATTATAAATCTAATAGTGAACAGATGTCAAGATTTTTCTTGAGTTGATTCGACGAGGCAGGGAAATGCAAAATTCAAATTATTTTTACACTTTGTCTCGTTTGTATTGAATAGGTATTTCAGTGCTATTGCCAGTGATTGGTCATTTCTGTGAATTGTTAAGTTATGTTTATGCTCGAAGATTTATTTTATTGGTGTTTTTAATGTTTTTCCGGTGCAATATTCAATTACCGATGATTTGTGGAGTGATTCAGCGACCGTTGCGATTATTTCTTGGAGAGTAAAAATTATTTGTGGTGGTGTCGTAGTGATGGGTCAGTAATTGTCTTCAATTCAATGAGTCCAGTGAACAATTGTCGATGAAACGTTTGAAACACGAGTAGATTGTCCGATTAGTGAAATCGATTGGCATTTAATTGACAATCCCTTCGATTTTTTTATTGTTCCTCATGTGAATTAATCAAATTGATCATTAAGTAGGATTTTGATTTGGTGGAGATGTTGGGACTATTTTCCGGTGGAGATCGATTTCTCCTATCGTGCTGTATGGGTTTAGTCAGTTTCAAGGACATGGTGATATTTATTCACGTGCCCTTTGTCTTTTCAACCGTCACGCTTGGAAATCAATAATGTTGTGCTAAACAATATAGGGACATTAGTGAAATTACCATGCATGCAGGCTCTTCATTTGATGCTCCAATGAGTCCCCTAAGTACTTTTTTTTTTCAACTTCATTAAATAGAGACAACGTTTCTCGCTGTGAGAGAATCATTCCCTGATTCTGGCGAACTTTTTTTTGTTAGAAAGCATTTTTCCATTTTTCGTCATTTTGGCTCAAAAAGGGTGGGAATTTTTAAGAGAATGCAGTTTTTTAAAATTTCGATTAAAAATGAGAAAATAAACGAATATAAAATGGGGGTAGTGAATAAAATATTAAATTCTCACTTTATTTCGATGAACATTTCAATTCATAATTGCATGTCAATTATTCTGAAATAAAACCGACAAAGTAGAAGGGGATATTTGAAATACTTTTTTTTGTATTCTGAATTATTTTTTAGAAAAAAACTCTCTGTAATATATCAGTATCGAAATGGTAAACTGGGATAAGCGCATTTTTTTCAAGGCCAGTTTTCCGCCAGTATCCAGAATTGAACGAAAATAGCGAATTTTTTGCTTAAACATTTTTTATAGAAAAAGATGAGAGCTACAAGAAACGTCTCTATGAAAATATCACGATCTTCCTTCAATTTCGAGAAATCGCTTGAAAACTCGGTGTGATGAATATAGTATGGAGCAAAAATTCTCTCTGAATTTGTTCCTTGAAGATTGAAAGGAGAGGAAATCGTTTGTTGCAATGATGAATTATCACTCATACCGGAAACGAGACTCGTGCAACACGTCGTCACACAGAATTGCGAGACTGATCCTCTGATGTTTCGCGGAAAATTTTGTTATATCACAGTGTTTGATGTGATACTAAATCTCGCGGATAATCTATCAAGCTCGAGAGTTTGAAGTTCAGGTGTCAACGTGGGGTAAACTAAGATGACGCTCGATTTAATTTGTGCACCAGTTTATTGATTACGTAATTACCCCGATGACGGTAACAGGAAGGATTTTTCTAGGGTGAGATACGTAATGCTATTTTCGATGAAAAAATTCTGTTATCATTCAGGTATTCCGATGTCCTTCGACTCGAGGACGTTATCGGGGGAGTTGTCGGTGCAGCTTGAGGTCGAGGGCAATCAGAAGACACTCAGAGTGATTAAATCAACTGGAGTGCAGACCCACCTTGGGGAGGGGCCCTATCGATTGAAAGTTTTCCCAGCACTTAAGGACATCGTCGAGGAAGACCCCAGTGGCAATCCGAAGACCTCCTCCAGGCTCTGGAGGCATCTGAGATTCTTGGGAAGACTCTCCCTTTGTCAATTTGGTAAATATTCACATCAGAATGACCTGTTATAAAAAGAGTTATTGCTTCATTTTTCATGCTATAATTTTTCTGTGTTCTTTCTAAAGTTTTATGATGTTTTGAGAAGTCGAAACAAAAACGCAAGAAAATTATTACTCGATCATGACATTTGACGAGTCATTAAATAGTGATAAAATGGGAGAACGGTATATTTTTCGCGTCAATCCGATTAACAATTTGTCACAAAAAAAAACCGGTGATTTTGTCAAAAAGACAAAAAGGTAGAACATCTTTAAAAAAATAGCTGAATGTTCTAAGAGAGCTTTAATTCTCCTGTAAATCCCGAAAATATATCTATTAGTTAACTGGACTTATGACTTCTCACCACTTCACTGTAATTTGAATTTCCCTGATTATCATAGAATTTCTCATGAAATTCCTCATGAAATTCCTCATGAAATTCCTCATGGAATTCCTCAGGCTTGGCATGGCTGTTGACCTTCTGGGCAGTGGCTGGTGCAGCATCTTTCTACGCAACAGAGGGTCCACGAGAAAGGGAACAAGTTTACGAGCTCAAAGATATGCAAAGAGATCTAGCAGTCGGTCTAGCCACAGAGTTACGACAACTGCGTGCCGAAGAGGAGGAGATGGAGCCTCTCTGGGGTAATAAAGTCAAACAATACGTGGCTAAACATGAGAAACTCCTTTTGGCTGCCATCAGCTCTGGATATGGTGAAGGTGGTGAAGGGGGACAGCTCTGGACATTCCCAGGATGCGTCCTCTTTTCTATTTCACTTCTCACTACTCTGGGTGATTAGTTTGATTCATTAATTCCTATTAATGATGTTCAGCCCTTATCAGTCACTCTGGTATTTCTGTGATTTTTTTTTAAATCTGTTGATTAATGGTTGAAGGTTTTGGAGCCCCAGTGCCACGCACAACCCCTGGCAGAACTGTTGCTGTTGTCTTCGCAGCTATTGGAATACCTGCGCATTTTCTACTTATTCTCAATGTTGGGTTGTTTCTGGCAATGAAACTGCAAAAATTCGCTATTCGAAGGAAATATGGAAATCATGAGACTGAGGCCTCTGACAATTTGAAGGCACCGGGGTGGGTTAAGGCTGTTCCCTTCTGTTGTATTGGTAAGTTCACCTTCATTTACTAGTTATGAATTTACTGGCGAACCACAGTCATCATTTTCTATTTCTATCCCTCTATATTAAAAGAGCGAGGGGCTTTCCATTTGTTTAATATTTTATTTTTTGCTGATTTCAATTAATCGATTTTTCTTCAACACAGCAGATGCCAGGAGTAATCTATTTTTTTTTTTTTTGTATTTTGTCTTGTTTAATTACCCAGGATACCTCTTCAATTCTCCTGTTATCAATTGCGTGGGAAATTGACGAAAATCTCCCTCAAATTCCGAGATATTCCCAAAAATTTAACAATTAACTGAATCGACCTTTTACTGTTCATCACCTCAATCCGCAATCTGCTGATCTACAATCCTATCTGTGATCTATAATTTATTCTATGATATATTATTCGTAACATTCGGAATGCTTCTCCAACAGGTGGTTACTACATTCTGGGAATAATTGGCTTCGGAGTGTCACGTCTTCGTCCAGTCGCAGCTAGTCTCCTTTTTCCCCTGGACTTTACAGCAGCCGGTGGTCTGGCAAATACATCCGGTCTAGTGCGAATTTTTTACGGTCTCTATCTCGAAGGTGCTGTAACAATAGCAGCTGTTGCAGTTGCTGTATTACGGGTGTCAGCCTCGGAGAGTCTCACCAACATTGGGTTGAAGTACGGCCTACTGACCGAGGCGTAGTTCATGGCTTAATAAAGCCGATCGAATCTGATTAAATACCCAGTGACCCTGGGGAACGTCCGACCGTGGAGATTCACGTGATTGGGGCATTTTACTCGCCTTCAATCGATTTATCGTGACAATTCAATGATGAATGTGTTTTCAATACCGCTGGATCAAGACGAGGGGACTTGCGGCTGTGATGAACACAGTTGGAACACCTTGGGTGTCGAAAATACCCTCTTTACTCCGTAATTGTATGGAAAATTTAAAAAAAAATCTCCAATCGTCAGACATTGTCTTCACAAGCATGATCTCGATAACCGGTGCATCCACACCAAAATATCGGGATGTATCCTAGAATGCAATTATCAAAATCGATTTCGCTTGAAAAATCGGTTTAACGGTGTAGGAAAATTGTATTTGTAATAAATAATTTTCTCATTTTTGAACATAGAGGCACATTAATTCATGAATATTCATTTGTAAATTGGTTCAAAACAATTTGATTATTCATGAAATATCGATCTGCAATGCACCCTACCATGTGCATGTGTGAAAGTACTCGGTGGTAATACATTTTTTATCGAGAAAATTGGTAAACTTTCGACTGAAAAGTTTTCAACTGTTCGTTTTCAGATATGAAATTGAAAGCTCGGTGGGAATAACCAATTCGATGACCTCATATGAGCTTTTCTCATCTGATGGGTTTGTGAAAAATCAATTGCTTTGTTATTAAATTATTGGAGAACTCATGTTTCCCCTTTGGAATTAAATTGCAACTGCCAATTATACGCAAAATTTATTTTGAGACTCTCACGTATTTTTTTTCCAGATTTAAAGAGGAGTAATCATCTTACAATTCATGATTTAGGACCAGTATCATTTTCATTTTTTTAAATATAAGATAAGCGAATAAATATCAAGGCTATCGGATAACAATCGATTCTCAGGAATCAAATTAGAAAATAACGCGTCAGATTTTTCAGTTGATCGGGTAATTTTCTAGGATTGAATAAAATTCAAACTCTAGTATGGAAAACAATATTTCATTCAGCATTGTTTATAATACATTTTTCTAACAATTAATTTTTCTAAAATAATAACGAAAGATTCATTCCCAAATAACTTGAGAACGAGTGGCGACTCAGATCTATAATCAATAATCAATTTACCATAAAGAAAAGTAAAAATTTTCTGCTTAAACTCCTATAAAAGAATCACCCATTTCTTCGGATTTTCCGGAAATTCAAGGAAATTTGGCAGTGGGTATTGATTTTTCTTCAGAAAATCAACGAATTTGCAAAAAAAAAATCGAATGCGTTTTCGTTTCCTTTTCCTCTGAATTCGAGTGAGTCTCTGGGAAAATTGAGCCAACATTTTTTAGTAGTACAGTTCAATCCCATGAATATTTCAAACAGTAAAAAAATCCTAGACTTTTTCCTTACTTTCTGCAGCGTAATGCTTGATAAACCTAGCTGATGGATCATTAACGTTTTTCACCCATCTTGGCATCCAGAAGTAAGGAGTGAAGCTCTCCCCCCTCCCAGAGTAACGAGACTCGAAGACTTTTCTGTAATAAAAAGCCTCCTTGGTTTTGGGAGTACAATGGGGATACGTGACACTGGCCTCTTTCAGCTCATCATCAGAGACTCGTAATTCCGTGATATCCTGGATGACCTCAAACAGAGATTTCTTGATGGAAGCAACACCATCACTGAAGGCCTCCTTATGCCTCCACAGAATATTATTCGGGAGAAGATTCTCCCCCTCGAAAGCAGACCTCAATAAATGCTTTTCCACCCCATTCTGGGGCTGTCTGAGCGCAGCCTCCAAAGATAGAAAGTAATTGGTGAACTGGAGATCTAGAAAGGGAATTCTGAGCTCGAGACTGTGAGCTGCAGTCGTTCTGTCGGCTCTCAGACCATCGTACAAGTAGATGTCCTTCAGCAAGCGCAGACTTTCCTGGTGTGCCTCGTGGGCATTTGGGGCTTCTCTGAAGTAGATATAGCCTTGGGCGAGCTCGTCCGCACCCTCTCCACTAAATATCACTGTTGAGTCTGTGTTTCGTTTGATGTAACGAGCTAGAAGATACATTCTGGAGCAGAAAGGTTCGAAGAGAGATAAGTCAGAATTTTTTTTTTAAACCGCAGTATTCACAACGAAAAATTATTTCCTTTAACTCCGAGATAAATCAACATGTAATTAAAGTATAATAACAGAACTGCATATAAAGAAATTGTCTTACCCAATTGAAGCTCTGATCGTCGTAATATCGAACGTCTCCAACGTATAAATAACGTCATCCAACACTTCTTCAACATCTTTTGGTGAAAAAATGACTTCATGGTGTTCAGAACCGATGAAATCGGCGACTTGCCTCGCAGCCCTTATGTCAGGGCTGTCTCCCATTCCAATGGCAAAAGTCTGGATTTTGTAGTTGATATTTTGTTCCCTTGCTTGTTTGACGAGAAGGGCAGCTATGAGACTTGAGTCAAGACCACCTGACAATAAGCATCCAATTCTTCTGTCTGCCATTAGTCGCTTTTTCACAGCAACTGACAACAATTTCCTGATGTTCCCGGAGATGTCTGAGGGGCTCAGGCTCGACCAGGGAACGAACACGTCAAAAGTGGGTTTATCTCCGGGGTTGTGATAGGTAACTGTTTTCAATAGTTTAACTTTCCCACTGGGAAGTAAACAGTACTCCTCGTAGTGACCTGGAGGGAAGGGTTCTAGGGCCCAGGTGCCTGACATCTGGTCGGTCAAACCGATTAAACCCTGAATATTATTAAAAAATCGTTTATAATTAGGTAGCAAATTTGTGAAATCGAAAAAAATTTGGAATTTGATTTCCATTTGTTATCGCAACAGCTATCGAATGAAATGTTCCCCTTTTGACAGTGACATTACAACAATAATATAAACATCAGTAAACAATAAATAGAGAAATTAAATTAAACCGAAGAATTGTCAGACGTCATCTCAAAAAATTCTCCAGTTCAATCTTTCAATTTCTTAGAACGTAGTAATCCTTTCAAAATAGTTTAAAAAAGAGTAATTCAAGAAAATCATTAATTTTTCCATCGTGATAAAGATAGTTCATCGACACGATTCGATAAAAAATGCACCTTGCTTTCGGAGCAGATGGCAAGTTGACCCTCTGAACTCCGCAGTCTAAAAAGAGGTCGGACCCCATACGGATCCCTCCCAATGAGAATTTTATTCTCTTTCACATCCATCAAGCAAAATGCGAAAACCCCATCCAACGAAGTTGCTACATTGTCCACTCCTGCCTCCACATACAGATGCGTTATTATCTCGACATCACATTTCGTTGCATAATCGTAGTTGTGCTTGTCCCTGAGCTACAAAAGTTCAATTAAAAGATTTGTAACCCGGTAATAATGTACTGGCAACATTGCATCATCATTTTCGTTCCCACTGCTTATTCGACGGGATATCCTTACTTGTGCGTGGTTATAAATTTCTCCATTGCAGAGTAAGAACACGTGGGGATATTGATTGATCCTCATGGGCTGCATTCCACATAGGCTGTCGACAATTGCTAGTCGTTGGAAGCCCAAAAAAGCATTCTACAATTTTTGAAAAACCGAGGGACAAAATTATTGTTGACATTGCTCTTGTATTCCGAATTATTCTGCAACTCATATTTGTTCAAGGGGTTATTATCGATATCTCCTAATTGTGTATGTTTTTTGTGAATTTCTGGGAAATCCTGGATCAGATTGACATGAAAAAATATATTGTTTTTAGGTTTTATCATTATTCAATAACTCTATTTTTTCATAGTCATGCCCAAAAAGTATTGTCTAAAGTATAATCCTCTTTGGTCATGCCACTATTTTTTTGGGCCAGCTTTTTCATAAGTGACCACGTGGTTACAGTTAAATTGAAAACCCCCACCCTTCAGTCCACCCAATCAGGGATTGTAACGTTAACTTTAAGCACACGTCAACCACGGATAACTTATCGCAAAATTGGCCCTGGAAACATAGAAAGATTCTTCCAGGCTGATGAAATTTCATGTAACATTGAATAATGATAAAACTTGAAAACTATATATTTATTCATTTTATCAACCATTTCTCAGAAATTTGTAAAAAAAACTTGACAAATGAGAAGATGTCAGAACTCCTTATTTGTCATCAATTACCTTAACTCGTTTGTCGTATTCTATTCTCAATGCATCCGGTCCTCTGTGAACTATTTTATTAACATTATCGCAAACACATGTCAGTGTTTCCTCTTCAATCCCAAATAGTGCCCAAATCCCACACATTTCCAGTAATCAAATAGTCTCTTCGAGAATAATGACTAGTTTATATATAAAATTGAAGATGACCTCGATCGGTTGGAGGATAACACTTGCCAAGCGTTTCAGAGCAACTGAACTCTTTCCAAACTGTCACGACTGGAATACAATGTAAGTACTTGACTTTATTTCATCAGTACCCCCACCTCTTGCTTCTGTCGGAAAAATCGGAATTTGTGTCTTGTTTTGGAATTTTATGTCTACTGGGTTGTATCTAGCCTGAAAGCATCCACATTCATTTATAAATAAATAATACCACCCCATAGCTGAGGGATTTTTATTTCCTTTTTTTTTCAGAATTCATAAACTTCTTTATACATCAAAAAGAAAATGATGATAAATTTTCTATTTTTGTCAGGACCTTTATTTATTTAAATTCACAACGAACAATCTTGGGTTATTCATAGATTTGACAAAAAAAAAAAGATCTTTTGATATTACTCTTCCAATTCGTCGTTCATTTTTAGTGAAGAAATGGGGAACTGAATTATGATTGATGGATCGAAAAAAAGATAATCGAAATAATTAAATAAATTTACAATAATGCTAGATATGATTTATTGAAACCTGTATGATTGTATCTGAATCTTACTTCAATTGAAACATACGCATCAAACCTGGTATTATTCTAACTGACAATTGTATCAAAAGTGTTTTCAACTCCACGAATTTTCCGTCGTTATCCCTCAAGTTTTTTTATTCATACCAGAAGATACATTGTCGTCGATTTTGCAATTGTAAATCAACAGTCATTATGCAGAGTATACGATAAGATTAGAGAAAGAGGTATACTCTCACATCGAACAGTCTGCAAATGGCATTTTTTTTTCCATTTTCATCAAAATAATTCAATGTGACTTGCACTTGGAATTTGATAACGTGGTAGAACGTTAAATATAACATACATTCGATTACATTACATGTTAACGTCGAATTATCGTCATTGATGAGTGATATTGGTTGTTTTATCGATACGATATAAGTCTGCCTAGCCCTGTGACTCAACACTCTCAATAAAGTCACGTTTTTAATTGAAACTCATGATAATTAGCTATTTGGGTCTTTCCGATTCCTAATGACATTGTAACACATTTGTTTTGCCTATTAACCATTGGAAATTGCAAATGGAGATGAGGAGATGAATCTGATAGTTTATACGAGCATTATTTGTCGTACATCTATGAAACTAGTGGGTGCAGACAAAAATTTCAATTTGTTTTCACATATTCAAATAATGTTGACTTCGATTAAATGATTTTTCATCCAAACCCAGTAGTCATACTCCATCTCCTTTTACTACTTCACTACTGAAAATATTTCCTAATCACCTACGCATTTCATTTCATCAATCGAACCGACCACATCCGATAAAATGATCAAATAAAATAATGATTCGGAATTCAAGGAAGTCATCCTTTTAAATAATCTTATTAAGAGTGTTCCCCTTAGATACAATTATTAATACCTGTGTTAATCTGTTTTCTCTAATTGAAATGTTTAGTATTAAGTTGCCTCGAGAGTACTACCGCATGATAAAGACTACATTCCATGATTTTGCAATATCATTCCGTAATGAAGTGGTAGAATCGAGAGATTTATTTAAATTTTTGAGAAATTGCACAACTCTAACAATTTTTTTTTACGTAAAACTCTATAAACTGGAAAAATGTTTAGCCCACTCTCACATGATCAAAAAATATCTCCCAACGAATCAATAATGTCTCCGATGATGGTAGGAAAATTTATGAGAAAAAATCATCTCGTCTTCGCAATGAAATGTTATTTAAAAACTAAAATTCATCCCCTCACCTCTTCCACTTCATTACATCAACACAATCCCATTAATAACCTACGCCTATTTTCCTCGATAGAGCATTCGTCATGTATGAGCTTATACAGACCCTTGAAAACCTTGCAATAGTACCAAAACCCTTCAACAACTTCCGGTATTTCCCTTAAAATCCCAAAAACTTGAAGAATTGAAGCGAGATCTGTACCATTTCTGAGCTCTCAGTTTGTAGTGCATCGCCATGACTTGGCGGTATCAAAACGGAAATGACTCGTGTCCCCCACCGAATTGAAATTTAAAGCCTGCCTCGGGTTTCGTGAAGAACGCCTCGAACGCGGAATCAGTGGAGAATCTGGATAGATCGAAGCCATTTTCAAATTCCTCCATATCACCTCCTCGATCGTATCGCGATCGTTGCTTGGGGTCGGATAGAATGGTGTAAGCTTCGCCAATCTCCTTGAATTTTTTCTCCTGCTCTTTTTTCTTCGTATCTGAGGCACTGGAGTGTCTATCTGGATGATGTACTAACGCCCTTTTTCTGTAAGCTTTCTTAATATCCTCGACTGATGCTGCCTTGTCAACCCCCAAGATCTTGTAGTAATCCTTCTTCTTGGAGCGTTTTAGTGCTTCTTTAGCCTCCATTAGGAGTCGTCTGTTCTCTCGCGATTGATTAACCCTGCAGGCTCTCTCGAAATCCCTGACTGCCTCTTCGTACTCCTGGAGCTCCATGTAACATGATCCACGTTTGAGGATTGCCTTCATGTAGTTCTCGTCAATATTCAGTGCCTCGGTGCATTCTGATATTGATTCGTTTAATCGGCCTAATTTGGCAGCTGTCAGTGCTCGGTTGTAATGGAGCTTCGTGTTGACGAGCTTATTCTGGGGGTCCACGGCCAGTGCTTCGGTGTAGAGATTGTAAGCCTCTTGGTAACGATTTGCTTTGAACGCTGCATTGCCGTCCTCTTTCTTTTGTTTCAGCTGTTTTGCTCTCTGTAATTAAAAAGCCAAAACATGAATTACTAATACATAAGCTAATAAATTTACTAATTCCCGCTTGATCACAGCGTTCACATTTTTTATAATGCCATCGTTTTATTACTCGTCGACTTTGACTACCGCCGAAAAAACGTATAAGTACCTTATATATTTCTAATGCCTTCGTGTGATCTGGAGCGAGTCGCAGCACTTCCTGGAAATGCATGAATGCTCTATCCACATTTTCCTGATGATACAAACAAACTCCTCGCACATACGTTGCGTCGATGTTTGACCTATCCACGTGTAGTATGTCACTGTGAACGAGAGTGAGAAAAAAATAATGAGCGAACCCAGTGAATAGATTATGGATTTTTACAATTGTGGAGGCGTTAATGTGGGTGTTTTGAGCCTAAGAATGAGGTGAGTTGGATAAAATTGCTGAAGCAAAGGACATTTCAAGTGTAGCAGATTAATCATAAACTCATTCATGAGATGTGTGATAATGTATTTGGAATTTTATAACTTACTTGGCTATCTCTTGGGCGTCCTGGTACCTTCCCAAATATGCCAGGCATTCTGCTTTCATCAGTTTAAATCTCGAACAATATTTGCTGACATCGCAGCATCGATCCATACAATATACCACCTTGGAAGTAAAGGTTTTTTACAAACATTCGATAAAATCGATAATTGGTCAATTGAAGGATAATTATTACAGCAGGAAATTAATTAAAAGTCCCTATATACAATGTTTACTTCGATACGTGAATTATTAACTATGAAAATCAATCCAAATAATTGTTTATATATTGATGAATAAGTAATGGAACCGTTAATGATAACAGAAGAATTATTTTTTTCTTGTTTAGTGAAAATAAAATTCGTTAGTTGTTTTGGTTGTTTACTTACTTTACGATAGTCTTTTATCGCAAAGGCAACATCCGCTTCCCGTAGAAACCGTTTAAGATGCGACAAATCAGTGATCTCTGCGGTAGCTTCTTTTTCCATTGTTGGATCTATTTGTGTCATTTTATTTAATGTTGTCTCAGCTTCGACTATTTCTCCCAATTTCAGACAACATCTCACCACTCTGATGTAGCCCTGAACATGAAAACAATTTTTCATTAGTCAAAAGAAGCCAGGAACAAGGTACTCCCATTCTTTTTACTAGCAGAAAGTAAAAAAAAATGGAACGCATTCTAGAACTTCACACGTTTAAATATCACAGCGATCGAGTGGGACTTCAATAAAACTTCCAATTTTCTAGTGCAAATTTCCTAAAAAATTAATAGTTTTTTTATTCATTGTGAAGCCGATTTATTGATATTGTAATTGTATTTTAGGATCAGCCATAAATATATTTTGAAAAAAATAAAGATTTGCAAATACGAAGAAGAATGATATTCTCGAATAGAAGAGCAATATCATTTCACTATTTGCTTTCATTACCTTCAGAAAATTCGAGTCAATCTCTATGGATTTTCTGGCGTCCAGTAAAGCATCTCGATACTGATCTAACATCATATAGCATGCCGCTCGATTTCCATAGTATCTCGCAACATGGGGACAAAGCTCTGAAAATAAATACAAGTACATAATGTATTATATATTTCTTCTCAAGTACCTTGTGATGTAATCTGTACAGAATTTTATGAACAAGTTTCGAGGGTAATTTGATTCTTCTGTTCTAGCATTATCATCTTACCTATTGCATTTGAATATGATGATAGCGCGGATTTGTATTGTTTGTCTCCGTAATATTTTTTTGCCGCCTCAATTTGTAATTCTACTTGCCTGAAATATTTAAATACAAATATTAGAGTGATTCAGTATATAGTAGTCCATAAAAATGAACATTTTGAATGTAAAAATAAATTTGTCATTGAATTTTCAAGGAATGGCAGTTCCACTGCAGCTTCAAGAGTTCTTCTCTATTTGAAATTCTTCCTCTTTGATAATTAAAATCCATATCATAATGAATAAATCATTTCCATTCCACTGCGAAATTATCTCTTCTTATCCAAATGTTTAAAAATTAGAGGCACAACGGAATTCACTATAACTTCAATAACTTTCCTCTTCTCTCACTAACAGAAGATAATTAAATCAATAAAAAAAATTACACCTCTGCCGCGTACAGTGGGAAGTAAAAAAAGAAATAAATCTATCTTTTGTGCACTGTTTCAATTTGAAGCTTGCATTTTTTATTATCGACTACAAGCACGTGAAAACTACACTATTTTTTCAGTCACGAGTACATTATGTATCTTTATTATTTCATTTATACCTCTTTTCCATTATTATTTACTAATACAAGACAATTTTGAATTCTAACCGTGGTTTTAATTCACTTACCCTGAATTTTTAATTAATAAAACTATCGCTCAAATTTAGAATTAAATTAAATTTTCGGAAAAAATCGAAAAAATTGTTTCAAAAAATCAACTCCTGGAGTAAACAAATAAGTATTAGTGAGACTTCTCAAGAAATTGGAATATTCTAAAAGGTTCGATGGAAGGAGATAATGCATGACACAATGGTGAGACGATGAAACACCGTTCATTGCATAAAATTCTATAAATTTATGTAATGCTGTTGAAATGGACTTAAATGTATGATGTGACTGAGAAAAATACTTTCGTCAAGTAAAAAAAAAATACTTTTGACCAACAACAGGAAAATCCACACATTTCAATGCAATTATTTATGCAATTATTTATATGCATCGACTTGTGCGAAGTGAATTTACTTTGTTAAAGTGAAGCAATTGAGCTGGAATAATTTTTTCCCTCAGTGTACACTCGTCACCATATGTAGAGTGTTGGATACGTAACAATTGAAGTATCGACATAATCATCTAGAGAGGAATTGATTAATATTATACTGACTCGATTGATGAGGCGATGTCTGACGAATCCATGATGACAACGTTGTCATTGGTTTCCACATTCATTGTTTCATCAGCCATGATATCTTGGATTTTATTGAAAAGTGGCACAAGTGATAAAAATATGACGAGTTTTCCTTGTAGCTCGAGTGCTTCGATCGCGTGCCTCGTTGTCCCCAGCACTTGTTCCCCTGCGTTCAATTGAACAAAGAATAAATCCAAGGATTTTATTGCTCGTAACTAGGGATGCACTGGTTCACTTTTCCCAGAACAAAAGACCCAGAAATGTTATTTCCGAGGTGACCAAAACGATTGAGCTCTTTTTCTTTTTTAATCACTTTTTTTTCCTCCTTTTCTCACGAGCAGACATCGACGTGCCTCAGCCGTAGAAGCACAACCGCTGTGGAAAGAGAAAGAACACCAGTTCAACCAAAGAGGATTGACTAAAGTAGAGGCTTAGATCTGGGGGTTTGAGTGACCCCAGCGGCATCGTAGTGCTGCACCCCAAGAGAGGGAGGGCGCCACACGGATGGTGGGGTGTTCATCAAGTCGACGGGGTGAATTTTATTTTCTGCGGTGTGAATGCTTTTTGTTTTTTATTTGTTTAACTGAAATTTAGCCAACTGTAAAACGAGCGGAAGGAGAAAGCCACATCTTGTGGAATTTTGAATGAAAAAAATTATTTAATATATTGAAGATATACTCCTAATGAACTAATAATTTTGTAATAAGCGCGTTGTCTAATTAGCAACGCGCTTGACTGGCACGCGGACCGCTAGGGTTCGATCCCAGCATCATTTTTTTTTATTTTTTCAAAATACTTCCAATGTTTTTTTTTATAAATGGCTAATCAATGGAAATATTGTTTAAAAACTGAATTTTTGAAAATCGAGAAAATATGCAGTGAAATTGACAAATTCGAAATTTTTGAAAAAGTATCAGGGTAACATGAACGTCGAGGAGCTATTCACTGAAATTTTCACTGAAAGTGAAAAATTCGAAATTCTTGAAAAAGTATCAGGAGAACAGGAACATCGAGGAGCTATTCACCGAAATTTTCACTGAAAGTGAAAAATTCGAAATTTTTGAAAAAGTATCAGGGTAACATGAACGTCGAGGAGCTATTCACTGACATTTTCACTGAAAGTGAAAAATTCTAAATTCTTGAAAAAGTATCAGGAGAACAGGAACATCGAGGAGCTATTCCCCGACATTATCACTGAAAGTGAAAAATTCGAAATTTTTGAAAAAGT